CTCGAACAGAGCAGTTGGAACAACTTTGGATTAGAAACTTCAATCGTGTGGTACAAATTACTTTAGATTAGATATACTTCAATCCCAAAACGAAAAAAATACACTGAGGTCTTTAGTTTGCATGAACTTGTACTTTTTATTTATCACAACCTAGAGATCATATCTGATCTCTTGTCACAACTAAAGAAGATGATTGTAACAGCCGATTGGAGACATGGCTTGTTTCAAAAGCAAATATGTCGTCCTTTTCCTAATAGTTATTTTTACTTATTTTACATTTACGTTCGCTGCTTTATTTTTGTTCGTACGAGTCCGGGTTCTACACTAAACGTAATTCACGGAAAACAGCCATTAAATGAAATTGTTATTAATAACGTTATTTGGAGAGAATCAGGGCCTTCAATACAAGAATACGACTGAACGCGGGGACGCGACTAGCAAGTAACGCAAAACGCCGCTTTAACAAGCCAGTTTGCCATCACGATTTGAAGGATCACCTAAAATTCCATAACGAATAACAACAACGAGACCGTATTCTCTCTCAACGGCAACTTTATTTTTATGTACATATTTCTGGTATGACAATAAATAATAAGGGGAACGAAGAACTCTACAAATAGCTTGTTGTTTTAGAGAGACTGAATGATTATACATCCCAAAAAAATAGAGACAAATAGAGAGGGTCTGCGATCAATTGTTCAAGTGCGTTATTCAGTAATTTCAACCCAGTTAACAGGACCTACGTCTACAAGAAGAAAGATTCTAAAGATAACTTGACTCAGATTTGAAAATATTTGAAAATAACCTCATGCATGCAAGTTGACAAAAGATATACTCTAATATTTTTTCTTTTTTATTAGCATCATGTTCCCCTAGTTAGCTTGTAGCTAGAAATGCGACTAGAAGAAGAAAATTGTGGTAATGGAATGCAACGCACAAGGTAATGGTTCAGTTCAGTTGATTCAGTCCCTTGTACGTACGTACCATACTGACCACGTCTGTACAAATCTGCCAAACACTCTAGACATATATATTTTTTGTGTACCTTTTAGGGGAACCATGGTACATCCCACCATAATAACTCTTTGTAATTTTTAGTGACTTCAAAGTGGTCTATGCCAACTACTATTAAATCAACTGAACATTACAATTGTAGCTGATTTCAGAGGCATCATTAGATTTTTCCCCGGCCAAATGCGCAACTTGCAGAGTGGTCGGGAAAGAAAAGGAGAAACAATTTCGATGTTCCAAAAATTAAAATTCTATATCGACCTTTTATCGACCAGTGCTTAGTTTGTTTACTGGGGAGTTTTTAAGCCTTGCGAAAGTATATTTCGACTGCGAAACTCGGATTAGCATTGGTTTTTTAAAAGCCCTGAATACTAACTATATAACGGACTTATCTTATATGACTTATTTGCTGATACACTTTCACTGAACTAAACGTTAAACCATGACAGTAAGATATTTTGTTCGTATGAACTTATATAAATAAGGGTGAATAGTTCAAAAGGCTGTTAGCCTACTATTGTTAGTTGCGCTGCATGGACTCAGGATCCTTTCTTAACTGTTAAATTGGAAGACGACACATTTAAGTAGTATGATTAGATAATACTTAAGGCTCTTGATAACACATAAGTCATAACTTGGCTGCCTTGGTATCAAACGACGAAAACTTCAAGAAGTTTCTAACATTCTCATTCTTTAGTTTACTCGTATCCTCTAGGTCAATGTTAAGCACTTTCAAAACAGTAACAGACAGTGGACTGATTGAATGGGTCACGTGCGCATGGACACAGGGACAGAATATTTTGGCTGAACATATCATTTCCCTCTGCTAACAAAATGCTAAGTTTCTTTCCCGTAGTCAGACATTTTCTGTTTGTATTTTAGTTGTGCGATTTTCTTAGCCCTAGTTCAGCAGTGTTGCAATTGTTGCAAAGCCGGAAATTTATGTCTTCTTAATGAAAGGGGTCTCGTTTAAAAGTTCGTAGTTTATTAACAAATAATCCCCATTAAGTTAGTAGGAGATGAATATAGAATTTATCTTTCGGTTTTTCCTAGGATATTATGCTATTTAAGGTAAAGCACAGAAATTAACCTTAAAAACTCGTCAATAAATCATCCTTGAGATGTGGGATCTGTTGTTGAGCTATATAGTCAATTAAATGAAGTAAAGAAAGGCAGGGACCAGATTGAGGTGTCCGTCTTACAGAGGGTCAACTAAAAAAAGAAAGAAAGGTAGGGACCAACTCTAGGTGTCAACTTTAGTGAGGTGTTCGTTATAAGGGTAGACATGGTTGACTGTATCAATATTTGTTCACTCAAGACTGAACCTTTGAGAACGGTAAAAGTGACCGCATTCAGGGAGACAGAATTCCATTGAGTGATTAACCATTACAGTTCAGGTCATTAGGTATTCTGGTTCAAACGATGCCGAACCACTGAAAAACAAACCACTCAAGATTTGCTTCTAAAGTTGCCTAAGGCGAGGATTTCAGCATCTTTGCCGATTGGATGAGTTCCTGTCTTGGTTGTCAGGACTGAAGCACGCAAAGTCATCTCCATTACGATCAATCTTTTTAATGAGCTCATTATTTTCTCAATCTCTTACAAATTGCGGAAATCAGTTTATGTCGCCTAAGAAGACTCCTGTTCATTTCTTAGACTTATTAAAAGTTATTCACGTTGCCATGATCAAAGACAAGGAAAATATAGAAAAATACCTTTGTCACCCTTCCTGGAACAGAAGGGATCGGAACATAACAGCTCCTAGCTAGATTTCGACACCGTAAAGAGGTTACGTGGCGTATCTTACGTAAAAGAGTATTCTATAATGTTCACATTCATAAAAAATAATCGTGATCACTTCACCACCTACTGAACATTGTTAAAAATGGAAATAACGTGATTAAAATGTGCTGTGGGTGCGAGTTAACGTCAAAACACCAACTTCACTTAAATGCACCTTAATACAGTAAAAAGAAGCACAGAAATTGAAGCAAACCAGTCTCATTGTTTCAAGTTTGGCAGTTCAAAATGATTTCAACTGAAATATGCGATAAATCGGCTTTATGGCCTTTTCTGATATTAGCAACAAGGTGAAGTAAAGCCGCCCCTTTGCTTTTTTTTTTTGTTACAAATTGTCGTTATTAAAGTATGAAGACAATGAGTAGAGAACGCCATTGAAGTTCGTATTCCGGAATCCAAGTGTTCCCTGCTAATTTGTAACTATCTTTTTGGTGCATTCTTCTTCCCGAAGAGTACTTTACGATCAACCGTAGAACAGAATTAAGATTTTCGAGCGAACCTACTCGATGGTAGTCAGTATCAGCCAACCGAATACCGTTGTACATATATACTTTTATACGGAATATTTACTGAAATCATCTTCTTGAAAGTGCTTGACCCGTGTACGCTGGCAGTTATTGAGCTGCCTTGTATATCACTGAATCGGGCGGGCCATTTTACATGAAGGCTAAAATATTTAGGAGTAAAAATGCTCCTGTTTTCTACCCCTGGTGAAAATGGCTGACTATGTGTACTTGAGACATGTTCCTGAAAAGGTGTCCATGTTGTCCATTACTCTGTCTCTAAGAGATTATTCGGTTTTAAAATTTTCACTTTCCCCTCAGCGATAAAACTTAACGTCTGTACCCCTTGTTGTCGCTTCAGTGTATTTGACGTTCGTAAGTTTTACAGACGATTAAAGAAACGTCCATACATCTAGCCGGATTTTTGAAACCGTTACCGCCACTGAAATGGATCTTTTCAGCTAGATCCAACAGTTTTTTTTCGGCCAAAAACTCCATGGTAGCCTTTATAAAAACTAAGAGTGCAACCATGTTTCAGCTCCTTTCTTCCTTCTCGCTCTTTTCTTTTTCTCTTTTCCTTCGTTAGTGTGATTTTGGAGCTTATCGCGGCCAGAAAGCCTGCCTTTTGACGCCTTGTCACCCAAATGACAGCAAATTTCGTTAGGTACGTGTTTTAATAAATCAACTAGACAAAAATACATACTTTTTTGAAAGGTCAATATATCCAGCGAAAGGCTGATCAGTTACTTTGCTGATGCACGACCAAAGCATCTACAATCTTTACCATTTTTAAAGGCTGGACCAGGATTATCTCAGGCGTGAATGAAGCTCAAATATTTCACAAAGTGCACAACTGAAAGCGCCGAGGATGAATTTACCGACGCCGCTCAAAAGCGGAACTTACTCTTAAAACTTCCTGTTAAAACACAGTATAAAAGGCCATCATTTCGCCTTGGAAGTTTCCTGATGTCTAACTATTCCAAATCTACAGATATTAAGCAACTTGAAAAACTGTCTTTCTGAGACAATTTCTGCGTGGTAGCTGATGTCACTGGATGAACTGACACGGAATCAGGTTTTGACAGTATTTGACAACTTAATGAGAGTGGCTATCTTTATATGTACTAGGTTAATACTGACTGCTTAAGGAATAGTTAGGCCAGTCCTCGAACAGGGCAGTTGGAACAACTTTGGATTAGAAACTTCAATCGTGTGGTACAAATTACTTTAGATTAGATATACTTCAATCCCAAAACGAAAAAAATACACTGAGGTCTGTAGTTTGCATGAACTTGTACTTTTTATTCAGTTTATCACAACCAAGAGATCATATCTGATCTCTTGTCACAACTAAAGAAGACGATTGTAACAGCCGATTGGAGACATGGCTTGTTTCGAAAGCAAATATGTCATCCTTTTCCTAATAGTCGCTGCTTTATTTTTGTTCGTACGAGTCCGGGTTCTACACTAAACGTAATTCACGGGAAACAGCCATTAAATGAAATTGTTATTAATAACGTTATTTGGAGAGAATCAGGGCCTTCAATACAAGAATACGACTGAACGCGGGGACGCGACTAGCAAGTAACGCCAAACGCCGCTTTAACAAGCCAGTTTGCCATCACGATTTGAAGGATCACCTAAAATTCGTTAACGAATAACAAAAACCACACCATATTCTCTGTCGACGGCAACTTTATTTTTATGTACATATTTCTGGTATGACTATAAATAATAAAGGGAACGAAGAACTCTACAAATAGCTTGTTGTTTTAGAGAGACTGAATGATTATACATCCCAAAAAAATAGAGAAAAAAAATCCCGTATTCTCATATTCAGCCTATGATGATATTAGATAAGAAGGTCTGCGATCAATTGTTCAAGTGCGTTATTCAGTAATTTCAACCCAGTTAAAAGGACCTGTGTCTACAAGAAGGAAGATTCTAAAGATAACTTGACTCAGATTTGAAAATATTTGAAAATAACCTCATGCATACAAGTTGACAAAAGATATACTCTAATATTTTTTCTTTTTTATTAGCGTCATGTTCCTCTAGTTAGCTTGTAGCTAGAAATGCGACTAGAAGAAGAAAATTGTGGTAATGGAATGCAACGTACAAGGTAATGGCTTTTCTTGTTTCTTCGTTCTCCAAGCTGAGATTAGTTAAAACGCGGGTGCCAACTTGTAAACTTGTTGCTTTTCCTTAAGAAAGACCACATTTACTTGACACCTTTAAATCTCCTCTTGACGAACTTTAAAGAGTCTGTACGTAATAGTGATGGCCTTTTCTTTGAATGTAGGAACCTGAAAGAAATAGAATAAGTTAAACATTTTCAATGCCACATTTCAAGTTCCTGTTTAAAGCTAGGATAAAAGTTGAAAGCTTACGTAACTACGATGGATTTTTTATTTGTTTGCCTGAACTGTGGGATAGGTTAAGGTCTGGCTGCCCAGATTTCTTATATCATGCCCTTTTTTTTTACTGGGAGCTTGCTCACACCCAAAACACACCTCTAATTTGTCGGCTACTTTAAAAAATAACTGTTAAATCTTGGTCCACGAAAATGTACTTTCCAGCATTGAAACGTGTTAATGCTGCTGAAAATCTGGATAACGATTTGTGTTTAAAATAATAAAAATGCATGACGCTAAAGGGCGACTTTTAATGTTTTGTATCAGTCTAATAAGCTGTAGATATTAGGTCACCATTTATTAATGCTAAAGGTTATTCTAATAAACGCTGGTGATACCTCGTTTACTTGACTTTTTTCTCCTCAGCTTCCTTTTTTCTCTGTTCTTTTAGCTGACCTCTCTTAACTACTATCAGCATTTTTCCAGCTGTCCAAAGCCACAGAACCTACAGTTTTAAAAACTTAAATATGTCTTGTACTAATTTGATAACATAACACCTTTAAATGATATCATAACGCAAAATTACTGAGTCCATATTTGACTAAACATGTCAAAAGTCCATTTCTGAGTTACCACAAGCCTCTGTTTTAATATCAGGGTAAATGCAAATTAAGCTTTAGATTTGAAAATGACTTTTTACTCTCATGGAAGTGAAGTTTATTTTTACAAGCAAGGTTTACCACTTAGCCTCACTGTCAAAGTCAGGGTTTCTGGAAGTAGGAAATGGCCTAAAACCAGGCACATATCAATAAGAAAAAACAACGAAGGCAATAATATTAACTTATCAATTTGGAATCAACAAATTTGTAGAATGCTTCACGCACACTGGGGTCCATTTTTCAAAAGTCCTGGTAATTACTGGGCCATGAAAGCTGTTTTATTTACATTTAAGATTAAAGTTTCAATAACGGTTTTAATAGTTTAGCAGAAAATATGAAAAAAAAAATTGTAATTTGCTTACCCACAGAAAACTTACGAATTCTTAAGGACTCACTGAAATGTATCTGTGCATTCCAGAACGAATTGGAAGTTGAAAGTGTTGGTTTTTGAGGAGAGTGGAAAACCAGAGTACCCAGAGAAAGACCTCTTGAAGAACAGGAGAGAACCATCAACAAACTCAACCCACATATGGTGCCGACCCCAGGATTCGAACCCAGGCCACATTGTTGGGAGGTGACTGCTCCCACCACTGCCCCGAACTTACTCCCCAATAAATCTATTGGTTAACAAATAGACTGGTTTGTCAAGCAGGACCCCTCACTTTTATTCTTTAGAATTTGATTTCAATATTTAGCTTTTGGCCCAAAAGATGTTGAGCTTTCAAGAAACAGACCACTAGAATCCTGCAATAATTATTGCTCAGCCTATAGCTAGCTAGTCAATAGCTATTCTGGCTCAGTTAAAAATTGGAATCTACTTTCGAGCAGTAACATCAACAAGAAGGGCAAGCAGTTGTTGAGTGTTGAAAGAGACACTGAGTGAGATTAGAAACTAGACTGATTATTGCTTTTATGGTTAAACTGCTTTGCATTACAAAATGGATAAATAAACTTACAGTCATTAGAAAGCAGTTGAAAAGTAACGGCCCTGAATATACCACAGAAATAAAAAGCCCATGTGAGTCAAAATACTGCTCCTGGGAAAACATCCTGCAATTAATTAAACAATCAGCAAGTTGACACCACAGTTTACACAAAATAAACTAAGAAAAATTGTTTGGAATCATTAAAAAATGGTATTTTTATTTTTATTTTCTTCTTTTTCTGGCTTTATTAGCAGTGCAGCACCTCTGGTAATTTAAGGTCATTTCAAATACGACTTTAAATGCTGCAGAATTATGGCAGAAAGCTAAAATACCATGAAAAGGAAGCACCTTACGTTCGGATAATCCAATTGAAGGGGTGCATTAGATAAATCCCAACATGAACCTTGATTTTATTTTTTATTCTCCTTTGGTGTAACTAGTTTATCAGAGGTCACTTAAAGCTTTATTTCACCCCTTTAATAACATTAGAATTGAGGCAGTAACTTAAAACAATAAGATTAACAAACCTCCAATGTTTTGCAGCAAGGGTATTTAACTGCTCTGATGTTAATGCCAGGCCCACTACAATAGACAAAATTCATTACAAATTAAAAATTGAATAAAATGCATATTCAATTTTGTCTAGTGTATGGCCTAGTGTTTTTTAGTGACTCTGAGAAACCCCCAAGTCAACGCTCTGACTATTCCATTCACTTCAGTTATGAATGTTTTCTCATTATTTCAAGCCTAGACTGCTCACAGTCCCCAGTTTTTCTCTAAGATCATTGAGATAGAGCACTTTGCGTTACGGGCGGCCATCTTGGTTTCATGGATGTTCCAAGCCTAGCCAGCCGATGAGTGTCAAATCTACTTAGGGGGTCCCTAAACTTCATGTAATGAGAAAGCTAGAGGAAGTTTAATGTTAGCTTCCTTAAAATGGATTCAGGTTTCCTATATAATTATGTTAACTTGTATTCCCTGCTTTTCGTTTTACAACTTTGAAATCTGTACTCCTTAGTTCTTAAGTTAATACTCACATAAACACAAGAACAGAATAACTTGAAAATGTAACCATTTTCTGGTTGTTAATATACACAAGAAAGTTAGGGCATGAAAAGTTATCAGTCCGATTAACCAATGTTCAGTCCAGTCCACCTGGCAAAAAATCATTTGAATATATGTTAGTAATAAATGAAAAAATATCTTAAGTCTCGCTAACTTTTTAAAAACTTTGTAGCCTGAGAAAAGAGCCAGGTGCGGGCTGTATGGAAATCTTACCAAAAGACAATATTTTGCTACCTTGCCATGGCCTGGTTTCCTTGTCATTTTGTGGGGAAACCAATAGTGGCCTTGCGAAACATCTTCTGTTTTCTTCGGCTAGAAAGCCAAAGCTTGGGGGCTACTCCTAATAAATGCAGACCTGCCAACCCTCACAATTCTGCCGTTAGTCTCGAGATTTTTTACCTTTCTCACGGCCTCAGCACAAGACAAACTCACGGTTTTTGGGGAATATAATTCTGAATTGAAATGCTATCTTGCTGAAAAAAAAAAAGAAATTTCTTGAAATGCTAGTGCCTGTTTAACCCCGATGGAACCAGTCTAACATTTTGGCCGAGACGTTAGCTTATCCAGAAGAAACGACCACTTAATTGCTGTAAGTTTCGTCCAAGTGCTGCCCTCATCCCTGTCCTCATAGATACAATCATCAAAGGTATTAAAAGAGGGCCCAAAAATAAAGCAAGCTGGTAACAGCTAATTCCCCTAATGGAAAATTATTTCGTTTAATCTTGATCTGGGGAAAAGTAGAATCTCGCTACTTTTTGTAGAATCTCCAATTTTTTTTTTTTTTCATAGGTCTCTTGATTTTCCTTTATCAGGGTTTGGCAGGTCTGTGAATGATAAATGCAACAATAAACAAATCAAATACTAACAAATGAACGCTCATAGTAGTCCATTTTGGTCCACTGTATAATTACTTACTGCTTTCATAAATTCCCACAGATTATCAATTTGGCTTGTAGAAACCCACTCATTGCCACGAGGGATATAGGTTTTCTTCATTGTGCCTTCGGAGACTTCCTTCAATTTTCACTTCATGTATGCTCCTACATGCTATCGTGGGTATCGTCTCTTTAAAATATTGATATTAACAATTCTTTGTTGTGGGAGCAATGCCAAACTACTTCGACAACCGTAGGAAATCTTCTGATTTCAAGGGGAGATTTCAACAAGTAAAAACAAGAAAGTGAAGTGTATGCCGGGAGTGTATGTTCCGCTTTGAAAGTGGCGAAAATAACAATCCCATACATGACGTATTTTGTCTCTTGACGTTCCGCTGACTCTTCTCAATGAAATTGTTGTAGATGGTTAATGATTTCCTTGGAGTCTACTGAATTTGCATACGAAGAACGAAGCCGACTCGCTAATTGGTCTGAGAGAAGTGCTCTGGTATAGGTGATCTTAGAGCGCTTAGCATTTTACTGCTTGGAGTTCAAAATATTTGTTTGTTGTTTAATTTTAAACTATCGACGTCGTATTCTTCATGACACAAGATACTCACTCCATTCATAGTTACTCAGTTCATCACTTTAGCACACATAGAGTAGTTTGTTTACATTTAATGTTCTCTGCAGCGTATTTTAATAAGCTCCTGCTGCTGTCACGGCTGTGATAAAACTCGTTGCCATAATTTAGCCGTTGCCAAGTGATTGATTGAATCATAAATCAGATAGAGAGATAGAGAAGATCGGTCGAATGTTGAAATATTGAAACGGTTAATGGCGAAGACAGTGATAGAACGCACCGAGTTTGGATTTCATACCACCAGACTCAGAAGACTTCATTCAGAAGGCTTTTCTGCGAATCGAACATGAATGATCATGAATATCAAGCTGACTTTACCGTGTATGCTGAGAATCTTCGAAGTCGAGCTGAGATGATGCCAAGCCAATAATCAGCTGAATAATGTTTTTAAGAGGACTGATAAATCTGAGAGCAGTTGGCTTTTGGCCTTCAGTGTTTGGACTAGTTGTTTTTATTGCGGTTACAAGTAACTGCGTATCAGGTAACATGCTATGGCTCTGCTTGGAAGATTCTCATTTGTACTTTATCTCAACATAAGTTGAAATGTAATTAGATACGATGACCGTTCTTTTCAATATAGAACAATTTTTAATGTTTTCCCATTGAAGGCAATTATCATGTTTTATAATGCGAATCATTTTTTAGGTTTCTATTCTTTTTCTGGATTTAAAAAAGGATCTCACACAAATTATATTACACTACAGTCATGTTATCCGTCGTGCGTCACCTTAAATAGATTTGATCTTCATTTATAATTGATGAGGTTTGCAGCCACTTTTCATTACGTATACAGTATTCTATTACTACTGTAGTTGCAATATATATATCCTAATCATGTCCTGTTCATGAATTTGTTTTTCTTCTGTTAGATAACAAAGAAAAGAACATAGTATTGCTTTTTCAAGATGTCACTCTTAGTCAGTGGAGAAATGCAAATAAAACAGCCGTTCTTCGGAGGATCATTTTGGATGTTGTCAATGAGTTTTGCCCCCGAAACCCTGGTAGATGTTCTTTGAATTTTTGGAATGAATCAAGGTACTGAAAGTTTCTTCTTTTAATGTTGAGTTTTAAGAGCAGTAATCAGGTGTTGGTGGTTGAAGCGGTGGAGGAGGTGGGGAGTAGGCAAACTGAGGCGTAGGGGAATTTAACAATTCCAGGGAAGCCAGGGTCAAATTTTACCACTCCTAGTTAACAAATTGATGAGAAATTACAACCCCCAGACAGTCAAATAATTGAGGCTGTTAGCAAATATGTCGAAGTCCCCACCCAGGGGATTGCCCTTTTTAGCAGTGAATCTTCCCCCTGGAGAGGTTGGAGTAGATATCCTAATTATAATTATAATAATTCTGGCAGGATCTCATTGTTTGCTTTATATAACTTGTAGAGTAAAAACGGGGCAGGTTAGGGGTCATGTTCCAGCACGTAACATGACACAATGTCCTTTGGCAAGTTTAAGATAATTCTGAAGCTCACTGCAGGCTCAACTTGGGAAAGCCAAGGCAATTTTCTTGCGCAAACTTATTCAACTGATTCTTATTTTTAGGCAATTTATCTTGAGTCATGTAGTCGTTGTGGAACCTCTGAAGCAAGAGGATAAGGACATTCAAGTGAAAGTTTTTGTTGCTCTTCCCGATGGAAAAGACATTCGAGAAGACGATTATGTTACTATAGCTGGTTCAGTACTGAAGGAGATTTTAGAGGCTTACAAGCAGAACTTATCATCCGCTGTTGGTGCAGAAGTGAAGTCTATTAACACTGAAAGTGACTCAAGTGATAACGTTACTGACAATACAATGAACTATATCATGATTCCAATAACGTTTGCACTACTTATTGTGTTGTGCTGCGTGGCATTCTGTCTGCACTCTGCCAGGTACATCAATGCATTATCACTTATAGTACTTATCTAACTTTCCCCTTGTTACCATGCAGACGTTGTTTTGGCTCGTCACGCAGTCTTCTGTGGGAAAGAAACGCGTGACAAAGCCCAAAGAACGTCTGCGTGGGAGGCTACCTCGAAAAAGAACCTACTGCGTCTTGACTACTGGTTCCTCCTTCAAAAGTCGTCCTAGGGAACACGATCGGGGTTACCGGTTCGAAACGCCTAGGCTCTGTTTTTAAACCTAGCCCCACTACTGTCGTGCAGAACTCAATTTTGTTGGCTGACTGAATTGAATTCTGCGTTGTAAACCCAGTCTCTACACGACTTTGACGTGAAATTGTCTATTTTTACTTTTTATTGAGGAGAAACGACGACGAAATTCTCTTTCAGCTTGTTTTCTTAAGAATTCAACTCAATAAGAGTTTCCCTACATTAGACGAAAAGGGCGAGTGGCAATAATCGCACTGAAGTTTCAAAGAACGCGAAGTCACTTTTTTAAAAAAAGTGACCCAATTGTGAAGTTTTTGCCTCCATCACCGTCGTCATGTATCTTAAACTCCCTGGTGTTACAGTCTAGCCAGTGCCAGCAATCACGCGGAACTAGCCCTACCTTAATTGTCCATTTGCTTCCTCGCAACGACCCATCATTAAAACCAACTCAATCATTTAGTTGACTAAATACATTACTGACGTAAAATGTAGACACAGGAACACCAGTAACTGGTAACCACATTAAGTAGTCATCTGAACAACGAGAATCTTCAACCTTTGTCATTTTTTGCCTTATATGTTTTAACGCAAAAGCCAAAATGGCAATTTACCAGTCATTACATTACAGGTCATTCATCACATTGCTTTGAATTTTCAACAGTTTATGGTGAAAAAAATTATTTCCACAGTAAAAGGAAGAAAAAGGCGATTGAAAAAGAGCGGAGAAAGCAGTTGAGATTAAAGAGATTACAGCCTTCAGCAGAAGACTTTGAACGAGGGGAACAATCAGTTAGTACAGCAGACGTCGTACAAAAACCAGTTGCAGCGCAAGGAACAAGAAGAAAAGAAAAGAGGACGAAGCATCAAGATGAGACAGGTGATCACACACGGAAAACAAAGAAAACAACCACGAAAGGCAAACACAAGCGACTTAAAGAGGAAACCATGCTTGAACGTGCAATGCTTGGTGGTCAGCTGGAAATTGGTGAAAGGGAAAGAGTACCGACACCAATTCCTGGACACCGTTCGATAAACAAACACACGAGAAAGAAAAAACAGAAGAAAGCTCACCGTGAACGTAGAGAACATGACGAGGGGTACAGCGAGGGTAGCGACACAAAGCAAAATGGTGAAATAAACAAAGAGGAATTGCTGATAAGAAGCCTACCTCGCCCTCGACAGTTGGCACCTCTCCCAGAAAGAACTGATATCCAACTGTAAAATAACATTATGTTACCATCAGTAAAAAATTTTATTAGATCACACATACTTTTAATAAATCTTACAGTGACATAATATATACAGGATTTTTAAATGTATACTGGGTGATGTCACTGTAAGATAACTTAGAAGTATGTGCAATCTAATAAAATTATCTGATGTCTAATTCCCCCGCTAACGATTGTCCCGTTAATAAGACCACATTCTTGGCCCAAACGTAATGAGAAACTCTGTTGTTTTTGCCTTTTTTTCCTCGCCTCTTCCCGTTTTATTGCCTACATTAGCATGAAGTCTACAAATCAACGTGCCTTTAGGCCATCCTCTTTTTTTCTCTGTTTAGCGTCGTCCGACCGACCCAAATTTTTGGCATTTTCCAAAAAAAAAAGTAACGACGTAGTTAAACCATTTTTCTCTTGAAATAATTCTTTTAATCTGAAAAATGGTCATACTAACAGCACAGAGAACAACAGGAACAAAAACATGAACATTTTTTACAGTATATTGTGCATTTTGTTAATCCAAATATGTGAATGTTAACTTTTAATGTTGTCCTGGGTTACCAGGGCCTTCTATTCCGAGACTTCTTGTGATTTTTTTTTGAGGGTTTTTTTTTCAATCCGACCGACCGACCCAATATCAGAAAACGCATTCGACGCTAAACGAAAAAAAAAAAGGGGGATGGCCTTAGTGTAGAAGCTAAGGACTGCGGAAAACGGCGAACATTCTTCAGTTACTTCAACCATAACCAGGAGCCCTCCAGTCATGAATTATTTTCCCTCTCTATTTATTGTTAACGAGCAGCCTCGCGAAGACGCGAGGCGGCAGGATAATAAAGCCGTGCGCGAAATGAATCTCGAAGCGATGTAACATAAGGTAGCGTAAGGTAACTTTTATGATGTAAAAATGCAGAACAGAGAATATAAGAAAAATATGCTATGTAAAGTCAGTATTTCAAATTCTTTATGAAGCAGAACAGTTTAGTTCACCATTTTCAAGGTAATTTTCGGTCTTGTAACAGGGGCACCCAACGAGAATATAGTTCAAAACCACTTAAACATGGCATTGTCAAACGTGTTTTAGTATTTAAACAGTGGATATGGTCACATTTTTATCCCCTATAAATTTTTCATCTGTTCGGATTTCCTAGCTGAAAGTCTAGTGATCCGAAAATTACAGGGATCAAAACTTACCCGTTCGAAAATTTTAGCTAAAAAAAAGGCTCCCGAAAATTTTAGGTGACCTTTTTAGGGTAAAAATCCGCTGAAAATGGGCAATTATACCATTTTTTAGATGTTCGAAAATCCTCGGAGAGGCTTGCAAGCAAGAAATTTTACAACAAATGTTTCGAAAATTCTAGATCTCAAATCGTCTTCCGAACAGATATTTTTCCGAAAATTGTCGTTGGGTGCCCCTGATGTAATCGAATTGAGTTCAAACTATTTTACCCACATTCACTGGCTATTTATGCCGCTGAAAAAATATAACACCGCAAAATTTATTGTGTCTTTGAAAAATGAAAAAAATTATTTTGGAACGTTTCATAGGCGCACCATAAATCTTTTTTTTTTGAAAAGTAGACTTCCTAAGCTTTAAAAGACTTAAAAAGACACCAAATATAAATCTGTACGTTGACTAATCTGTTCGCTTATAAGACAACTACATTTTACGCAAAATGACCAGTCGGCAACTTCGGACAAAAAATCGAATTTCAGGGAATTTCAATATCTCGAAAAATATGCTATATAAAGTTGGGATTTCAAATTCTTTTTGCAGTAGAATGTTCAGTTTAGTTAACTATTTTCAACTACCACATGAGAAATTTCTGGAATTTGGTTGGCTCAGAGCAGTGGTATTTCAGCTTAATTTGAAATACCTACATGTGAAAATTACTAGACTGTTCACAGTCCCCTATTTCTTCATGAGATCGTCGAGATATAGCGCGTCTTACTTTTAATGGCGGTCATCTTTATTTTCAAATGTACCGAGGGGGCGGGGGCTTCGAGGATTATAGCTGTAGGGGGAGGGGGGCGAGAAAAATACAGGGACAGTCTCTATAACTAATTTATTTTCGTTTTGTGTTTTCGTGATTAATTCAGGTGCGAACGTGGATATGGATAGCTACACCCCTGACTAGGCAGACGTCAACTTCGAAAAACATTATTAAAGGGTGGATTTCCACTGTCGCGTTATTTTTACGTGCGTATGCGCTTAAACTGTACGCGCATAAGTGAAATAGGGGCAATGTATGAACTGTCACGTGTAAATGTAAATTTAAGCGAGGTTTCACTTTCAAAGTTTACGCGGAAAGTGTCCTACATTGTTCTATGTAATTACGCACTTAAATTTGACGCGCGTAGGCGAGTAAAAATTACGTGTCAGTGGAAATCCACCCTCAGGGAAATCTAGTGTGGTATCAGACTCTTTTGATCAATTGGGGTTCCGTGCTGCTCCATTTTCAGCCATCCTCGGAGACCCAGGAGCAGATAGGAGTGAGTGCAACGGAAAGTCTAAACGGGCGGAAAAAATGGCGGTAAGAAAAGTAGAGAACGCCCGTTTAGATTTTCCCTTGCCCCCACTATCTACCCCTAGGTCTGCGAGGACAGGAGCTCCTGCCGAGGATGATTTTTAGCCTGCAAAACAGGCGTTATTTTTTCGCGTTTTTCAGGCGAAGCAAGCGAGAAGCGCGAGATGCGGGCGTTAGGGAAAGACACCCTCACCCTCGCCCGTGTCTCGCGCGCCACTACCGCTTCGTGCTTCTTAGCACCTATTCTGCAGGCCCCCATTTTGGGGCGGTTTTCGTTTTCTTTCGCACGAGACATGGAAAATAGTCAGTAAATTACGAAGATACTTTACCTCGTTCCCAGGGTGTCAATCCTCTGCACCCAACATGCCTCGACAAAGGAGAGAGACTTTAGCCGAGCGGCGCTCTTTCAAAGTGCCTCAACAAACATCAACACAATGGCTGGTTCACTTAGAATTTTAAGAGGTAAAGCAGGGGACGAGTGGGTCAAAGGTTGTTTTAACTGTACGTATAATGCAACGAATAAGAAGTCAAAGGAAAGGTAAGGGTTTAGACCTTCCGCTGAGCATTCCCATGCAAATCTTTGTTGAGTACTCCTTAGATGTAATTGAACACTTCACCTCGCCAACTAAAAAGTTACCCTCACCTGTTCTCTTTATGCAATGTGACATATTAGGGCTTAAGGTTTCTGTACTCTACTTGGCTTTTAAGGAGCAGGCCTTGGTAGTTCAGACGTTGGACATGGTTGGATAGCACTATCCAGTGGATAAATCACTATTCAGCGGATAAGTATTAGGAGAAACAATTGCGTTATGTGCTGGATAGAAATTTTATCCAGTGCATAGTGTTATCCAAATCCAGGGTGAGTAACTCCATGGTTCAACCCTTTGAACAAATGGTGCCTAGTGAATAGCCCACCACCCATCACCTAACCTGAAGGACTAGGGACAGTTCTTTGTCTGGACTGTCTCTACCTGTTGACCAATCCAGCATGATTAAACCTGCCAGGGACGAGAGACCCAGATCAGTGGCACAGCTCACAGGTCCGAGTTACCAAGCCTTATCAACACCTCAAGGTGCCAGCGCAAAGTGAAGCAGCCAGGAATAGCCCAAAGAATTGAGAGGCTATCACCATCTCAAAAAATAACATGTTTTACAGTTATTTTATTAAAATAACAACGTTTTATTCACTGACATTGGTTCCTTTTAGGTGAGGCGGGAAGTATTTTAAGAATAATACTTTAATATTATTTTTATTCTATCATACATGACTGTCTACAAAATGTGGAAGCATTTTCATTGTTGATAAGGTCGAATAATGGTAGTGAAGTAGGTTAAATTCCCACCTGAGGGACCACAAATTGCCATCTGTATGAAAGAGTTCAGCAGCGTGAGATGCGTTCAGGGGTCTGGTTTGTCCTCAAAGCTGTAGTTGATGGTTAAACCCTTTGCAATAGGCTTGACACCGCGGGGGATTGTTAGTATGGATGTAGATACCGATGTAAAGTGTGTATGAACAACACATTAATATACACTAACAAGCATTATTATTCATTCAAAATATTTCCCCGATTCTGATTGGCTAAAAGCACACGCATAATTCACCATAACCAGTTTCTGATGACCAAATTTGGAACAATTTTGTGTCTAGCGAGGAATGACATAAAAAATGCAGCGTTTTTGCAGGTTAATGCACCGTTAACCAAGAAGACCTGGGGATGAGGTTGAGTTGTTTTGTTTGTGGAAACAAAAATGGCGGACATTTCACTCGTTTCAAGAGTAAGAACTAGGCGAAATAATAGCTAAAAACATGGCAAGAACAGCAAGAGGACAACTTGAACGGCGACATCTGCTATTTGGAGAATATTTGCACAGCTGGACAAACCTAAACATTCACTATCGAAGATGAACTTAACATCGATGGATTGATGGAGGTAAGCATGTTTTAGCCATGTTTTTAAACTAAAAGTTATTTTGACTGAATAATAAAACAATTATTGAATTTGGCTTTCATATCATATGAAGAATTATGGAGATCTTGGAGGGTGTTATCCGCCTCGGCCGTCTTCATAAGATACTCAGCCTCATTCATTAATTGTTAATTAACAACAAAAGAAAATAGATGTATTTGAGTTTGCCTTAAGAGACTTGGTATCACCAGTGTTAAGGTGTTAAGCGTTGGCATCACCTTAGCACTAATAGGCCTTGTTATGTCTTTGCTGCAAGTTAATTCTGATACAAAATAAGTTAGCCTTGATTATTCACAAGCTCTTCGTTATGTAGACAGTCTGACTCCCAAATGTCCATGTTGCTTCTTGTTATCTGCTCTATGTGATTGTCTTTCCTCTTTTCGTTTTTGTTGTTCCAAAGCACGCCGTTCCCTCTCTGCTTGCTTCCTCTCCTTTGTTAATTTTTCTGTTTGCCATTGAATTTCTTTTTCTGATACACCTTCCTCGTCCCATGCTGTATTGGATTCTTCAGTCCATGATCCTAACTCAGGCTAATTTGAGGAAAGAAAAAAGACCCTGATTCAGCCTCTTCATTCCAGACCTCATAAACTTATGTGTTATTGACCAAGGGTGAGGTCAAGATCGCTGAATATTATTGACCTCGACTCTGTCTTGGTCCATAAAAACACAAAAAAGAATGAGGCCAATATCCACAGCCACCTTGATCGAATAAGCTTGGTCAATAAATGATTTACTATATAGCCATAAAGACAACTTTCTCTTCTGGGACTAATATGGGGAATTCCAAGCGGCCGGCAAGATGGGTCCATCTTGCCCCCTTGGGTAGCCAATCACAAGACAGGATTTGCTTCATCCTGCCCACTCGTGGATACAGCCATATCATAAAGACGTATACTGGTTAGGTGACCTTTATAGATCTGGTTGAAGAGAAGATGTGAAAACCTACACCCCGGGACCCTGGGAATCAAGCTTTCCAGTTTTTTTTCTCAGCTGCCCAACTGGACAAACACATGACATTACCTGTACATTATCAAAATTCTTCTGTTTTGTTCTCAAGTACCTCTAAACACACTCTCCTGCATAAACCAAGTTATATACTCATATAATTCTGAAAACTCTTACCTCTGCTGGGGGATAGCTGATATCAAATTTCAAACGGCTTGATGGTCCAGCTGTTTGTAACTGACTACTCTCATCCGAAAAACTCTTTTTCTTCTTAACAACAATCTGAAGAAAAAAGAAAATTGTCTTGCCATGAAGGCTGGAGAACTATCATTTCACACTGAAAAAAGAAAGATCTTGAAAAAAGTCCTGCCCAGTAGTGTACGTTTGGGACAAGTGAATTTTCTTGCTGGGCAAGTAGCTTTTAAAGCTTACTTGTCCAATGGGCAAGAGTTCAAACAACTTATCCTCTGACATAATCAATAACTAACTAAGACAAGAAAATAGTGGCCCTGGCAAGCATAATGTAAGAGCTGCTTGCAAAAAGGACAAACTGGAATTGAGCCCTAAAGAGCCCACTTTACTCACAAAAACTACTGATACATTATATTAGAGTCACAGGAACCTTACTTTTTTTGGTTTTTGAAAGACAGGCGCCATGTCCTGAAATAGATCTTCATCATCAGGTGGAGTTGGCTCTGGACTACAGGACACAGCTGGTTCAACCTTCACGCTGAATTCCTCCATTTTACTCCAATCTTCCCACTCATCTGCTTCATGGTCAGGCTGTGGTTTGATTTACATTGATATGATAAGATGTAATATCATGAACTACAAAGTGATGGTGACAATTTATTGATTTATACACTACAGGGGCCACTTTTCAACTGAAATGTTTGGATATCAACAAAGGGCCTGGAAAGGGAGGTTCCCGACCCCACTTTCCCACTCCTTTTACACAAGAAATCCCGCATCCCGAACTTCTGTCATCACTATTCCGAGTTTCGTTTTCTTTCCCAATCCCACATCTGTGCTTTTTCCCTGGTTAATGATTCCTGTATTCTGAACTGTATTTTTGTCAAATCCTGGATTCCATGACATACCCTTCCAAACCCTGTTAACAAGGAAATTCTGTCACTGTTACTTTTTAGCTCATTAAGCATACATATAATAAAGATTTACAGTGAAACAGTAAATTGCAGTTAATGGAGTGTGACGTGCCAGAGCTCCTGGGGATTGTTAGGCCAGTTTACACCATATTTCCCTTAACAGGGAAAAGCTTCCTCCTTATCGCTGCTGCCTCTACTTCTGCTGCTGCAGGCTTACCAGATTGCTTGATTAAAGTTTTAGGAAGGTTGTCTTCTGACTGTTGTCAACTCATGTCTGCCACGCCTCGTATGGCGTGCGTTACCTCATATTAGTCAAAAAATAGACTCCATTGGTGTTAGGGGTGATAAGAAGGGTCTCCAATGGTACCAATGGTGCGATTGGTACCAATAGAAAAGCACACTATTCCAGTGGTTCTGTTGGTGAATATGCATCTCATTAAGGGGACTTAGATTATTTTCTGATGTGGTCTAGCTGGGTACAGGGCAATTCCAATGGTCCATTGGTACCAATGGTGCAATTGGTACCAATAGAAAAGCACCCTATTCCAATGGTTCTATTGGTCAATATGCATCTCATTAAGGGGACTTAAATTCTTTTCTCATGTGGTCTGGCTGGGTACAGGGCAATTCCAATGGTCCATTGGTACCAAGGGTATGATTGGTACTAATAGAAAAGCGCCCTATTCCAATGGTTCTATTGGTGAACATGCATCTCATTAAGGGGACTTAGATTATTTTCTGATGTGGTCTGGCTGGGTACAGGGCAATTCCAATGGTCCATTGGTACCAATGGTACGATTGGTACCAATAGAAAAGCGCCCTATGCCAGTGGTTCTATTGGTGAATATGCATCTCATTAAGGGGACTTAGATTATTTTCTGATGTGGTCTGGCTGGGTACAGGGCAATTCCAATGGTCCATTGGTACCAATGGTACGATTGGTACCAATAGAAAAGCGCCCTATGCCAATGGTTCTATTGGTGAATATGCATCTCATTAAGGGGACTTAGATTATTTTCTCATGTGGTCTAGCTGGGTACAGGGCAATTCCAGTGGTCCATTGGTACCAATGGTACGATTGGTACCAATAGAAAAGCGCCCTATGCCAATGGTTCTATTGGTTGGGCTCTAGTCACGCTTTTGTCACATGGGGAAGTAGAACATCACGCTGATAGCAGAGTGGTATTCCCCCATTAATGCTAACATGAAGTGTTCTCTTTCTTTGCGTTTTAATTTAATATAGTATAGGAAATGCGTAATCAGTTTACGTTAACACTGGAGCGGCAACATTAACCTTCATTTTAAAATCTAAAGCCAAAAACCTTATAATTAAAAACATGTATAGTTTAAATTTTCAGGATTTAGGTGTTAAGCAGTGGTAAATTACTGAGATGTACCCTCAAAATGAGTATTGTTTGGATTTCTAGGAAGTGGACTTGAGCTTTTATAACAATAACAATAACTTTTGGATAATTTTGTAAAGGTTTAAGCTCGAGGTATGTGTTTTCCAGACAGAACATGAAGCCCAAGAGAGACATGCCTAAGTTTACCATGCTTTAGCGATTTCAATAAATGTTTTTCTCAGCAGATAGGCGTAAACTATAAAAGAGCACACAGGTAAAACGAGTACAGAGAAATTCCCCACCTGATCATGGTTTAAATCAGAAGCTACCGTCACGAGAGTGGGTAACACATCATCTTCTGATCGGCTGGACTTCCTCTGTCGGCTTCTGAATAAAATTCTCTTAATAAAATTGAAAAGAATGGAGAAGCAGCTAAAGAAACGTCTAAAATTAAAGTGGACTACTTTCATAATTATGCACTTTGTATACGAAACGTCTGCATTTGTGCTCGAACATACTAAATGGCGTCCAGGCTCTTTCACAAAACTAAGCAACGAGCGGTGCCTGGAAACGAGCATGGTACTCACAGAATCCAGGGTCCCGGGGAGGGAGGAGAGGGTACATACAAAGATGCTTAATTTAATTAATAATGAAATTGTATACCCCATTTAAGACTCTTTAAAACCCTAAGTACTCTCTTCCAAATATCCACAATGCCCCTATAGCTTTTATTCGTTCCAAACTAATCTTAAAAGTTATTCTCCATCTTAAAAAAAAAAAATGTTTTCCTCATTCCTTTTTTTGTTTCCGAGGATATTAAAAAGACTGCTTAGGAAATACATTTACCTAATAATTTGATCAGTCTATGTTGCTTCAGATCAGGGATTCCATCCAGGTGAGGATCACAGCGGTCAAGGGAAGTGTGGATAGAAGTGTACTGCCATGAATAAGGCCAGCTTCAAACCTTGACCCAGTGCTTAACAGTCCATTTTACAGTTATGGATTGAATAAAACGAGGCTGAAGTTGACCTTGCTTTCATACAACCCTTCCTCTTTTGTTATTTCAATCCATATTGTTCTTATGCTAACTAGTATTTTTAGCATAATTTTCATAAGAAAAGAAAAGAGGTTTATATCAAAACAAGACGCCCAAAGTCGTTTCCGTGGGATGCGTTGGTCTATTGAAGCATAATGGCGTTCTATGTGAATTTGGAAAAATTAGGGAAACCGGAAAGATGTGTCATGTTATGAGCATCGATGAGTAGGTTACCTGTATGGGTTGGTTTAATGTGCTTATGACTGAATTTATAATAGCCTGCGTGACAGGCTACTATTTCTCCCCAATCCACATCCCCTTTTTGCTTCCTCCCTATCCCCTACCCCTTTCGACACCTGCTACGCAAGCTAAATTTATAGTTGTCAGTGGTCGCAAGGATGGAGTTGATCTTGTTTTGATCTATCGCTATGTAGTTATTTTCGTAGAACGATTTGGAAAAGAAAAAGCATCAAAACAAGGCTTACACGTGTAACTCAAAATTGGAATGCTAACGGAAACAAGTAATGGAGAATATGCGCATAATGCTCTCTGATTAACCTGAACAGGAACTATGTGTATAAAGATACGTCATATGTTGGTGGAAAGAAGCCACAGGTAACTCTTTCAAAGAGAAATAAACATTGTACTTTTAGGTTAATGGAACAAAACAAAACAAAACAAAACATCCGCTTGCTTTATCCAGGGTCGAACCCTGGGTTACAAAGTTCGATAAACTTCCAATGTTTTAATCCAAGATGAAAGTTTAATACCGTATTTATTCGAATAAGCGCCCAACCTCGAATTAGCGCCCACCTCGAATAAGCGCCCATCCTAAAGGTAGAAAAAGTTAATAAGCGCCCAGCCTCGAATAAGCGCCCACCCCACCCCCCAAAAATTGAATAAGTACTAATAAGAGACTTCCCCGAAGACTGAGTTTTCTTCAAAGTATTTTATAGGAACCTTGCTTTGTTACATCTTCGCGTTTTGTCATTACCATTTATTGTTTTGTTGCAAAATAAACATACTACACTTGCTGAAAATACTGAAAATTTAATAAGCGCCCAGCCTCGAATAAGCGCCCACCTCGAATAAGCGCCCACTCTCACGGTCCAAAATTTAATAAGCGCCCAGGGCGGTTAATCGAATAAATACGGTATTCCAAGATGGTCTTGATACGGTTAAAAATTAATTGCAATGTGTTTCCAAGGTCTCAAAGTTAACACAGTTCCAATGATTATCCCTGATTCCAAGGTATAATAAGTTTACTAAGATCGTGATCCGTGTCCCATCCAGAAGTCCAATCCATGCCGAAAGCGAGTCGTCGATCGACGAGGACAATATTTTCGCGATTTCACCGCCAATCGTCAACGGTACGAGTTGAAATCTACGCGATTTAACCTCCCATCGTCAAGGTGTTTTCGATAAGAAAAGAAAAAACTGAACTCTAGCTGTGCTCGGCAAAAACTGGCGAACTCCGAATAGAAAAATCTATCGGAAATCACTGCCCGCAACCAGACGCTACTAAAACCTTATGAAAAAGCTAGACCTAAAAAAAAAGAATCAGGAAGGAAAGAAATAATTTGGCTTAGGTCGCCTTTCGTGACTTGCCAGTATCCCGAAGGATTTCGCTGGTTAACAAGCCATCCTAAACCACGTGTGGGAAAACTCAAGCGCGACAAATTTGGCAAGGAACGTTCTGATTTCAACGTTCTTCAGAGGAAGCAAATCGATTAATAATCGATACAGATTTTGCCGGTACAATCTGATTGGTCGGCTTGGAAGAGGAGATAATCGATAAGGATTTTAGGCAATCCTATTGGCTGGCTTTGCAATTTTGGGTACAACCGAACCAGATTTTTACCGTGGGGGTGCCACAGGCATCCCACGGAACAAGGTTAACCTCAGCCTCATGTTCACAGGCTAGTGTACTAAGTTCACAACTTTGAAATGGTCTACTACTGGCATCATGGAATTAGATTTGATTTGGGAAAAAAATGAGAGCCTGTTTGGGAGCTTGCCTGCACCAAGCAACCGTTTAACCACTCCTTCTCAGCAAGGGCCCAAGCAGGTCACCTTTAAATGAAAATTATAAAGGAAACTTACAAATGCATGCAACTGATTTTGGCAAGAAAAAATTTTCAGGAGCTGGTGGCATAACTGTAGGACAATATTATTAGGCTGATATTCAATTTTTATTTTATTTCAAGCCCTGTTATGGGAAGGGCACATGGAAATGGAATACAAAATAAGTCACATTATTTAGAGGCTGCTTTGAGATAAATAGTGATTTTTATTTTTGTACATTTTTACACATTTTACATATATTTTTGGCATCTGCAGTTGATATTACATGTTCAGTTTAAACTTAAGTCCAGGAGCTGCTTTATGTGTGAAGTTACCATACCAAACTTGTGAGCGGACATCAGTAAATGTTCCCTGACCATCAAGTCTGTGTAGGACAAAAATAGATGATGTTGATAATCAATAACTCGAGTTCTGAAAAAACGAAACAAAGATTGCATGTGCTTACTTGTTCTCATTGAAGTTCCCCTCATAAAATGAGCCATCTGGCCATGTGTATTTTCCATATCCATGAAACATGTTATTAACAAATTCTCCCTATGAGAAATAACAAAGCATTTTCATGACCATCAATGTTACAGTTATTATCTAATATCGAAATGCATTTGGGGAATTTTTTTCTTTCCACTCTAACTTGGTAATGATGACATAATTTCTGCCTAATTAGAACCTGTTCCAGGCTCCGAGATAGTTGGGTCCGCTGAATTGGGAAAGAGAAAACACGAAAATAAAACGGGAGAAAACTGAGCCTCCCCAACTATCTGAGAGCCTGGAACAGGCTAAATTAGGCCAGGTCCGAAAATGGGTATGGATTTTAGAGATCTGGTCTGAAAATGGGTGTGGAAAATGACATTGTTTGGTCTGCAATAAGGTCAGGATTAGGAGAACTGCGCACCAAACCCCCAACAAGAATTCCCAGTAGTACCCCCCTCCGGGAATCAGGAGCAGGGTGTAAATCATGTCATCATAATCATTGCTTAGAATATAACGTTGGATGACTCATTTCGGTTATTATTCACGAACGTGAGTAATCCCTCCCCCCCTAAATACTGCTTTTGCGCATTGCAGAATGCCCCTACATTGACCTTCTCGTCTGAGTTCTTCATTTAGTCCTCATATTCCCAAGGCTTTATTTGAAACGGAATTGTGGCATCCAGGAGCCTATTACTCCTGTGGCATCCGATAAGAATTTCACTGATCTGACTAACACAAATACTATTTTTTTAATTTGGTGCTTCTTTTTGCTTTAAAACTGCAAATTGAAATCTCTTCTAACTCCTTCTTTTTATAAAATTCAGAGTTTAATTTCAGTTGCCTTGAGTACGGGCATAACCTTCCTTCTCCGTGGGAAGAATAGACTACATAAACAGCCAAGGGAATGTTAAAGCTGGGACTACTGTTTTTGCTAGTCCGCTTTCCATTTCTCTCAGTTTTACCTTTGTAAAGCTGTTTTTGTATACGTAGTCCGTAGTCCGCATTTCATACCTAGTCCGTGTTTTATACTCAGTCCAGAGTCCGCATTTTATACCTAGTCCGTGTTTTATACTCAGTCCAGAGTCCGCATTTTATACCTAGTCCGTATTTTATACCCAGTCCACAGTCCGTGGTCCGCAGTCCGCAGTCCATGTTTTATACTGACCGCCTAAAGACGTGGGTTTTTGTCTGTGAAGAGTAAAAATTATGTAACCAAAATACTGGAAAATGGTTCTTACCTCATATAATGCCCCAGAAGGAAGTATTAGTTTTCCTGAGAATAAAAGCATTAAAAGTTAGTTTAAAATGGAAGGGGGGGGGGGGGGGGTGCTTTAAATTCAGTTATTAACATAAATTATTGTATGACACACCTTGGCCATTCATTTTATCTCTAGTCCAGTGTCCATGATAACTAAGCCCTTGAGAAGTTATATGGACTCCATAACCATGACGCTGTAAGCCTTCTTCTGTTTGGATGTATTCACCATCTGCAGTGAGTAAGTAGCACAAATATGGTACCTACTAAAATGTTAACCAATTAAGCTGTATTCTATGCCTCTAATTCAGATGGTAGCGTACAAAAGTTAAGTGGTAGTTGAGTTCAAATTTATAGCACTCATGCAATGGTATAGTTTAAAATAGGATCTGAATGACACAGAAGATCTGCTGAGATACATTGGCTACTTTGCTCAGATAAGTTGGCCACTTTTCCCTCAAACTTCTGAATTAAACCCTCTGCTGGCTTTCAAGTGCCATGCAAAGAAAGTTGTGTCCAATAGCCCTGGGCTAATGGGTTTGGCTATCGGGCTAGTGAATTCTGTTCTTAACTTAACTTGCTCGACAGGCAAGTGAGATTTTTGGAAAATTCAAAGTACAGAAGAACTATTCAAAAGTAGGTTGAGTTTGATCGTCTGGGTGAACGTAGTCCTGAATAGGACTGTTGTTGTTGACAGTGACTGATGTTTCGACAACCTGTGCGGTAGTCATCTTCAGAGTCAAAGTGAGTTGTATCACGTCAGTTGATACAACTGCACCCTGTCACGCCTTTGTTTAGCAATAATGTCAAACAATTCATATGATAGGCTTCCTCTACATCTCATATGATCATATGATTAAATTTATTACACAGGGTAAACGAATGCAAAATATACGTTCAACCTGTTCACCATTGAAATAGTGTATACATTGTAGTTAATTTTTATTTTTCCATCATTTTTGGGCATGGTAATGTATGCTAATGAATTTAGAAAAATAAAAATTAACTAAATAAAAAATTAACTACAACATGTACATGCTTTAGTATAGTTACCATATTTATCCCCATTTGGAAAAATATAAACACCATTCAGTACTGTTGGACCTACAGTAAAAAACATACTACATCTGATACTTTTGTTAAAAATTAAGGAATTAAGGAATAATATTATTATTCCTTTCTCTGGGTGTTAGAGTTTAGCTTATTAGAGCTTAAAGTTCCCCAATGATGATGCTTTTTGCACAAAATATAACTACCCAGAAAGATAGAGACTGATAGTAGATAATTTTATTAAGCAATCTACTATCTCTAGGGAAAAAAAAAACTTAAAACTGGCAGGAATCCCCTCAGAAAGCACTGACAATGCACAGAAAAGGAGGAAATAGTATTATTGTGACAGTGACAGTCCATTTCTTACGTAGTAAAGGCTACATCTGTTTACTTTTCTATTTTGGCGGTTTCAGCAGCAAAATAACAAATTTCTTCCATTATTTTCAAACCTTTTTTTTCTTCTTTGGCATGTTTTCTAATTATAATATTGTTCAAATTGGTCAGACCCTTGAGCGAGAAAAGTTAACAACAATAAATTCTTTCCAGGTTTGGTAAATTCCAAATTGAGCATCACAAAACTCTATGCACAACGGACAGCAACATTTATGCCCCTGCTAAAATGTGACAGTGTCATTTTTCCCTAACCTACCAGACGACAGGTAGTCTCAGAAATGATCGGCCGAGTGGCTGCATACCCCTACATGGAAAACCTCACATGTTGCTACATATTACTGTAGCTATACTTTAACCTAGAACTATTTTTCCTATATTTTTTACATGACATCTTTATTTACCCTAAGTGAATTTTCTACCCCTGTGAGAGACAACAAGCATCCCAGTCATTTTCATCCATGTATAAGAGTACCCTCCGCGCCCCACCCTCCCAACCCCCTTGGTAGCTAGGGGTTTGAGTAAGAAGAGTACAGAACACATGTAAAAGAAAGCACGCCAATTGACAACATTTGAGAATCAAACAAATAAAAACAAACAAACAAGTACATATGACACAATGTTTTTAGCTATGTTTGTTGTGTAGTTGAATAAAACCACAAACACACAACAAAACAGCCACCAAAACATGTGCTTCTGTTGCATTACCCGCATCAGCTTTCCCTCCTTTCTTTTCCTGCTTCTTATTAGGAGCTAACAAATATGAAATTAAGACTTATGATTAATATGATTAATATTTCTGTAAAAAATTCACAAAACGTCGCCAAGTTCAGAGTTTGTAAAACTCACTGGTGTTATCAAAAAGCCAAATACTGCAATATTAAAACAGAACATCCTCAGTGTTCATTAATTAGCCAGTGAAATAATAATTATGGTTTTTACCTGGCATGATTATTAACCAAGAGCTGCAGAAAAATATAGTTTACAAAGTACCTGCCATGAATGATTATACGACTCCATAGCAATGACACTAGATGCATTGTGGGATGTTTGGTTTGATATATCGGTTATTCTGATTGGTCAAGGTATAGCCGAGGAAATTTTGGCAATGTCGTCATGTAAGCTGTATTCCAAGAACTTCGATTCAAGATGGTGGACAGGCGAGTAGGGTTGTTCTCGAGTCGTTTCGTTAGGAAATGAAAATGCCATTTAAACTAGCTAAGTATGGTTCTGAAGGATTCAGCTCAGGTAGCTGACAAGGAAATTCATCAATCGACTGTTACTGTACAAAAACTGGGGGAAGATCGTGCTTTAAGTGTCGAACCGGCAAAAAAGGCTGTTTTTCCGGGGAGCAAGCAAGTGAAACATGTCATTGCTGGAGGGGTGGCAGGAGCTGTGTCCAGGACTTGTGTTTCTCCCTTGGAAAGAGTTAAGATACTTCTTCAGGTAAATTTTCTGACTAAAGATAAGATTTTTCGTTTGATGTTTTACCATACCAAGAGTAAAAAATGTCGTCGTACGTAATGTGCAAAACACGAGTTCACATTCCTCATTACAGTTGAACGCCATTATTGGGACCACTGCTGGGCCAAGAAAATTGGGTTTTTTTGGGTCCCGTGTATTGAACAGGAAATACAATTTCTCTACAAAGCGTCTGAAACAGGGTGTCCTTCTGGACCAAAATCCTTGGTAAGGGTGCAAATTTTGGAAGTGCACAGAGTAAAAGTGTGGTAACAATATTGTTGTGTTAAAAATCTTTTTTGACGATGTCAGCTTTAAGAAACCAGGGGTTTCAATAATAATTGAAGCAGCCAGCAGGTTTGAATAGAGTAACTGACTGTTTCAACAAGGAGCCCCGGTGTTATTTCCCTTTTTTGTATAGGCATGCTCACCCAGAAAATTTTGAGATTGAAAAGCCCTAAAATGCAATTTGCAACGTTCCAGGGACTAAATTGATTAGAATTGAGTACATTTAAGAAAATGTAGCTTTCATTTAAGTTTTGATTTATTAGCCACTCAATCAACTTCTGCAAGTAACAAACAAATGACGATAATAAAATGACGTTCATTTGCATGTGAACAAATTCTGTGTAAATCCATAAAGAAAGGTACATGTGAAAATTGACTTAACAACAGCATTCATGGAGGCCTTTGTGAAAACATTTAATGAGGTTTCCATCGCTGAGATTTTATGATGTATTATTTGTTAACGATGTTTTTAAAAGTAGTTGCTTCTTCTTTTGGGAATAAAAAGGTAGGCGACTTCTCTGAGCAAAGTAGCCGATGTGTTTCGTCCGTTTTTGGTGCTTATTGAAACCCCTGAGAAACACTTCAGTGGCACATACCTATTCAGGCCAAATAAGTGAGTGTCCCACTCCTCTGAAGGTAACCATCTACAAACCCAAGCCAAGTATGGCATTGATGCCAGGATTTGAACCCGTGCCACATTTTTGGAACGGGAGTATCACTGTGGTCTCACCACTGCACCACCATCAATCCTTGTAGGAAATACTTAAACTTTCAAACTATTTAATTACAAGTCTTGGTCCAAACAAAAAAAATGGGGGACAAGGAAGCCACAAGGTCTTATTGCATGATTTTTTTAGTTTGAACCAGTCCTGATCCAAATGATCTTTATTTTGACAGATTCAAGTAAATAATCGAAAGTTTTCAGGAGTTGGTGCGACATTGATAAAGATAGGCAGAGATGAGGGTATAAAAGGATACTTCAAGGTTGGTACTTAGTACTGTTGTAGTTAATAGAGTTCTTAGGTTAAACCATTTTTTAACCTAGTTTGGTTTTACTCTGTTCCCAAGTCCTAATAAATTGTTCAAAGGAGACAAAGCAGATTCTGGTTTGAACCTGACAATGGATTTTATTCTCAAGGAGTACTAGTCAGTAACAATAGAAATTCATTGAAATTTTCCTATGTCTCAAAAACACATTGCTACCCCCATTTTCATATGTTCATGTCCTTTTATTCAGTTTACTTTTCCTGCATACAGTCACTAGTCATGCAAAAAATACTTTATGTAGGGTAAAGACCTTCCTTCAATGTGGTGAATCTATGTAGATTAACAGATGAACAGCACGATCCTTGATTTAGCTCTCTGCAAGCACTTAACAAGGGGTGTTACCCAAAACGGGTCACATGAACATACAGAGACCGTTTTCAGAGGCATGCAAGAGTTCATGTGGCTATGGATGGTCCACAGCCTCAATGGTATACTTGTTTTGTTTTTCAACACAGAACTTTACTGGATAAATTTGATTTTAGTCTAACTTTATAAATGCATTTACTACATTCAAGGACCTAAATACGGTGGCCCAGAATGGTCACACATGCAAATTAAAAATTGTACATGCAGACTAAAAATATTACAAACATGAAACATGAATGGGCCGACGGCTGTAAGGCCAGGTTGCATGGCTCGGACCAGGTCCTCATCACTCATACTGCGTGCGCAGGACTTTTCATTTTTAATTTGCATATGTTTTCTATTTTCAATTTGCAGCACAATTTTTAATTTGCATGTACTACATTTAATTTGCAGGTAATATTTTTAGTTTGCATGTACAATTTTTAATTTGCATGTACTATTTTTAATTTGCAGCAACATTTTTAATTTGCATGTGTGACCTTTCTGGGCCACCGTACCTGAAGGACTGGCTTTAGCGTTATTGATTGCGTAATTATTGATTTGGTATGAACCATCCTTTTTAAACAGTTTTGGGGATATCTTTGCAGGGTAATGGAACTAACGTCCTTAGAATCATTCCATACTCTGCAGTGCAGTTTGCTGCTTATGAGGAGTTTAAAAAGGTATGATTAAATCATATCAAACTAGATGCTAAATGCATTACATGTCAGTAGTCACTTTTTTAGGGCTACTTGGAAGATAAATGCATTCTTATTGAATTGTATGAATATGAGCAGTTTCCTAGAACAGACAGCTAATGAGCTATATAACACATACACATGTTTATAATGGAGAAAGTATTTGGGTTGTACGGCTGATTTCACAAAACCACTATCTTTGTTTAAACAGTTCTTTGTTTTTCAGGTCAATTTTAGGAGTATTTGGTCCATTGGACATTAATGATTAGACATTGTTTCTGCTTGACCCCTCATATATATAGCTTTAAATCTGGGCTGGGTCCTATTTAGTGTTTTTAAAAGTGGTTTCCTTTGTAATTTGTATTTTGGGAATTGCATGAACATCCTGTGGGTTTGTGTTTGATGTGTGTGTCTCCATAAACTATGTCACCAAAGAAACAAATTTAAACCTCATGGTAAAGCATGAAACATGCGGTGCTTTCCTGGTAATTGCCCAAATTTCTCACATATTTTTTTTAGTGGAGGGAAAGCCAGGAAATACAGGATAATATTATTTTGATACTGTGATGTCATGCAGGTTAGGTATTAACAGCATTATGATATGATCCAAGTTTTGGAATTATCATTATTTTGTTTACATTCTCCACAGCTCTTAAGAGTGTCAGAAGATCTTCAGTCCCAGACACCTCTGAGGCGACTTGTGGCTGGTGGGTTAGCTGGGACAACGTCAGTTATTGTCACCTATCCACTGGATCTTGTTAGGTCAGTCAGTTTCTGCCATGCGGTATTCTAACTAAGTGTTAAAGTACGTGGTGCATCATCTTCAACAAACTCAGTTACTGCATTTGTGGTGTGGTTCAGTTTTATCCTTGGCTTTATAATTTAATTTGCCATTTGTTTTAAGCTTGTCATCATACATTATCATGATCAAATTAGAAGGAAAATAGAGTTTGAACCAAGGACAAAATTGAACAATGTAAGCAACAAGCTATTCACCATCACATATTTTCATTGAACTAGGGGTGTACGGATTCTTAGCAGCTTAAACGTGCATCTGAAATCTATCTTTTTTAGCCATGTTTTTTTCATATTTCATGTCTGTGCATTTAAGTTGATTGTATGTTTTGTATGATGTATCTACATATAAAATTCTGTTGTTTTTAAGATTAATTACAAGGGCACTGACCACTGTGAAGCTCTTGTGTTTGTCTTCTTCTTATTATTATTATTACTGGTATTATTATTCTTATTTAGATGATGATGGATGGTGATCATCATATCAACATATGTTTGATATCACTAGAATTCTGAAATACAGTTTGATACCCTTGATGGACATCACATTTTAATGTTGTTTTCAGAACAAGGTTAGCAGCTCAAGGAGAGGGGCTTGAGAAAAGATACAGGTAATGTTAGGTGATGGTTAAAAATTACATGAACTAGTCCTGATTGATACTTACTTGAATCCCATAGAGATGATCATGTAATTCAGTATCTACTGACAATTTGAATAACGAGCAATAATCTTAATATCCTTGATGTCTTTGTTATTGTGCTTATCTCCCATCAAGGCAATATAAAATTCATGATTCTGTAATATTGTCAATGAAGTAAGATGGCAAAATTCAACAAGTGTTTCATATTGTCATTTACAGGGATTGGAAAAACATTGGTCTTCCCTTTTGGTTAAATTGTCTTCCATATTTTAAATTAATAAAAGTTGTAATATCCAAATGTAGTTTCATTTGTTTATAAAAAATATAACAAGTTCACTATGGTAATGTATTTTCATTGCACAGAAATATTTTACATGCCTTTCAAACCATTCTAAAAGATGAAGGAGGATTGTTAAGTGGATGTCTTTATAAGGGACTGCCCCCAACGATTATGGTAAGCATCTTAAATGAAGTAACATTAAGAATTGTACATCATTGTAGCAGTTGTGTCTGTTAATTTTTATATCTCTTCAAGTCAAAATCTTGTGTTTGGCATTTTTAGCCCATCAGGCACAGATCAAGACCACTGTCCACTGTTTTATTATATTAAATTAACAGTAGTAATAATATTATTACATCCAGGAGTTACAATTCAGCACACAGGGTTGTCAAAAAGCTTTTAAGTAGCAGGAGAATAAGAGAAAGTAGCCGGCATGTGTTTCCCGGCGGCGCGGGTAGGGGGAGACATATCATTATTGATATAAACAGTTCAATCCAGGTTAGTAGTAGCTGTCAAACATGATAGCATTGATACTGCATCTGAATTACTAAGTGAAACTTTGGTGGAAACATGCAAAGAAACTTGACAGAGTAAATGGAGAGGCAGCAAAATTAAATGCAAACCACAAAACAAATGGTTAGGTCAGGAATGCGAAACACATTAAAAACGCTTATTGACAAGAACGTGAAATCTAAACCACAGAAACACGGAAATGACAATGACTATATACCCCAACAGAAACTAGTCGACAAACTAAGAAAAGAAGGTCTCCAAGGATGTTTCTTGGATGTTTTAATATCCATGTACTCAAATGATAAATCAGCAGTTAAAACTGATGACAAATTAGGCCAATCCTGTACTTGTAAAAAAAAGGATGCATGTTGTCACCTACTCTTTTTAATTTCTATTGGTAGGACAACTCATGTCACTAGGGATATGTGTTTCCCAGGTAGGAAAAAACATATCACTATGCATATGTGTTGTGCAGGTAGGGGAACACACATCACAAGGAATATGTGTTTCCCAGGTAGGGGAACACATATCACTAGGGATATGTGTTTCCCAGGTGAGGGAACACATATCACTAGGGATATGTGTTTCCCAGGTGAGGGAACACATATCACTAGAGATATGTGTTTCTCAGGTAGGGGAACACATATCACTTGGGATACGTGTTTCCCAGGTGGGGGAACACATATCACTAGGGATATGTGTTTCCTAGGTGGGGGAACCCGTATCACTAGGGATATGTGTTTCCCAGGTCGGGGAACACATATCACTAGGAATATGTGTTTCCCTGGTAGGGGAACACATATCACTAGGGATACATGTTTCCCAGGTGGCAGAACACATATCACTAAAGATGTGTGTTTCCCAGGTGGGGGAACATAAATCACTAAAGATACTTGTTTCCCACGTGGGGGAACACATAACACTAGGGCTATTTTTTTCCCAGGCAGGGGAACACATATGACTAGGGATACATGTTTCCTTGGTGGGGGAACACATATCACTAGGGATATCTGTTTTCCAGGTGGGAGAACACATAACACTAGGGATATGTGTTTCCCAGGTAGGGGAACATAAATCACTAGGGATATCTGTTTCCCAGGTGGGGGGACACATAACACTAGGGATATGTGTTTCCCTGGTAGGGGAACACATATCACTAGGGATACATGTTTCCCAGGTGGCAGAACACATATCACTAAAGATGTGTGTTTCCCAGGTGGGGGAACATAAATCACTAAAGATACTTGTTTCCCACGTGGGGGAACACATAACACTAGGGCTATTTTTGTCCCAGGTAGGGGAACACATATGACTAGGGATACATGTTTCCTTGGTGGGGGAACACATATCACTAGGGATATCTGTTTTCCAGGTGGGGGAACACATAACACTAGGGATATGTGTTTCCCAGGTAGGGGAACATAAATCACTAGGGATATCTGTTTCCCAGGTGGGGGAACACGTAACACTAGGGATATGTGTTTCCCAGGTAGGGGAACACATATCACTAGGGATATGTGTTTCCCAGGTAGGGGAACATAAATCACTAGGGATACTTGTTTCCCAGGTGGGGGAACACATACCACTAGGGATACATGTTTCTAAGGTAGGGGAGCGCATATCAGTAGATATATGTGTTTCTAAGGTTACAGGCGGCAAAAAATTTAAACTAGCCGGTGATAACGGCGGTTGCCGACGCATTTTGACAACCCTGAGTACATTACTTAGAACTCCAAGCTAATGTTTTTTTTACCAGAGGGTTGCCATGAAAGGCCTGGGGCTGTGGATTTTCCCTGGTTACTGTTAGCTGGTATGACCTCAGGATACTTTCATGGAAAACAAAAGGAAGTAGGACCTCATAGCCGTTCAATTTCCTGCCTACTAATTACATATCCCCGCCTTCTTGAAATCTTAGCAACACTTCCTGTTTCACCATGTGTGTTATCTAAAACTGGTAACCTGTGCCTACCCTTATATATAAGTTCCACTTTGATGGGATTTTCCAGTTTGGCGAATCATTAGGACTGTGAATGTCAAGTCAATGGTAGAATACAATATTTGTTATTATTATTTTTAACAGGGAATTGCTCCTTACATTGGCTTAAATTTTGCAGTTTATGAAACACTTAAAGGTGACTAATGTTACACATAAGCAATATTATTTTGATGATCATATTTTAATAATACTCTCTTTACTTGAATAATGTGTTATTTATTTCAAAATATTGATGGTGCTCTTCATAGTTGACTCTGCTCTGTTTCACTCATTTCTTCCAGTCAAAGATTGCACATACAACCGAATTTCAGGGTTGTTCACTGTTTTTGATGACTTGTTCCTGTAAAAGATAATAATATGTACTCTCATTTAAGCAGGTCAAGCATGATGTACTCTGCAACAATTTGATTGCCTTTAGAAGTTTTTAAAGGTTTCTTAGAAGAAAACAAGCTGAAGTGAAGAATATAAGTTATAGCATTTGATAAATTGTTGCATTTTATTAATTACAAGAGTACTGTTTCTAGATTTTGTGCTGAGCCACTTTATTGCGCATGCTCGTGAGGCAGAGTTAAAGCGGATGGATAAAGACAAGGAGTTACCTGTTACTGTTCGTTTGATGTGTGGTGGATTAGCTGGAGCTATTTCACAGACAGGTAAGACGAACAGCTGTTTTAGCCACTGGATTCAAAAGAGCCTTTGCGTTTAAAATCGCCGCGCGGTTAGGTCAATTGATTAAGCGCCGGTCTGCCGAGCGGGAGGTCGTAGGTTCAAACCCTGGCCGGACCAACCCTCAGGGTCTTAAATAATTGAGGAGAATATTCCGCCTTTGTTATGACATCTACAAATGGTTAGACATTCTAGTCATCTTGGATAAGGACGAGAAACCGCAGGCCCCATCTTACAGCTCTTTCACTGTTCTGATTCTTGTGGGACGTAAAAGAACCCACACTGCTGTTCGGTTCGTAAAGAGTAGGGGGCGTAGACACCGGTGGTGTAGTACAACCTTTCATGGGCTGGGTGGGTAATGAAGGGATTGATATCAATTGGGACGTTAGTCCTGTTTGATCCCCTGTCACCGTGTTGAGTCACCGTGCGAATTTAATAAAGTCAGTTCAATAAAGTCAAAATCAAGTCAATAAAAACCGGAAGGTTCCTTTCCTTCTGTATATCATTTGTGCTTCTTCTCAAGTTTGTATTGATTCTTTTGCTTCCTTTTATTTTTGTTCTGTTTTTCTTTTAACCAACTTAGTTCTGTTTTAACTGGCCTTGAATTTAAACAGACTTTGTCGTTTTTTTTTTTCAGCGAAAACGTATTCAAATTGTTTTTCCTTATCGGGTTTTACTCACATTAAAAAACTAGTGGTGAACTTTGTTCACTTTCTAATTGGAATGTCAAATAGATTCAAGAAGTCTCATTTTGCATTGGTTATTCTTGGAGTGGAAGTCGTTTCTACAGAGTGAATCCCTATTATAAGAGTTTCTTCTGCAGGAACGTTAACATAGGAATGATTTCGTAACGGTACATTTGCAACTGATCAAGGTAAGTAGATGACACATTTACCTAGATGCATCAGCACAATGTCGAGGATTTTATTGAAAATGATATCAGCACAAGTATAAAGTTCAGTAGGAGCGGACACATTCGCTGGTTACATGCCTGCATCTATAAGCATCAAGACTCAGTGCCATCAACAGATCATGGACCTACTCACAGTGACCAGTATATTAACTTCCAGTCCAACCATGGCTAAGATTGCAAGAGGTCCGTTGTCCAAACAATTCCTGAAACAGAGAGGAACTTCATCTTCATAATGTTTTACTCAAGAATAAAGAAGAGACGAAACGGCGATACATTTAGCACCTCAGAGAGGTTAATCTCAAACCGAATAGCTACTGAAAATAGGGCTCATAAAACTCCTATATAGAAGTAACTTCCACTCCAAAATTTCCGAATACTTGTACTTTTAATTCCTGATTTCTGTCATGATTGTTCTTTTTTCTCAGTAACCTATCCACTAGATGTAGTACGAAGAAGGATGCAGATGAAAGGAATTAGTGGAGACTTATTTGCATACACTTCAACCGGAAATGCATTTACAGTTATTGTCAAACTGGAAGGCTTTCAAGGTTTATACAAGGGAATGTGGCCAAATTTGTTAAAGGTAATAGTAACAGTATAACGTTAAAACTCAGACGTTTATTTTTAGTTTGTTTTGTGTGTATGCGTTAGTGGCCCTATGCAATTTTCATTTTGTCGAATTTGAAAGATTTCAATTTTTAGGCGGGGACATCATATTTTCTTTTTAACTTACCAGTCAGCGTTCTTTGTGAGTGAATTCTTGGTCCATTTTGTGAAACCACTCTCGTTTGAGGATATGTTAAAAGCTTCCTGCACAATTTCTTTATCAGTAAACTGACAGCGCTAAAAAAGGGTAACATTACAAGCAGTGAGAAAGCAGCCGACTTTTCGTGACATCATCACTGGTTTTCCCGTGAAAAATGACGCCTGAGGAAGGGCCGCAGAAATTCCATACTGATGACGTGTCAATATCCAAACAGGGCGGTGCTTCTACCTATGTCTGGGTAGTAAGGCGTCATCAGTATGGAACTTCTGCGCTCGTTATTCAGACGTCATTTCGCGGCGAAACCAGTAGTGGCGTGGCGAAATGTCGGATCTTTTCCAAGGCTGTCCAGAATCCCAGTCACACTGTCGCCAGTTAAGGCCTTTCAAGGTGCCTGGGTTCAAGTGTCAAGTGCATTTCTCGGCAACTAACGCGTTGTTATCGGTTTTGTAGGTCGCTCCTCTGGTTGGAATACAGTTTGTGACTTATGAAATAACCAAAGCCCTCCTTTATGGCGAGGGACTACAGCTGCCGTTCAGAAAATGATCATTACCCCATATATGGCACAAAGAAATGTTGGCTTCCACTGTCATTCGCTCTGAAATACGTTCATACAGGAGGAAACAGGAAAGATAATTTGCACGAGTCATCGATAAGTCACTGAAGTGTTTTAACATTCATACGAAATCACTGGAAGAGTGAAAAAGCTGAATTATGTTGCGCTTTTACATGTGCAGACATATACAGAGAGTCTGAAGAAATTTATTACAACGTTATCAAATCAGCAGTCCGGCAGAGCTCTTTGACAAATACGATACAGTACCTTACCCTGTGGGTAATAATGAAAGGCTAGTGGCGGTAAAACATTTACTGCTGACTTCTCTCAGTTTTAGGCAAGGATTCAACTTAGCTAGGTATAATCCCTCAGCCAGAGGCACGAAAGTAAAAAAAAAAACAAACAATAATAGCAAACACAAACAACAGAAAAAAATGGAAATCTAACAGAAAAAAAAATATATATATAATCTGGCCTCTGGACTATTTTTTCGGACAATTGTTTATTTACTTTATAGCTACCCGCCTGCTTGTATTGATTTTGTACGGCTCTCATTAAAGTGTGCATTTGGGTTAGAAATATTGGCCTACTTGTTTTTAATTGCAACGAAAAAACAGAGGGTCCGCAAGCTGTGTGGTGGAAATGGGCGTGATAGACCGTGTAGTTTGTAGACTTACCCTCTTTTGGTGCCATAAAGAAGGCGAAAACCGCACCATTAAGGTGATGCTACACGGGACGATTCGCAACGACGATTTTTTGCACAACGCAGCGTAGCAATCTTGGAACAAGGTTGCAACCATTTGAAACAATGTGGAAATGATGTGTTGCGTGGAAAATCGTCGTTGCAAATCGTTTAACATCACCTTTACGGTGGCTGGAAATCTTTGACCTGTATTTTAGAAATGAAAACCGTAAAGTTATTGGAACAAGTTGTGAAGTGTTTTTTTGGTTCTTTTATAATGTACTTCCTGATTTATTGTTTATATCAGGTTTTATTCCAAATTGATTGTGAATTTTGCCTTTTATTTCATTGTTGAGTCGTATTACATCTGTACTGAAGGGACTGTCTGAAGGAGCACACAAGTCAGTCTGGTACCCAGGGCTGCTCCTGAATGGGATACTGGGATACTTGTCCACTTATGTCACTTTTTTGTGGGTTGAGGGAGACTGTGTACAACCCGACCTGAACTCAATACCAACAAATGTTCGGTATCACGTGAAGAACATTGATAGTATAACGGGGGTAATACGTATACCGGGTATCTTCCTCCCACTGTCAGAGTAAGAGAAACATTTTGTAATCTACTTGTCCTTCCGACAACCATCATAGAGATTTTGGTTGTCCAAAACGCAAAAGTGCTTGTCCAAACAATTTGATTCAACTTATATGAAGTGAATAAATAACAATTATTTACCAAAGTGGAGGTGGCTAGCACGGACACTAAGGTGAATAATTGTTTTAGTATCTACTAAAACAGTGAGATAATTGAGCACAAAAATGATGATCTTTAACTCATTTACTGTTGCCAACGATTACAATTCACCTCCAGTTCCTGCAAGCAAAATACCTTCCCGGTTTGCTGCCGTAACAAACTAAGAAATTTCACAACTAATCAAGCAACCTATTCCCAAAATACATGAAGAAGGTGACGAAGTTCGGTTTGGAAGTTTTAACAGGTAAAGCTGTGTCTTTTTGACTTGATTTTATCGATAAAACCGGTGAAAAAGTTTTTTGTTTGCAAATGCAAATTAAGCTTGTCTTGCGTTACGTTATTTAGTTGTCTTGTTCATAAATAAGCTTAAAACTAAATATAATAATATTTTTTGCAGAATGATTTTAACTACAAAAAGAATTCACAACTCCTTTTGAAGAAACTTCCCCGCAAGAGCTAAACAAACGCCTTGAAAAGTTTTATTTGTCGCCAAGAAAAAGCGACGACCGCGACCGTTCGGTCATCGCGTTCACTGATTGAGTAGCCAATCAGAGCGCGCGAAGAACACTATCCACTGTTTTAGTATACAGCTATTTCGAGAAAGGTTGTCGGAAAAAAGTGCACGCGACAATCCCGAAAGGTAATATGGGATATGATCAATGCACTGTTCCCGACCACTGTAGCCGTCGAACATACTTTTGTTGCTTTCCTTTAGCACTCGCAAGCATATGTCCATGGCCTCTCGTGCCATTTTGTCAAATTTCTTTGAAGAACAGAGGACTCAAAACCACCCACAATACCTTTCCGGGTTGTCGCGTGCACTTTTTCCGACAACCTTTCTCGAAATAGCTGTATACTAAAAAGACATGTAACGCGCCACGTTTAGGATATTTTCATTTAATATCAACGTTAATTGTGGTATAATTTATAATGCTACGGCAAATGTTACTTATGCCAGGGTAATAAGTTATAAGATACGAAGCTCACGGAAACAAATGGAATGGCCACAGAATGAAGAAATATAATTTACAACCAAACCTCTTTAATACGGACTCCAAAGGGACAGAACCAAGTGTCCGCTTTACAGAGGTGTCCGTATTATAGAGGTAGGGGATGTATGATTTTGGCATTTCTGTGACCAAACGAACTGTTAGCCTGCGTAGCAAGCTGTTGCAAGCTGTTCCGCGCGAGTTCGTCGAGAAAACTGGAACGAGAGCAAAAAAAGGAATGAACGAACTGTCCGTAATAGAGAGGTGTCCGTAAGGAGAGGTTAGACTGTACACTCATTTTGTCAAGTTGGAAGTTTGCTTTTATATGCATTTATATGACTACAAGATAAATTTCAGTTCTATTGAAATTCGTGTTTCTGTGGTTGTTCAGTAATCAGAAATGTGCTTGTCCTACGGACAATTCATGTCAAAGATTTACTTGTCCGAACTAAATTTCTACCTGTCCCGGACAATCGGACGTCGGTTTTGGCGCACCCTGCAGTCTGTGTGTCAGTAAGTGGTGAAGTCGTTTCAGCGATAGTTGGATATTTTTGCAGTCCGTGATAAAGAGCTAAAAAATTCGAAAAATTTGAACTTGTCGAAAGTCACCTTTCACGGAAAAACAGGATTTTAAGGACGTTTTGGTCAGTTCCTTGAACGTCACAGGCTAAGGGCTGGCGTCCCCAAGTTGTAATGTATCGGTCAAATCGAAGCTTCAACATGCCCCCCCCGGGCATACCCCGGGCATTTGACACCTTTGCCGTCCCGGGGAGGAGGGAATTTGATTATCAGAGTCTTTCAGGGGGTGGGGAATTTGATCCCCATGCTTTAGGGGAGGGGAATTTGAACTGCACTCTCGATTTCATGTAAAATCTTGGCGTGGCCAGCTATCATGGCGGACGCGGTGTAAGAGGATTTTCGTGGAAAAGATTGTGCCTTTGTGGCCAATTGGTTACAACGAAAGGGCTTAAACAAGCTTTGTGCCGTGTTTGAAGTATTTAAATTTTAAAATTTTAATATTGGATTCAGGCTTTGAATGTGTGAAAGTATTTTATTGTTGTGTTTACAATAAAATACAATACCTATACCGGCGATTCAATATAACAACATAAAATGAAATAAAATAAAAAGCTCAGGTCAACTACTTTGACTACTGTTAATTAATAAGGTGAGCGATGATGCATGTCAGTGAAATGGTCATGATGTAGTAATCTCAATAGATTGCATGACGAAGAAGAGCTGAGCATTCAGTGACCTTGTAGCAGCAATGTCCGCCGCTTTGCATGAGACGTTTGTTCATAGTAAATACGCTAACAGTGTTTCTCAGTTTTTGTTATATTCATAAAGATTTTGTTCGACAACTGAGAAGGCGTTTCCGCCGTCCTTCTGTCATTTTTGTGCCTGTGAAATGTCCCCGGGGTGGGGGCATTTGATCACCTGAATGGACCCTAGAGTGGGGCATTTGAACGGCATTTTGGCCCGGGAAGGGGGGAATTTGAACAATAATTTTCAAAAAAGTCAAATGCCCGGGGGGTTGCCCGGGGGGTTGCCCGGGGGGGGCATGTTGAAGCTTCGATTTGACCGATACATAAAGAGGTTCAAGTGATAGAAATGCATCCTGCCAGCATTAGAAATGCTCAAGGGAGTAATTATCTAGCTGTGCATATTCAAATACGTTAAGTTTGTTAATAGTCTTCAAAGAGGATGAGGTAATCTTGAAATGGTATGAATTGAGCCAAAAATGTAACTTGCATTGGGAAACGAGACAAAAGTCACGTCTTCCTCAACTTCCGGTGACGGCCTACGCTGTATTTACCGGAAGGGAGATATCGTCCAATCATAATCGCTGTGTCTGCAGCATATCATGCACTGCTAGCTCCGTTGTATATTTTTCTTTCAGCCAAAAAATGAGCACGACTAACTTTTCTGACCAAATTATCCTGTAGATATAGTGATCGCTAACTTAACACACTAAAACATGGTTCTAGAAGTATGACTCCTGAAAAAATGCGCGAGTCTCGCTGGTGGGAAAGTTATGTTCCGAAGGACCAGTTGATTCATCTTGTCGCTGGTGGGATCGCTGGAGGAGTTTCCAGAACCTGTGTTTCTCCTCTGGAAAGAGTGAAAATGTTAATGCAGGTAATGAGATGAATAAGCCTGAGCTATTTTATTTATATCGTATCTTAACGCCGACATGAGCCTGAGGAAGACAGGTATGGTACACTCAAATAGCTGTGTTGATGAGTATTGGGAAAGGTTGCTGTTGAAGCTGATGTGCTGTAAGACGCTAGTGGAAGCTTTATATATGCTTTCTTTGTTTCAGATACAAGTTTCTGAGGCGAAGTATACGGGTGTAACGCAAACTTTGGTGAAAATTGGAAAAGATGAAGGGCTTTATGGGTATTTCAAGGTATGAAAGCTAAGAAATATGACAGTTTGGTAGATTAGAGCTGGGTTACCTATTGAACCCTAACCCTGACCCCTATGTTGTGCAAACTGTAGAGGTGTTAGGACTTTCCCTTGTTTTGTAAACAAATGACTTTCTACGGTAGCCTGCAAGCAATTTCTCTTGGCAATCTCCTGTAACTCCTGTTCCCATTAGAGGAAGGGGTGAGAGAACTTGCGTGCTTTTCTTAGGAATTTTCGTTCCCCCCTCTCTGAGTACCCCATGGCCAAAAGGCTCCTGGTCTGAGCTAAATCAGTGCAAATGGTAGAGTCTTTGAATGAAGATTGCCACAAATAACTAAATTAACTTTTCCCTTCAGACATGGCTTTGAATTACTGTATTCCTACCTTTTACTCTATAGATTTATTTCTATGCATGTTGGCTAATGTGGTTGGGGGGATTTTTTGGTATGTGAGGTTTAGACACACATACAGCAGAGAAAGCAGGGTGTTATCTTGATATTTCTGCTTAATACACCAGGTGTCTCTTGATTTTTCACTAAAAGGACTGGGTGACATTTTTCTAAGTTTTGTTTTATTCTTATTTATTCTTATTCTTGTTTATGAGGGAAGAAGGAGAAGGCAAATTATAAAACATGCCTGACTTATAATAAGAGCTCCTTACTGTGAATACTAATAGAGAGGAGAAGTTGTTATGTCACATTGCCATGGTAGCAAAGTTTCTGGATGAGAAAAAACTAAAACATCACTTAAAGGGAATTTACAGTTTTTCAAACTTCATCGATCTTGTTCAGTTTCATTTAATTTCTCACATGTTGACGAAATTTCTGAGTTTGAATCTGAAAGGACCGTATCTAAGGTTAGAAAAAAAAGATGATTTTTGAGTTGTGCTGCCCTACTCTGTAAAGTGGGCGCATGAAATTAGCAAGTTTCATGTCGCAGGCATGCAACAATGGCTAAGAAATTTACAAAAAAGCATGATGCAACTGTAAAGTTGGTCTGAGCTGAGATCAGCAATATTGGTGTGTAAATGGTTGGTACAGTAGTTTACGTACTAAGATAATATGGGCGGGTATTGTATCTTCTAGAGTTTTCATCATCATGATGACGTCAAACGGATATAACCAGCACTGTCAGTAATAGTAATAATTATTTATTATTATAGGGGAATGGAACGAATATTGTCAGAATTGTTCCTTATACTGCTGTTCAGTTTGCTGCTTATGAAGAATTTAAAAAGGTATGTTACAGTATAAGCAGTCATGAGACACTGTGTCACAAACATGTGAATATTATGCTTTGATCAAAGTTACTTATTACATGAAATTATTATAATATAATGAGTAACTTTGATCTGAGCATAAGATTCCAGTTTCCAATTTCATGTGAGGACGTTTCATTTCTTTGATGCAGACTTCATCACCATTTAATTAATAATATTAGAGTCAACTAATGCATTTTACAAAGAAAAGAAACTACAAAAACTAGAGCAACACATACAGTTGAGCCTCCATGTTAGACCAGCTCATGTAAGAGACCACCTCTCATAGGCCACAACAGATCCAAAACACCAAATTCTTCCAGTCAAAGCCCTTACATAGTCGGAATCTCTCATAAATGACCACCCTTCACAAATGATCACAATCACTTTTGGGATGACAAAGTTTTCCCTTTGAACCTTGCTTGATGTTCTGACCACCTTATATAAGCTATAATGTAATTTGAAGAATATTCACCAAGTCTCACAAGAAACTGCATGCTCCAACTCAGATCCAAAAACACCAAATTCTTCCAGGACTTGAAACTCAAAAAAAAATGTCTTGGAGCAAAAGGAAGGACCAAAAAAAAACCTCAACCCATGTGTGGTGCAGCCCCTGATATTCAAACATTGGTCATTTTCTCTCTTGGTGAGCTCACATGAGCATTGTCCACTACTTCACAACCTTAAAAATCATAGAATTTAAAAGTTGACCCCCTCTATTAGTGCTCCCTTATAATAAAAAGAGCTTGAATTTAAATAAGCCCCCCTTTTAGGTATAATGTAGATTTGGTATTATAAATTTTATTTAACTTTTACAGATTCTAAAAATTCCTCAAGATCCAAGAGAGCAACGCCCGTTATTGCGGCTTACTGCAGGAGCTTTGGCAGGAATTGTTTCATCTACTGTAACATATCCACTTGATTTAATCAGGTGGGCAACAAAAGTCAACTTTAGTCTCTCTTCAAAATTAACCTTCAATAGTGTGAGGTATAAGTAGTGACCTCTTGGGGAAATCTGCCCCGGTAAAAGTGGTTTAATATTTTTATTGAATTGTTTTCACCTGGAACTTTTTTCAGTGACCAAGAAATTGACATTTAATGTGTAATGATTTTAATGGTTATTTATATTGTCACTCATAATAAGTAATATTGTTGTGCACTTGTTTTGTCCACATTATCTTAGTTTACTTTTCCCCATAATGGACATTGAAGACGCTTGTCTAATAATAAAACCTCTGCCACTCTTTCAAGGGTGGAGTCAGCCTGTCAGTGTCTTGAAGCAAAAAAAATGTATGAAAGGAAAGTTTGTCTAATCAAATTGTGCGTGGTTTTCTTAGGACAAGACTAGCTGTTCAAGGGGAAGGAAAGGAGAGACGTTATAGGTGAGGCTCTACTTTGGCTGTTGGCTCTACTCTTTTGTCACTCCAGGTGTCATATCGCACACAACACTTGGACAAGGGTTGACGCTATGGTTACAACCAGTGTGCATTTTCCAGCTAACCAAATTTGTCTGTCATCAATTTAAAAGCAATTTTACTGTCACGCAAGTAAAATGTAGTTAATGGAACGTGACGCCAGTTATCAGTAACCCTTTCATGGCGGTTCCTTTTCAATAAAGCAGTTGTGTAGTCAAGCTGCCAAGGTCAGCAAGCTCTAAGATACATTGTATTCTAGCGTAGAACTTTACGGCCTTGTTGTCTTTAGCATGCTAGTACGATCCACAGCATTGGCCAACTTTTTCAATGCACTATTCATGGCTAAGAGTTCGCACGTGCAACGCTGAGCTGTCTTGTAGTACAGCCTTTTCTACTGGCTATGCCAGCAGACGTTTGTCTAGCTATAAAAGCCTAGAACAAGTGTGCAGAGTTCACTTGGCTTCTGTTATTCAGCAAGGTTAGCGCTCAGTATACGATTCTTGTAAAATTTTTCCCTCCCTCCCTCCCTTTGGAGACGAGGTTTGGGCTTTGTTTTGTGCTATGCGGTCAAATAAACTAGGGACACTCCTGCGCCATGCGGTTAAGTCTGCGCAGCGACTTCCCCCAAGCTTGTTGGCCGCGTTGCCGTTTAAGTAATGGTCCGTGTAAGAGGTAGGCAGGCGAACGGCAAGAGTGATTAAAAGGTGCTAACTTTTAATCATTAATTTCAATTAAATCAAGCGTTCTGATTGGCCGAAATCCAAAAATCGCCAAAAAAACAGTCAGAAACGTGACAAAAACAACTTTTTTTAGCTTTATTTTCCCCATTCCCCTGTCTTATACCACACGGCCAAGTTTCAGCATTGTTCTATGCGCCAATCAAAAGTTAGAGCGGAAAACGTGCAACACACGCGCGACCTTGTTGTGACCCCATCTTAGTGTGACACTTGAGATGTTAGGAAATTTGTCTTTTACCCGAAGAAATCTCGCCAATTTCTTCGTGAAAAATCTGCATTTTTTCTTTATTGAATATTTATCTCAAATTTACTGTATTTTATCATCGGAGTGATCGTCAAAATGCTCTTAAACATGGTTTGCTGCCGTCCTCGACATGCCGAGTCGCCATGTGGAAATTTGGGCCCGGCGTAGTTGTTTTCGTTGTCAGGCCGGATCAGGAGGAGATCGAAATAATTGTGGCACTAGAAATTGGAGAACAGCTGGGCATAAAAGGAGAAATTAAAGCGAAAGATTTGTTGTTTTTACAAGGATGAATTTATTTCTCGAAGAGATGTAGAACACTTGAGCTTGAGGTAAGCTGAATTCAATAGATTTTCGCACCTCCGCGCGCATTATGTGTTATTCATGTGTTTGCCCTTTTCGAAACTTCCATATTCCGTGTAGCTTTACCCATCTCTCATTCGATTTTTTTTCTCTCTAGACTGCTTCATCAAGCCAAATGGAAGTTCGCCGTGGACCTTAAGTTAAAATGAGCGAATTGAAATTTGTGACACGTTTGCATTTTGTACCTTTGAGTTCTGAGACGGAGAATACCGAGACGGAAGCCGCTTAGGTATCATAAATAGCTGTCACTGGTGTTTGAGTTTCTCTTGGTACGGAAGATCTAGTGAGCATGACTGTAGCTTGCCTTTATTTTTTCAAAGGACGAAAGAGATTGTAAGAAGGATTTTTATAGAGTGATATCAAAACCTTGAAAACAGATAAACTGTAGGAGAGCTTTTTCTGAAACCCAATTATCCGAACATGCAGGAATTTTTTCTATCTGGGCAACATCATCTTTTTTTCCAAAAGCAGAAAATTTAGATAACATTTAGATTTGATTTTGTGTACGTGTTGTTGTTTTGTATGGTGGCCGAATATGAACGCGGGACATTGGCGCGTTCGCCAGATTCGCCACGTGAGAGTGAATTGCTGCTGTTTACGATCATGGTTTTGACATTTCTTTTGTGAGAGCCGACGTAAATGTTGTTCCCAACGTCGCTGATTGATGTAACACTGTGCTCATCTTCGTGTAATTTCATATCAGTTTAACTTCCTCGGGTTTGGCGCATAGAAATCTTTTAAATTTTAGATATGTTATATTTTTCAACATAACAAAGCAATAGACGAAATAAAAAGTTGTTCGAATGAGTCTTAAGCTATCTTAATTCAACTTTAAAATTCAAATTTCGCGCTTTTCGCTGTATTGACCAATCAGAGCATTCAGATTTAGTTTGATTAGAAAAATTAGCGCCTGAAAAATAACTGACGCTATTGCCGCAGGCTATTGTTTTTCTGCCTGCTTCTTAGCTGGACCATTACTTTTTAATATCACCTGCAAACCGATACTCTTGTCCGATCCAGCACGTGCTGTATTGCATTCAGCTCGTAGTGCTGGGGAGATAAGTGAGGTTCTTTGGTCACGCCATCGCCGGAAGTCGCATTAGGCTAACCTAGCGCAAGGCAGTGCTCCCCCATTAACGCCAACTTGTCATTATTTGTTTTTTATAATTAAGTTATGCGTTTAACATGCATCGCGAAGGAACAGAGACATTAATGCGATGTTGTTGACCGTACCCTTTTGAATAATTTTATTTACTTTTTTTTTATTTTACATCCTAATGTTGAAATAAAGTAAACCAAATCTAGGAGCGTCCTTGTAGTTTCATTTCAGGTTGTCATTTCAACAATTATATATCCTAGCTACTTTGCCTCTTTTTCATGCAGAAATATACGACATGCCTTTTTTACCATTATCAAAGAAGAAGGTGGTTTGTTTAGTGGCTGTTTGTTCAGGGGTCTGGGACCTTCATTAATAGTGAGTAGATGTGTTTTTGTGTATAATGAATGTTTACAATCTTTGAATAGTTACATATGACTCATTCCTCTATAACAATGTAGTTTCCTGAGAATCTCAATGTTTCCTTAGTTCCATCTTGGGAAGCAGTTCAGTTCAGTTCAGTTCCTCCAAAAAAAAAAGAATGTGGAATGCACTTTTAATTAGCATTTTGTTGTGTCCAGCTTGTCGAAAAATATTCCTTACTTTTAAAACGTGGTAGTTACATTTATTGCTCTTTGTGCTGCAGGGGATAGCACCATACATAGGACTCAATTTTGCAGTATATGAAGGCTTAAAAGGTATGTGTGTTGCCAAGTCTCAAATAAAAGAACACTGCAAACTTTCACAAAAAAGTCAGGTAACTGATGGGTCCGTAAAATCAGCGTTTTAACAATGTTTTAAAGCTTGACGAAAGTAGGCTTTTGATCTGCTTATAAAATATAAAAAGTCAAGGCAAGTCTGATAACTGCTGTTTGTTGGCCTCGAAGGCGCTCTCGAAGGTACTTTCAAGTCAAAACGTGCACTTTAACAGTTGGGTTTACTGTTTGGAAAGGACGCTCTTTTGTAATTTTACACGTTATTTAGTCAGTTTAATTTTCAGTTCAGCAAATTTAAACTGCTTATTTCCACCTATGTAATAAACTCATCCCAAAATACCAAGCAAGTTTTGAATCCCAGTCTCTCCGAGATTATTGATCCCTCAAAAGTAGTTGGTGATCATGTAAGACCAAAGGGTCTGACAATCCACTCATAGAGGCGTAAGGAGTAACAGACGCAGCGTTACCACAACTAGCTGGCTTAACTGGAACTTGCCAATTGCCGTGAGTGTCATCAGGCCATGGCAGTGGATCATCTTTTATCGACTTTTACATCTTTGGTGGTTGCTGCACGTAATCAGCAAATCGGCGTAATGAAGCTTATTACCTGTCATTAAGGTTTGCTGCCATTTATGAAAGGTCAACAAGCTGAAAGAAAAGCAAACCGAACTTTCAAAACACTAAACATTTTTCCACACAAAAAAAGAAATTAATTTGAACGAAATTAGTCCCAACAGTTGGGAAATTTATCATTTACCATATGCGAATAAAACGGCGTGCAAATTGGCTGTATACAGCGAAAAAACGAATCAACGAGCTGAAAGAAAACCAGACAGAACTTTCAAGACACGGCGCTACACTAGCTGATTGTTGCAATTAGATGAACTCTTTTGGGAACTTTTTCCATTTGCAGGATATGTCATGACCTACTATCTTGCTGAGACTGCGGGACACAAGTTACGGACATTGACTCATGAAAGAGACTTGCCTGTTATTATCAAACTGACTTGTGGATCTGTTGCTGGTGCTGTGGCCCAAACAGGTGATTAATATATCGGGTACCTCCATTGTCCCTGTTAGAATTATTTCTATTAATACTGAAGCCAGTGCTACGAAAGATAGAGTCGACTCCTGCTTTACTGAACCAAGTGATAGTCATACTGGGGGCGCTTTCCATTTGTCAGAACTGGCAGAACTGGACCAGTCAGTTAGTAAACGAAATGGGCTTTTTCCAGAGGGTTTGCTGAAAAACCATCTCCTTCGTGCATACTATTTAGGATTTGACTGATCTGGTTGGATAGTTTTGATTAAAAGTTTCTGCCCGGTCAGTTCTGGCAAATTACACTACTTATTCCCAAACGTGTTGTATATTCTGGGGCAGGAGAACAGTTGTTTGGCTGGGGCGGAGAAGGATCGTAAACAGGTTTTTGTGGTGCATCAGTGCAGGTGGAAAACTATGAAGGAGTTTTTTATGTAGTGACTACTTACTGTTTTATCAACAGGAACCTATCCTCTTGATGTTGTGCGTCGCCGCATGCAAATGAAGGGTGCAACTGGTGAATTGTTTAAGTACAACTCCACATGGCATGCTTTTAAAGTCATTGTCAAGAGTGAAGGAGTGTATGGGTTGTTTAAAGGAATGTGGCCTAATCTATTAAAGGTAAAAATACTTTATAACGCTTCTTTTTATTTGCCAACGGCAACATGAATATCCCTATTATCCCTGATACGAAGATGGGGGGTTTATTCAGAAACATTCACCGAACTAAAGGAACACCCTTTGGATATAGAATTATTACTTGATTTTTAGTGTCCAAGGCTTCTACAAGGTGACTACGGTAAACCGCACCGTAAGGTCACTGGCGCCACAGGCATTTCAAGGCTTTTCCTTCTGTCAACAATCATGAAAACTGAAGAATAGCGGTGGATTCTGTTTGCTAGTTGGTCTCTTGGATTTAAATCACATGTATCTTCTGTGCCCTTGAAAAAATCTCTTCTTATATTGTCATTCTATTGCCATACGAATATGTACTTAGCAGGAAAAAAAAATTATGCTACGTTCTTTGTAACCACTTGAAATTTCAGAATGTCCTTAAAAAACGCTCCTGGAGATTTTGCTCTAACGCGTTTTGAAGCTGGTCGAGATTTTTTGGTCACCGTGATTAAAAACCGGTTTTCGTACTCTTGGCGGCCTTCTGATACAGATGCAAAATATGAGCTTGCGAAGTTCGGGCATGCGCAGAAAGCAAAATTTATTTGGACCGTGATAAAAACAACTTCTGGAGTCATCCACCATGGACTAGTGGCTTTTTCTGACCCTGTAGAAACACTAGAGCAGAGGTGGCCTCACGGGATTAGTATTTGTTGATCAACTACCCATGGCTTGCACCATTTTAAAAGGTTTTTTAAACCTCTCTCAGTCAGCAACATCCCCCTCGATCGACTTTCTTCTTTCCTTGTTGAAGACCCTCCTCGTCGATGTCAGTTTGTTCAACTCAACCACCAACGTCCCTAACATTTGTCCCTTAATCTGCTATTCAGCAACAGGAAAGAGTTATAGTTGAGGGAATACAATCTCATCAAAATCCCACCGCAATACTTGTACTTGATTACGTACTTGTAGTCAAATCAAATGCTGGCTAAAAACTCCATGACTTTATCCTTCAAGAAAGAAAAATAGGGGGTGTTCGGAGAAATCATCTTATCGGCATTAAAGTTGGAATTGGTGGCTGTAAAGTGCTAAAAAAATATGAGGCAGCCGACAAAACGAAATTGTGGAACCGTGTCATTTTTAAGAGCGGCCCGCCCTTGACTTGAACATATTGGTCCATGGTAACCTAACGTTGTTTGTTGTTGCTTTATACAGGTTGCTCCCACCATTGGAATACAGTTTGCTGTGTATGAAGTCAGCAAATCTGCTCTACATAACTACTCTGAAAGTGTTTAAGAATATACAGTATATGTTTAGTCTAAAAAATGTAATTCTGTACATAGTTTTAACTTTTACCTAGCAATATATAATATCAGAGGAAGTAAATTATTCCTAGAATCTTCAGCCATTTTTTTTTTAACTTAAATATTGGTATAGGGTTAAGACTAACATTCGGAAGCTTAACCAACGATGACAAAAACGGCAGTGAAAATGTCGCTAGGAGACAAATTGGCGGCCTTTCAAACTTAACCGCATCTATGTTGTTAGCACAATTGTAGGATAAAAATACTGTAATATTAAAAGGCGAAAAGGTTATCAACGGTTCTGTTTTACTCCGTTATTTCTCTGTTATTAGCAGTTGCAAAATTGTTTTGCCTGCTTCCTATGTAAACACTTCCCTTCTTGCCAGGATGCATCCAAGTTACATCAACCACGACAAAAATTAAACATTAGTAGCCTTACCATAAGCAAATAAAATTGAGCTTTCGCTTAAACTGGAGGCTTGCCTCCAAGCAGAGGTCTCTCACAGCGAGAGAAGAGTTTTTCTCTGCTAGCAGGGAAACTAGAGGCTTGATGTCAGTGACGAAGAATTAAGAGTCAAACCCCGGGCTACTTAAATGTGATGTTTTTTATTACATTCTTACTGTCTGTACAAATAAATTTTCATTAACAATATAAGACTATCTTAACATAATTCTAATGGCGGTGGACATTCTGGTATTTTTCCGAGTATAAAGCTGTCAGCCATGAAGGCCTGCATGTCTCGCTCGCTGCATGTTAATGTCTGTCTTTCAGATGGTGATGATGATGATTTCTCGCTTGGTGAAGAAGACGTTGTGTTTGATTTCTGTGGAGTAAAGAAAATGGCGAATTTTTACTTGTTACAATTGTCTTGTGGGTTTCAAGGTTGAAATGAGATGATAACGTTTAGGTTGTTACCTCAAGACCAAAGGTGATAACATCTCAAGAAAAGGTTGTATAATTTCGCCTTGCGTGGTTGTTTCACGTTACGGTCGCAGACAGAGGTGATTAACAGCGCCAAGAGTGCAGAAAAATTTTGTACCACATACTTTAACCAAACAAAAGAAAGATCCTCCCTTTTTGAAAATGTTCATGTACTAAACCTACCACACAGGCTACCCACTCAGCAAACTTACGGTAACCTAACTGAGCTAACTGAGAAGCAGGCATTGCTCTTCTAAATTCACTCTCAGTTTCCAGTTACATGAGACGATGCTTTGATAGTCTACTTCATAGCCCCTATCACAACAAAAGCAGACCCCGGCGCACTGGTAGATGTTCGAGACGATCGCTCTTACTTTCAATAAAGCCATCCGTAACGCTTCAGCATACCGTATTGCATAATGGGACCCACCAATAATTGGTGTAATTGCTTCAAATTGACCTGTCTTAAATACCTATGAGCAGTTTAAACCTCTTTTAATACTCTCCCAAAGACCTTAAAAATATGGGGCCTCCAAGAAAGGTTGATGCTAATGACGACGCCTAGAAGGATGTGTTGCAATACCTGGATAATTTTATTTTGTTTTTTATTTTGTTTTTTTATCGCCATGATGTAGGCTCAAAGTTAGAAGGTCATACATTCGATCCCAGTGAAGTTGACAGTTTAAAAACGGGAAGGAACTGGGCCGCGTAAACTTCTGCAAAGATTTCTGGGACTCTTACTAGGAGCAGGAAAAAACAATTGACCAATAGCTGACCGGCACAACATTAGTAACGATCCCACAAACAACTGCGGACGCATTTCGGCTCCAGTTCCTTTCTCGTTTCTAAAGTGACGAATTTATTTCCACAATCCCCTATTTTTTCGTGAGATCGTCGAGGTATACTGCGTCTTACCGTTAATGGCGGCCATCTTGATTTTCAAATGTACCGAGGGGGCAGGCGTCGGGGATTATAGGGCTTCCCCAAACCGTCCCCCGCCCCGAAAGTAGTTTTGACACGTATGCAAGATGGATAGCCCGTAAAACAAAGCCCTCGATCTCGAACATCTTACGGAAAAATAGAGGACTGTGAACAGTCTAATGCTCAGTCCCTGCTCTTCATAAGATCGTGGCTTTGTTTTAACGAAGAAGTGATATGGTCCTCTACGATTTCAAATGGGAATTTTTGTCATCATTAATTTTTAAGAGACAGTCGGATATATTATTCTTTGCAACGCTATAAATGTGAATTAAGAACAGTAACGGGTAAAGCAAGGACCCCTGGGGTACGACGAAACGAAAATGTCTTTACCTGCCAACACGGAGGCGACGGCAACGAAAATGTCAAAATGTCACGCCCGAAAACTGTAATAGGTTGATTGAAAAATGTGAGTTGTTGCCGTCTTGCTTGACACAATTTCTTTAAATAAAGTTAAAACGAATAAATGACAATACCTTCCTCGCGATCTCTGATTTTGTGTATTGTATTGTATTGTATTGTATTGGATTGGATTGCATTGTATTGTAGAAGAGGACAACTGATGCCAAACTCTGTCAAACTTTGTTGCCACGTTCGAGAACTTCTTCAATTTCGTGTTCCAGATAAATCGGTTTGTTCACTATTGCAGATTTTATGATACCCTTAAAAAAAGTCGATATATAAAACAGCTATTCATGTCATTTTCTGTGAAGGATTAGATTAGATGACAAGATAAGACAAATATTAGTCGATATGACGGTCATTACTTTTACTTACCAGTGTGGTGGGTGGCATACTTTGACTTTCAAGGCCAATGTTGTTGCCTGTTTGTGGTTTGGATGCTTGAGTACTAACAGTTCCATGACTTGATGCGAGTGCGGCAGGTGATACAGAACCAAATGCTTGGTTTGTAGAACTCACACCAAACAAGTTTCCTGACTGTTTGCTTGTGTCTATGATGCTGCTTGTCTGGTTATTTATACCAAACAGAGTCCCTGGATTACTGGAGCTATTGGAATTACCAAAGACGCTCCCCGGGGTGGGTGAACTATTAAATACAGTCTGTGAGTTACTCGGCGATACATTGGTTTGTCCAAACAAGCCTGACTGACTGTTTGATTTGTTTGTTTCAAAGAATCCACTTGACTTCACATCAGAGCTATTACCATTAGAAGAATTACTGAAACTGCTCAAGGTACCATCACTAACAATTCCAAACAATCCAGCTCTGGGTCCAGTAGAAGGTAAGGAAACTGCCTCATGTGGTCTGCTACTTTTCTTGATTTCTTCTTGCTGAAGCAAAATAAATCAAATTACTCCTTTGTTTAAGAAGAAAAAATTTAAAAAAACAGACACAGGAAAAATCGAATGCAGTACCATAGTACCACGTAAACTGTGCATTGTAGTGTCAAAATGAAATTCTCATAAAATCGTTTGAACCTAGTTTTATTCGTGATTATGATTATGAGGGTAAGAAACAAAGGAAATTGAGAATCAACTTACATTAAGACCATTTTAACCTGAATTTCATTTTGGCCTACAACATACATAATGGCTCTAGTCACTTTTCTAATTTGCAGACTAGAGATGTCAGGCAAAACTTACAATTTGAGAGACACTCATTCTGCTTAAGTGATGTCTTCTGTTTTGATTATTACTTATCAGTTGCTTCAGTCCATGCTCCTGCAATTTACAACAATAATACAATGGTACACTATTCATTGTGCTGTTGACATATTAAGTTCTGATATTTTGTACATGAAAATGAAAAGATGATGTTAAATAGATAAAGGTATCAGGAAATCAAAGTACACTTAAGAAGAGGATTTATAAATGGTGGCATGGATTACGATTGGGAAATTTGTGGAAATGAGAACTAGAAGTGCCCTCCACCAATTTTATCTAGCGACATTGAACACTGAATTCAGTACATGGAGACCGAGATAGAGGAGATTCAATTCCAGTGATGTACATAAATTTCACAACCACTCAGATGGGTCTGCCAATAAACCAACAGTGAGCAGTTAGCCAACAGATGGCCATTATTATTAAACACATTTAAAGTGGGTCCATGGTTACGTTCTTGCACGTAATTGTTTGCTTCACTTTATTTGAGTGTCAATGAAGTTAGCACAAAACTACTAATTAGGGACACTACTTTGATGTCTCTAACTGGAGACAGGGACAGCCAATGATTAGCTTAGGTGGTCATCCAAACAACGCAAAGGTCTAGCCGCTTGCAGTGCAAAGGGAGTACGTTCATTTCTCAGTTATTTTGAGACCCTGAGTCTTCATTCGGCCCCAGAAATCGAACCCACAACCTCTTGATTCTACAGTCAAGCTCTTGACTGCCTTACTGAACTAATCCTGCCACAGTTGGCATACAATAAGTTAAATAATACAAAAAACTGAAAAACTAACTCAAGAGTCACAGTCCATGCTGCACTTGACCTATTTTTTTTTTCTCTTGTGACGATTGAGTTCACTATTATACAATACAAAGTGTTTATTCTCACATAACCATCAGCACTTCCTTTGGCATTGGCAGTGTATGCCTCTAAACGGATCTCTTCAGGAGAGAAGTCCAGTAAACCTAAACAAGTAAAACATAACAAAATGCACATGTTAATAAGTTTAATAGTCCATAGAATCTACAAAGACCAATTTGTGCAGTTTCTGATGGAGTGCCTTTAAATACCTCAGCTAGTAAAATCAAACACTTTGTATTGGCTGACTTGCCTTGAAAACAGGGTTCTTCTTTTGTAAAGGTGTAGCATGAGAGAGGCCATTGTCCACTTCTTTCCCAAATTGTCATATCATTTTGTACTGTTTGTCTGCAAGGGAAAAAAAACAGAAAACTTTAGAAATGATCATGAACAGATGCGGTGCTTTTTAAATGGCCTGTCCTCTAAGTAGAACTTTAGCTATGCTCTTTAAACCCTTGAAATCCAGAGAACTCAGCATATAAGTTAAGTAGACGGACTAAGCTAAGGTTTCCCGGTTATCCAAGGGCAAAAGTAAGTCATCTGGGGGCACCAGGATCTTATAGCACAGCACCGCAAGTGAAACAATCTTTGTCAATAAGAGACAGAATTCCAAGCAGTTAGAGTTCATACGATTAACTTAAAAACAAAATGTGTTTTTCCCAAACTGAAAATAATGACCAAATAAGATGTCATAATGTGCACTGTCTTCCTTGAACCTGACTTTCTAGATAAGGTAATACTAAGTGCATTTAATATCAATACCAGGGAAAACTGCTACAATAATTAAAGGAAGACTTAACTCAGGTACATCTGAGTTGGCCAATACTAGCTGTACAAGAACTACAAGAACCCTTCCGTCTTACTGTATTTGTGAAATCTGTTGCTCGCCATCTGAAGGCCTTGAATGTTGTCCAGCATCATTATTGGATAAGACTTCAAATCGATTCTGGAAAGGATATTAATTTCACTCTAAATAATAATGTTAATAAATAATTACTGTTCAATGGTCAAAGATGGGCTAGGTTTGAAGTCACAAGTTATAAACACCATTTAGTGAACACTCTTTCCTGAATCTGTTAATTATTGTTTATGTTAAAATAACACCATGAATTCAAATCAAATTATAACGGTGGTAACTAACTCTGTATCATGAGTAAAAAATGCATAGACCATTGTTTTTAAAGTGGGCATACTTCAGTAAGTCAGGCGAGTACGAAAAAAAAAACATGTCAATAAAAATAGTCAGTATATTTCTTACGCTACAAAAACCTCCACAGTTTAATGTGGCCAGGAAGTTTTTACTATTACTTAATCAAATCAGTCTTCTTGTTTTTAACCCATTTGCTCCCGAAAATTTTGCAACAAGAAAAACTTTCAAAATTACTCGGGCCATTTTCTGGAACAAACACTACACAAAACATAGGTCCAGCACTACACTGCCTCCTGCTTCTAAAAAGCAGCTTAATTCCACATGAGGCAAAATATTGAAAAAGTTACACTGCTCCATTGCCTTTCACCTTTCACTTTCTTTCCTTTTGTATTTCTTTCCGTGTTTTTTTCTGTTAGTGGGCACTAATTTTACTAAGCTTTATTTTGGTGGCAAAAGACTTGGCAAAACCTCTGAGGAGGGTTAGGGTTAGTGGTTTACTACACAGTTGTAGAAAAAAAATTCTCGTTGCATGGGTTTCCTGGTCGACTTAATTTTTTTTTGGCCTTTTTCACAGGCCTGTGTGACTGAATTGTGCTCATTCAGGCATGTTTGAAAGATTTCCTCCTGCACAAGTTACAGTCAGTGTCAAATAAAGTTGTCTATGACTGTTAAAACAGATGACAATCACAAGTGGTACAAGTCGGTTACAAGTCTGGTTTAGGTGGGAATGGGTTAACCTTAACTAGGTTTGTTGTAGACCAGGTTTAAGCTGTACCTGATTGCGGTGGCTGGAACTACTCCACTGTTGAGAATTAGCTCTACTGTTTGATTGCACCCTGCCAAATGGTCCACTTGAAGAAGTAAATCCTTGACTACCTGAAACAACAGAAGTCTTTAAAACATCTTGGGCAATGTTTGGAAAACTTCAACACATTTCAGAAAATTTGAATAATATGAAGATGTAGAGGTGTTAATCTGGTGCATATGACTTAATAGGAAAGGATGGCAGGGTTAGTAACCCAGTGGTTGAAATATTTTTTGAAAATATCTTGTAAAAATTAAGATAAGCTCACTGTTGTACCTCCATTTCTTTGGTGCTCGTTATGGCATTTGTCACCAAATCGGCAATATCCATTCAAAAAAAATGAACACACTGTTTTCTTCTTAGCTGAAAAAGAAATGATCACAATAGGAACTCCATGTGTCACTTGTACTGTAACACAAATGCAGTACATATTATTATTTACTTTATGTTACATTTTCTGTATCAAAATGCTGGGCACTATTTTTACACTTGTCACTGACGGCAAACATAAATGCAGTCGTTTTTAGACCAGACCAAAAATATTCTTTTTTGGCATCACTATGCTCACATTATTTTAACACATGCATCACTAATTAAATGGAGGTTGGATGCCTGGAGTATCCTGATGCTTCCACTTTTGGCAGCTAGTCACTAGAAAAGATTGAATAATGCCCCAATGGCTGGCACACGCAACTTGCCATGAGCCCCCACAAAATAAGGCAACAAAGCAGGCACCCATTACACTGAAAAATTTCAGTGGCAAAAGAAAAACAGGGAGGGGAGGGGGGAAGAAACTGGCTGGAAGAAAACGTATGGAAGGAAAATGCTGCTCAAAGGAGAATCTATATACCACCTTGTGAAAGATGTAGCAAACTAACTACATGCACGTGAGCATGCGTTGAGTATGACTGAGGAACATTTAAATGCATTCAGTCAATTAAGTGTCTTGATTTAGCTTGTTTCTGGTTTTTGCTTTGTTACCATTTCTTCTAGCCCTTTAATTCCTTTCAATTTTTATACTTGCATACAGGCATTTAACACTCTCATCTGCAATGAACACAACTACTGGTAGTTGTTGTCTTTCCAAATGTAGTGACAATAAGAACCAGTTTAATTATCCAAGCCTTTAATTTCTTTCACTCATTACAGAGAATGATGCAAAAATCTGGAGATCTTAGGTACGGAGACTTTTTTGAGGTATGAAGACACGTACAGAGATTCACCGCCCTGTCCTGGATATTTCAGGAGATTTGGCGTACATGACCTCGCCTGCAAGCAGGCTCACTTGTGTGAATTCTTTTTAATTTTTTCTTGCTGGATTGTCCCAAATTCCCACAAGTGAGCTTGCTCACAGGCTCAATACATATACATGACCTTATTGATCCTTATTATAACTTGGGGTGTATCAGTTGAGATGACTGATGAGGTTCTAAATCAGAAAGAAAGGGGTCATGTTGGGATGCAGGACTAGTAAAGCAGTACAGTAGTTTTTTAGCATGAGAGATTTTGTAATACCATGTGTTTTGTAGAATACAGTAATTTTATGGTGGATAGGAATACCATGACCGTAGTTTAACAGTTGGCTACAATAAGGTTAGGTTAGCCACATTTAACACTTAACATCGCAGTGGTAACATTTGCTTTTATTACACTAGCAAACCATTTCCCTCCCTTCCCTCTCATTAGGGTTTTGCTTGTTCTATTCATCGACAGTGCAATCACTTTTATTACTTGGTTGAGCTTGTTTTGGGTTTTCTTTTTCTTTCTCATTTTTGTTCTTTTATAATTATTATTTAGTTGAGGTACTTTTTTTGTAAACTAGATATTACTTTTTAGTTATTTTCCATGTATTTTAATCTGCCGTGTATCCCAAACAATACTTGGCTTACTGAGTTTTGTTGATTTAGTTGGTTGTAGGGGTGAAACCTGGATAAGCAAGCAAATGATCAAAGACTTGATGCGAGACTCCCTCCATGAAAAACAGCCGTGTTTCTCTTGTGATTTTAAGTGTTTAAATAAAGTATTACCCACCTAACTGCCTGCCTATGCAATTATTACATTACCAGGTTAGTATCAATCACGTATTGAGATCATAATCAATTTTTTGGTCAACTCTAAAATGGGGAATGCCATGCATACCATCTTAAAAACAAGCAAAGCAAGGGATATATACATTTCCATTTGTTAAATCACCAAATCTAAGACGTTACATTTAAGAAGAGGAGTTCTAACCAACCTGACGGATGTTCATACCGACATCTATCTCCAAATCGACAGTCACCCTTTAAAAAATACTGACAAACAACCATTGTAACTTGGAAAAGCCAAGAGAATCACTTGAGTTTTCGAAATTCCCGTAAGATGTACATGACGTACCTACCGTCCTATGGGTGCAATCGGCGTGTCATACATGACGCAGACGCAACTGGATGTGCTCAAAATGGCGGCCCACAAGTTGAGTTGATAGCTGTTTACTAGTTTGTTGGACAAGGACCACTTATGATGACTGATATAAAGAAACCTCGTCCTGACACTCTCCTCAAGACAAAGTAAGTGGTATTTACAGCAGACTTTAAAAACACAAGGTGTACATGCATATACTCATGAATGGCACGTGTTTACACAAAGCAGCTTTTCATTTAAGCTTACCAGGCCTAAAGAAGCCATTAATTTGCTGATCATAACAATTTTGGTCCTCCTTTAGTTTCGAAGTTTCGTCCAAAATCGATGCATTTTACACTGGAGGCAAAGTTCAGGTCAGTATTGATTTCTAATTCATTGTTGTTAGGACTTTCAAAGTTAGACTACAATGTTAGACAGAATAAAGTGGAACAGCAAACCCCCATCCCCCCAAATCAAGGATGAAGCTGTGCAAAAGCCAAAACATGCCATTTTCCCATCCTTGATTTTGGGAAGGGGCAGATTGTCCAAGATTGCAGATTCTAGATTGAGTGGATCATGTCTTACTGGGGGTGTCAACCAATGTATCAGCCAACATCTTGGTCGACGGTGAGTCAACATAACCGTCGCTATATCGTTCAAGTGTCGGTCAAGTATCTGTTGACAGTCAGTCATTATATCAATCAAGTGACACTTTATTGTCAGTGGAGTATCGGTCAAAAATCAGTTGACAAATCATCCAACAAGTTGGGCTGGATAATATCAGTAGTGTGTCAGAGATGTATTGGTGAACTGTTGGTGGAGTATCAGTAAGGTATTGGTGGTGTATTGGTTGATAATTTGCATTGCCTGTACAACTTTTTTTTCCAACCCTCTATCCCAAAGCTTTTCCCTTTGTTTCAAGGTACCTGTCAACTGACACATGATGGACACGGTTACTCACTACAGATTGATCAGTTACCAAATCGCAGGCTATTTTCATGCATTGGCCGACATTTCAGTCATGTATTAGTCAGCATAACAGTCACTATATTGGTCGAGACTTGGCTGATTTATGGAATGACAGTCAAATGAGGTATCAGCAGTTATCTTGACTAAGAATGTGTTGATGATCTGTCAACCAACCATAGACTGACTGTCGACCAATAGACTGTAGCAGCCGACTACATGATCTGAATGACCATCTTGATAGGCTGCTGTAGTCTCCTTCCCACCCAGAGTCACGCCATGCTCATGGGCAGGGAAGTGGGGGCAGAGAGCATTGTGTGATTCCAGCCTGAGCAGCTGCAAAGGAGACCAAGACTGCTGCCGCAATTTTGGAGTTGTCAAATTTAGATATCGGGTGCTTACTATTTATACAAACCACACAGGTGGAAATCTTGTACATAAACATAAAACATAAAATTTGACATGGTGGGAGAACAATCCACTACAGCGTATATCCAAAAAATTAATCAGCTGAACAGACTAAAAAAATTGAAGAAAAATTGCATCCCCACAGTTCATGTTTTCTGAAGCCCCCCAAATAGAATAGCATGAACCATTTGAATTTCCAACCAGAATGGCCAGATTTCCTATGTAAGTGGTAAGTACCCATTAACTTGGATATAGATGTTTCGAGCAACAACAATTTGCTGTCTGTCTCCTTTGAATTATACATAATAACTTTGATGTTGGACAAACCACAGCCTTGTCCATGCCACTAATTAAGACAAGCTCACTGTGCATGTTATGTACCATATTTAGCGTTTTAATATTTTTAAGCCCTGGTACTGGGAAATTTTCACCATTATGAAAGTTACAAGTTTCTTATTACTTTTTGGCTAGTTTTCCTCTGAAGAAGATCACTTATTATGTACCTGCAATGACAAGATTCAGGTCATTCACGTCAAATCTGGAAAAGTTGTACAAACATTGCAGGAGGTAAGTGCTTGTAAATAAAGCTATTTTTCCTGTCCATGAAGTTAATGTACAGTTATTGTATTTATATCATTAAGAAATAGCTAATTTATTTCCTCATTGTTCTCAACGTAGGAAGGCGATGTTGTGAGTTGCTTTGCTTTAAGCCCTGATGACAAGGTATGTTACATTCATTTGATTTTTCAACTAAGGCTCTTTGGTGCTTTTGAGGATCGTTCATTTTTGCTGCTTCTTTACATAAATTAATAAAATTAATGATCACTTAGCTTTAAAATTGGTTCTTCTGTTTCAGTTCTGTGTCACTGCCAGCAAAAGTTTGTTGTTACGACAGTGGGACTGGATGAATGGAACACAGATAAGAACTTGGAAGGCACGAAACAGTAAAAATTACATGTCTACCATACACTTTATTGTCACTCAGATACAGGCCACTAAACTGCATTATTTTATTCTAGAATGCTTTGAGTCTGATAGGCAATTCATATGCGTAATAAAAATGTTATGCCCATTTTTCAGACTCTTTTTTTATCTCTGTATTATACTACATAAGCCCGTGCAGTATTGTTCAGCAATGCATTGTTTCTTCTAATCCTAATTAGCGTGTATTGTATGATAGCATTGTTTGTATGCCCATGGGCTAAGTGTTAGTAGCATAAACTGTAGATACACACTTGAGTAGGACATAATCTATTCATTTGGAATGTACACTTCAAGGACACAAGTCGTGTCTGAAACTCACTTTTATATCATTACAATGTCTGAAAGAGTAGATATCAAGTTTATTTGAGATTTTGACCTTTAAATTTATTGCACTGTGACTAGCCTTCAAGACAGGAAAAAAAGCCTTGTTTAAATTAGTTTGTTCATATTGTTATCGGTAGAACTAAATATAAAATGTTTCCTTCGGTAGGCAGTTCACAGAGCTCCTATAGCATCCATGACATTTGACTCAACATCAACACTATTAGCAACTGGTGAATATATTTATTTCTTTAAAATATGATTCAGCTACTTGCTGGTGATATTATTTGCATAGATGTTCTTACAAAATAATAAATTAGCCATGGATCTTGGTAAATATTGAAAATCTGAGTGGTTCTTGGGCTGTGATATTTTGCATATTTGGTCATGGAGTGGCCATGTTTTCCTGAAGGTGATAAAACTAATATAACTTCTAGCTGGTACACAATAAAATTACTAATGTTCCTTCACAAATCAAGATAATTCTCTATAATTCTTATTCTTGATTCAACCAATATACAGGCTTCCCTGTACTGTGAAAGATATCACCTCAGATTATTTCTTATAGCTGAAAAGTCACTCCATGTAGATTATTCTCTGATAATAATAATATATTATAATAATCAAATATTCAAACAGGATAACCTTTCTTTAGCTGTCCCAGTTGAGGTGGTTGCTTGTACTGCATTTTTAGCTTGTCCAACAGTGAAAATGCGTGAACTCGGATTTTTGCTTGTACAGTACAACTAAAAAATGAGCGACTAATGCACACTTAGGCAGCATGGAGTCTAGTCCTGTTTAGCTCAAGCAATGTCTCTGAAAGTTAACAAACATTATTTCCAGCAACCTCTTGAATTTATTGTGGCAAATAATGTGATCAGACTTCTTAAGTAACAAAAACATTCCTTTTGTTGTTTGAATTCATAGGTTCAAGTGACAGTACAGTCAAAGTTTGGGATATTATAAAACAGTACTATACACATAACTTTAAAGGCTCCTCCGGTGTGGTAAGGTAAGTCAAATCAGTGATTTTTTGATAAATAGCAATTCAGGGGGGAAATATTATTATACTAGACAGGTCTTTTTTGAAACTTCAAGTAGCTGGGTAAATCATTCAAGTAGATGGGGAATCAGACAGCTAGGGATTTTGTTTCGTTCTGTTTTTCCTCCATTTTCCTACAAAAGTAGGCAGGAGTGACATTAATAATAGCTGGGGGAAACTCCCAGCCCTTAATGACACCCCCCCTAGACAATTTCATCATGAGTATCACCAAAAAATATTCTTACAATCATCATTAGTAGCCATTGGAAGTGTTGTTTCACAACATGACTTATCATGCAAAGGAGAAAAACTGAGCAGACTTTGCTATGGACTTAAAAAGGGAACACAACCAACTACAAAGACATTAGTAATGTATACCGGGTATATATTTTTTTCAGCTTAGTTTGTTTTCATCCCAACGCACAACTTCTCCACCTTTTTTCTGCGTCAGATGATTGTAAAATACGAATCTGGGATCTTAAGACAAGCAGGTACATATACTAATAGTATTTGTCAGAGACTTAATGCATTACTAGTATGATTAATAATTTTAATGCTTAATGACGATGCATGTATTACTGTAATTGGACTATTTGAATGTTGTGCATAAGACTGAATCACTATGAATTTTTTTATAAATATAAATTTCATGGAAATGTTTTTGGAAAGATATCACTCATTCTGTGTGCCACTTACAGGCTATACAGGAACTTGGGTGAAAATTTGTCCCCAAACCATAGTCCCATATGGCAATAATTTAACATGCTATTGTGTACAACTACTGTGGCCAACAAGATACTTTGTTTGATCAGGCTTATGGCAAATGGCAATAATATTATGTGACCTTAGCACATGTACATGTACATACACTAACAGCGATTAGTGGTCTCACTAGAGCCAAGAGGGGATCTGCCCCCAACAGATGTACTTGAGCATTGTTGAGGAATAGAAGATTTGAGATCTGAGTGCTTGACAAAAAATCGTCACATCATTATGTATCAAGGCCAAATTCCAGGTGAAATAACTAGACTTGTCTGGCGATGTGAGTGGGAAAACTCCAAATGCTTGGGCCACGAATAACTTGAAGCCTTTATCATCAAAAGTTTGAGATTCGGAGCATAACCTCCTTGTGCTTGGGGTCATATGTTTTGACCATAGATAAAAAAAACTGGCAACAAAGTCGGGTAGCTCCAACTTCTCGAACTCATTTATTGGCGCACCTGGGGAAAATTCTTGGGTCCAGTAAATAGCTCTCTTCTTTCTGGTCATTCTGGACTTTGTACACTTGCCCCCATTGATGGCTTCTTTTGAAACAGCGTTGTCAGGTGATGTCTTGCGGAGTTTCAGAACCTCCAGCTCCAATGCCAACGTGTCTCGCTGTAACTTGACAGGTTTGATTTTCTCTGTGATGGAAGTAAATGAAAAGGTTTATCGTCTGGCAGAGGTCTTGAAGGGATGGAATTAATGGTGCTGGGTTGTTGCTGTGGCAAAGGCTGGGGCATGGGAGAGATGCCTGCAGGGGCCATTTCATGATCAATCTGATCTATTCAAAAGTGCATGTATTGAAAGTCTGGGTCTTTTTTCAGTTTTGAGATGTGGCTGGAGTGTTGAAGAGAGACCGAAGAAAACAATTGAGCCATTGAGATTTTCAAAAGTTTAAAGACAGTGAACTGAATAGTTCAAACTGTTCAACGCAAGATAATGACGGAAGTTCTAAACTGATCTTATTGAATCTTACATGTGTATAATTGACACTTACATCATTGGACAATCATCAATTCTCACTAATGACAACTAACGCAATTGCACTGAATTACTGTAAAGTACCATGGATAGGAGTAGGTCATAGTTTTCTGGTCTTACTGGTTTTCTGGTATTTTTCTAATGTGAATGTTAGGTGTCTTGCGGTGTTAGAGAGTCATTACAGTGTGGTAACATCTCTTGCATTCTCTCACTGTGGACAGTATGTGGTCAGGTAAGACCAGCTTTAATATGATTTAAACTCTAAAACATTAATGATTATTGGTCTGTGTGTTGTTAAAAGTTAAATACATGATCTCTTTGGATCTGTTTTTGTGTTTAATACATTGCATGGGAGAAATTCATTACAAAACTCATTATGAAACATCAAAGGAGATAAATGTAACTTGATATATTATTTCATACATTTTGTAGCTCAAGTAGAGACAACGTTTTAAACATGTGGAATTTATCTAACAAAAAACTTTTGAGGACAGTCCCTGCTTTTGAGGTAAGGTTCACTTTTTCACAAATATTGGCTCAAACATTGAGTCGGTATTATATTTAATTTGTGTCTTTGATTCAGTTAGACACCTTTAGTAAGTAATGGACAACTTCAGAGGAGAGTCTGTGATTTAAAGTGAACAATAATTATTTATTATCAATCTAATAAATTCCCCTGAGAGGGGCCCAATTCTTAAAAGACGTGCTAATCTGAAAATAGAGTTTAACTCTAAAGTTACTTAATTTGCTTCTTTGACAAAGGCATGTTGTTTTAGTATGAGACCAAAGGCTGCTTCATGAGTCCAGCTTTCATTAATCAGCCTTTCCTAACAATATTCCTTAAACTTCAGATTAGCCTCTTTTTCTGTTTAAAGCTTGATTTTCATTGTTTTCAAATCTGAGTATCGGTTAGCTTTAAATCATTGGCTTCTGAATTCAGTTGTAATATTACTATACATGTAATTCCAAAGAATTGCACCCAGATGAGGCCAAGCCTGCACATAAATGCGTATTAAAATTTATCTGATGGCCGTTTTTAGGATACTATGGCCTGAAAATGGTGTCTGCAGCACGAGAACAGTCAACTGTATATGTAAAATCTAAGACTTGACTTATGAATTATTTAACTAGGGAGTTGAGTCAGTTGTTATGCTACCCATTGGAATAGACTGTCTTGGGTGTAATGACAAAAGCATAGAATACTTTATTACTGCAGGAAGCAAAGGTACTGTACAATTACACATGAAAATCAATATGAAATTGCATTGATTTAAGTATTGTATTATGCATTGTAAAAGATGTGATGATCGGAATGTTAAATGTGTGGAACAATAAAAAGATCTCGAGTCCTGACAGAATTCAGACCTAACACCTCCTTAACACTGGGCAGCTACTCCATCCACTGAGTTACGGACTGAGAGACTCATGGATAGCAAAGCCATATATGTACTAGGTCTATCTTTGACTTGTGTATTCTGCATACTGTTTGGATCAGCGGCGTCAAGAGTATAGTATGAAATAAAGAAAGATAGTGATGAGGATTGTAGGTGCTTTATCCACTTAGCTATAGTGAGCGTCATTGAGAGCAATACCATATTTTTGGGTCATATTTCAAATGCGTCCTACATAATTTTAGGATCAGCAATGTTGAAAACGTACTGTATTAAAAGTCTTCATCTTTCTTTTTTCAAAGTATTTATGTCTGATTTTAGTAGAATTGTACTACATTATTCATACCATAGTGTTGGTCTGTATTTGTAGGCCAGCTAAGGGTCTGGAAGTTTTCAGATGGCAAGTGTGTGTTTAGTAAAACAATTCTGCAAGCTAAAAATAACAAAAACAAAGAGAGCAGCAAAGATGAGAGTGGACAGCAGATTGTACATGCCACTCTATGCCACACCTTGGGAATGATTGCAGTGGTAACCTTCGATCATAACATTGTACTTCATGAGCTTGCATCTCTCACAAGAACTAAACAGGTACCGCCAATTAAAATTAATTTGGCCCTACAATGAATGAAATGGTATTATATAAACTGTCAATTTATGGTACAAACATTGTCCCAAATCATTTGGAATGACAAATTCAATGTAACTTCTCTACTATGCATAATGATAGTAATGATTAATACCTACAGTAAGTAAAGATTCAACCCTCATTACCTACAATATTATTCTCCTCAATATTTCTCAATATTTCACTATTTCTACATTTGACAAGAAAAAGGAAATTTATACTTGTCACTGTTGTATTGTGTCTTTAGTTTGTAGGATACAACGATGAAATACTGGACCTATGTTTTGTTGGTGCAGATGAGAACCATTTAGCTGTAGCTACTAACAGCAGTCAACTAAGAATTTATGACTTAACAACCATGAACTGCCAGTTATTAGAAGGACACACAGACACTATTTTGTCTTTAGAGGTGAACAGCAATGGCGATAGATTGATTACTGGTTCAAAGGTAATCTGAAATTTTTATTTTTAATTAGTTTCATAATAAGTATTTTTGCACAACCAAAGTGGCTTTGTTCCTTGTATAATACCTGTGAGTTATCTAGACTTGATTAACTTGAATTGTTTACTTTGTCGACAAAACCAAGTTTTCAAGTTTCACTCTTCTACCAAATGCAGCGATCTACACTGAAAATTACACTTTTGTTCACCTTTGTTCACTGAACAAATTGTAGCATGGGTTTAGACTTAAGGGGTCTACATGTAGGTTGCTTCCATCAGGTTAAGACTGTCAAATAGTAATGCCAACATTTTATCGTCATATGTAATTTATTATTGTGATGACATAATGTTGGTATTATAATATTATTTCACACTCTCAACCTTATGGAAGTAACCCTAAGACCCAAAATGAAATGTTTTTAAAGTTTCAGTGTTTTATACATGTACTTAGTCTTGTTATCTGGTTGCACATGATGTTATAATAATATTGTTTTTTACAGTTTGTCCTTTTTTATTTCATGATAGGATAATACAATTCGGATTTGGAAGATGACATGTGAAACTGAGTTTAAGTGTGTTGCTGTTGGAGTGGGGCATACCCATGCTGTGACTACTGTCGCATGGTCCAGGTAATAACTTTTTCCTTCAGCCTTTAAACTAAATTATTATTATTATTACTATTTATGCTTGTAAAAATGCATTTAGCCAGGATTGAGTAATATAGTCATTAGTTTACCAATGAATCTTTATTGGCAAGTGTAACACAGTGACCAAGAAAGATTCTCGTTTATATTACATATATGTTAATGGGTGTTTGTTTGTACATTAGGCTTAGCAGCAGCTTTGTTGCAAGTGGGAGCCAGGATAATACAATCAAGATATGGAATGTGCCTTCTGTTGTGGACAACGTATGTCATGTCTCTTTTGTACTGTTTTAAAAATCCCTAACTATCAAAGAATACTCCATCACATGAGCACTTTCCTTTTTTTCATAATTAAGTTTTCCTAATAGCAGGTAGTTACAATCTCAGACAAAAATACTTAGTCAAGAACACTTGCAAGTTTCTTATTGACAGAGAAGGAGTCGATCCTTCTGTTGTCCACAGTGCTATGTAAAGGGTATGTATTCCTAATTAGTAGCAGTCTTAATGTCTTGCAGTGAATTGTGATCCATTCATTGTGTATTTCCTTGAGTCTTCATGATACAGTAGCCAGAGCACTCTCCTTGAGGTTTTAAATGGCTGTTGTTTATGGGGGAAAAAAGTGTTATCTGCTAGCACTCCCTTCAGTGGATTCTTCACAAGGTGTTGTACCTTGGGTTTATACCCCTATCCAAACACAGAAATTTCAACCACAATTAGCTAAATTAGAGGTATTTTCTCTATGGTGAAACTGTTTGTAGGATGTGCCAGTCAAGATGACGGTTCGATTCACAGAAAAGGCGCATGATAGGGTAAGCTATTCTACATTTAATACCATTGAATCCTTGATTCAAAGTAAAAGCACTGGAATCATTTGGGTAAGAGATAAAACAAACATACATAGATCCACTGATCAGCCACCCAACCAATAACTCTATTCCAGGTTTATTACTATACCACTGCCAGCAGTCAGCAGTGGTTTTACAGGCTTTGAGTCTCTTGTAGCAAATAGTAAACTTAAAACTAGTTGCACATGTATGATCATGACTCAAATACGTTCAAATTACACATAAACTTCATTTTTGCTCCTCTTTAGCTATTACAGTAGCCTCTTATAGATTTAAGAGTACTAAATATTAATTACAAACTACAGTTTTGATTGAGAAAATTTATGGAGAAAATTAAATCTAGGTGCATATGCTTTGCTGCAGGATATCAATTCCATTACAGTTTCACCAAATGACAAGCTGCTTGCTACTGGTTCACAAGATAAAACTGCTAGGGTAGGAAGACTGTAAATTATTGTTTTATTATTGATACTACTTTTCTTATTATTGTTCTTATAATTGTGTTATAATGCTAGACATTAAACTTATTATATTTTTAATAATGTTTCAGATGTTTGTTAATTATTGTTGAGCATTTTTGCATTTTTTGTTGTTAATGACCCAAGCTAAGGCACTGATGATACTTGAAGTAGAGTTGCAATTAGAAGTGATCATGATTGTTTTTGTGCAGTTGAAAACTAATTAATACTCTGTGATCATGCTCTCAAAAATTTGGCCTCTCAAGCATGTGAGGATAGGGTTTTAGGGAAGTGGGCTAGAAAATTGGGGTGAGGGAACTCCCTTGGTTCCCATTCTATATCCCTAACCACATTTTTTTGACCCAAGATACTAGAAGCAGTTCATGTAATAATAATAATAATAATAATAATAATAATAATAATAATAATAATAATAATTTTTTTTAATAATAATACAAAACTTTATTCATAGATTTTAAAAAATAGACTATTTACAGATTCAAGAATATGAAAAATTTTAAATGTATATGTTGTAGTTAATTTTTTGTCTCAGTTAATTTTGTTTTCTAACTAGTTAATTTTTTTCCAACTAGTTAGTTTTTTTTCTAACTGGTTAGTTTTTTTCTAACTGGTTTATTATTTCTATCAACTGTCTAAAAAGGGATTTTCTTTTATGGGGTGTGGTTAAAAAATAGGGGCGTGGTTTTTTAGGGGGTATAAAAACAAATGAAATAAACATTGAAACAATTGGGAGATGTCTTTTGATTACTTTCTCCATTCCCCACTGAGTCCCATTACTCCACTCACTACCCCCATTTACTCTACTACCCCTCTATTTTTTATTTTTTATTTTACTACAACATTTGCACTTACCAAGCCTTGAACTCTCACCTTCTAGACTGAACTCGCTGCATCTCAAGGACTATGCGATCTCCACTATACCACAGAGGCTCTTGTTCCAAATCACTGAAAATTTCTATTAATTATCTCTTATTCGACCCAGTCCCACCCCAACCCAGATTTAATTTATGAAAGCATTCGAGCATGCGCGTTGCCTAGAAAACAAGACTTAACACGATGAAGGTTTTTCGAACTCGGTAACATTCGCTTCGAAATGGAAGATTGTGTCCATGAAAAAACTTTCTACGAAAAGTTAGAATCCTTAAAGCCCGGAGAAAGCAAAGTTACAGTTTATATCGACGACTCGTTTTATGAAAATGCGAAGAATTATCTGCAAACTCTTCCGAAATTTCAACAAGGCAAAGAACATGAATCACATGCCGAACTTTCCAAGCGTGATATCAGCACTATAAAACGGAAAGGATGGACTCTAAAGGGCGAAGAAATTGTTACCGCAAATAACAAGGTCGTTGTACCGAAAAGTAAGCTGCACAAAGTTCTCTGTGAATGTCACTCTTCGACCGCGCACCGCGGAAGAGACAAAACCAATACTTACGTGAAAGGTATTTATTCTGAAATACCACAACAAGTTGTATCTTTGTTTACAAGTTTGTGTAAACTGCATGCCCAACAGAAGAGCACTACCGACCACAAAAAGCGACCGATAACAAACCCAATCAGTGCTGAAACGTTTATGTCCCATATAGAAATTGATCTTATCGACTTCAGAAACGTCAAATGTTCGTGTACTAATAGCCATCAGTGGGTTCTACACGTAACTGACCACCACACCAAGTATTCTTGGTTATATGCTTTGCACAATAAAACGGCAGATGAAGTGTTAGCAAAATTAGAAGAGTTATTTTGGCTTTTTGGATTTCCGCAAACCCTGCACACCGATAATGGTAAAGAGTTTAAAAACAAACTAATGCATGAATTCTGCCAAAACCATGGGATTAAACAAGCACATGGTGCACCGAGAAAACCACAAACACAAGGCCTTGTGGAGAGAAATAACAGGACTATTAAAGAGAACTTAACAAACATACTTAAAGAGAACCAAGCTGATGTCACAACATGGTGTTCAAGACTGGGAGAAGCAGCTTACAAGAAGAACATTACCATCCACAGAGCTGTCAAGGAAATACCATATCGACTTGTTTTTGGAATTGATCCCAAAAAAGAAAAGAAGTTGAATCCCACCCAAGAAGAACAAGAAGAAGATCAGCTGTCAGAGATGGCAAATACAAATGCGCCAGTAAAACGAAAAACCCCACCCACTCCTGAATATGAAAGCAGGAAAAGAACAAGAATTGAAGTCAATTCACGCAAAATTGAGTACAATGAAAAAATGAAGAAGTCCAGGCAAAAGCCTCAAACACTTAATATTGGAGATTTTGTTAGCATCAAAATTGACCTAGTAGATAAAAAACCTTTTTATCCAAATGTGCTTATGGGAGAAATCATTGCATTTGAAAATGAATATGCTAAAGTTGCTTGCAAATTTGGAATTATTACCACCCTCATTTCCCCAGCTAGATTAGTTAAATGCCAAGCAACAAATATTAAAATAAGCAAGGATAAGGAAATCACATTCACAAAAGCAAGCAAAATGGCAATAGAGCAGTAGAACAATAAACTTTATTTCACAGTTGTGTGTAAATTCAAATATTTATTGATGTATTTAATGATTGATGCACATCAACATTGAATGTACGCGGTAGACAACTCAATTAGAACGGAAATGACATTATGTCAGTGTTGTAATTAACACCATGTATAGTAGTATAATGCAGTAAAGCCAATGTGACTTCTTACGTTTTTCTGTGATTACAAATATTAAAGGACATTCAACATGTTGTTAAATAGATCGTTATTGATCTTGGTAAATGTGATGATAATGTGAATTATTCCATGGAGATACTCAATACAAACTCAATTTTCATGAAGAAGCTAACCCTAACCCTTAATGAAAGCCAACCCTAACCCTAACCCCAACCTTAACCCAAAACTTATAGCTAACCCTAACGCGACTCAAACAAACAAAAAAACCCTTGAGCATTTACTTAAAAAAGAAAATAACAGGTTTTATAAAAATAATTTGTTGCAAAAACAAAAATCAACCAGCCAAAAAAAATGTAACTAGTTAAATTATTATTTACGTACTTAGAAAAAAATAAACTAGTTAGAAAACAACATTAACTGAGACAAAAAATTAACTGCAACATATACCCTATGTATATATGTTGCAGTTAATTTTTTGTCTCAGTTAATTTTGTTTTCTAACTAGTTAATTAAAAAAAAAAAAATAATAATAATAATAATAATAATAAGAGGAGGAAGAAGAAGAAAGATCTTTTTTACAGATGGCCTGGGTCACACAATGTGGTTTTCAACAGGGCACTGCATATAAAAAATAAAATTGCTAAAATACAGTACTAAAAATGACAGAAACCTAATAATCAAAAATCAAATGAACTAACAAAATTTCATACCTAGGAAAACTGAAATTAAAAAAAAAAACCTTGTATTGAGATTTAAAATTTTTAAGTTATGACATTTTAAACGCATTAAAAGGCAGACACCTCATCTGTACCGAGAGGGAATTGTAGTCTTTCAATGCACCATTAAAGGATCTCAGCAGTCCCCTGTTAGTATTTGATCTAATAGTTCCAATAGTTTCCTTGGAGCGAGAGTTATCGCTGTGATAGTCTAAACCTCGAGTAATCGTCACTGCTGTTTCTTTCACTGTCATTAATAAATAATACATAAAAAGACAGTGTTGTATTTGCTTTCTGGTTGATAGATTCATCCATTTTCAGATCTGAAACTGCGTTAGTGGAAAAAAAGAATGCAGTGCTCAATCCAGAACTATCTTGGCTGCCTTACTTTCCATGACCATTGGTGACACAGATCTTCCTTGCATAAACTGGGAACAGATGTTTGATCATGTAGATGTTACAAAGTTAGAAACAAGGCAATAATGATAAATTTGAATTAACCTGTATTATGTTCTTCACCATAGATATGGGTTATAGCAAGTGGTTCATCGTTAGGAACTTTACGTGGTCACAAGAGAGGTGTTTGGTGTGTAAAATTCTCACCTGTGGATCAGTGCCTAGCCACATCATCTGCTGATTCCACTATCAAGATATGGGCCTTGTCTGATCTGACATGTGTCAAGACATTTGAGGGACACACAAGTTCAGTTTTAAGGATATGCTTTATAACCAGAGGGATGCAGCTTATATCAAGGTACAGCCTTTAGTATTGAACTAGAAGGTGGATTGTAAATTAATTTTAAAAAAAGTAGCAAAACAAAATAATCATTCTTCCAATAAAACTTTGCATTCATTTTATAGCCTGAAAAAGCACCACTCCTGGTTTCAGTTTCCTGGTCATCTGAGGAATGAAATCCTCTAGGTGTCCCTTTGTGGCATTTTTGGACATACAACTTTAGTGATATAACATCACTTACAAACAAATTGCACTTCACTATACAGTGTAACACTGTCTAGCTGAAAGCACTGAGATTGCAATTTGATATGTAACAATTGTTATTACTTAATACAACTTGAATGTCTTTCCACATGATAGACCAACTTAACTGAAGTGATGGGGACTTCCACAATAAAGACAACTTATTTTCCTGAAAGCTGGAGTCCTTTTAGTGATGTGGTTACTGCCTCAGCTGCAGTTGTTGCTGTTGAGTGATTTTGTGCGTTTTGAAATGGTTTTGCACGTTTGTTTTACTTTCCAGTGGTTCTGAGGGTCTTCTCAAGTTATGGACAATAAAAACCAATGAATGCCTCAAGACATTTGATCAGCATTTAGATAAGGTAACAGTAGTTCTAAACATCAAAACTGAAATTAAACCTAGTAAAAACAGGAAAGAATAAAAAACATAAAATATCTTGAAAAAAAAAATGTTAACATTTTAAGAGGTGTTACTTAATATGCTCATCATGACATAAGATTGAGATAAAAAAAAATTCCAGGGGCCCATTTCTCAAAAGTCCTGGTAACTTTTTGGGCCCAAAGGCAAATTTTAAAATAGAAACTGTTTGAATAGTAGCGCAGTTCCTACCTCACAAATTGGTGAATTTTGCTTCATTAACTGATAGTTTCATTTTATTATTTACAAAATTATTGAATTTTTGATCTTGAATGCAAACATAGCAAACATAAAACAGTTTTTCGGGCCTGAAAAGTGTTCAGGTCTTTCAAGAAACAGGCCCCAGGTCCTTACAGAGACTTGTTCTTTAGAGACTGTGCAAACCATCCCAATTTAAGTTTTAACCTAGAGTTTTAATTAAATTGCTCTTGACTTTTCCCAGTGATGTGAGATATTTGTTTTGAGGCTGGGACATGGAAGGGTGAAAGGGTAGACTGCAGGGAAGGAGGAGACTCAGAGAGAAAGGCAGCTGTCAATCAAAAGTTGTATTAGGAGTTAGTGCAAACTTGTGTCTCCTCTTTCCTTTGCACTTACCTCTGGCTCTGCAGTCTGAGACAACTGAGAGTGAGTCAGGGTTTAAAGACCATTTTATTATTAAATTACAGTAATTCTTAAAGTAATTAATGACAAAAACTGTTTAAAAATATTATGTGCGCTTTGTAGGTCTGGAGCGTAGCAGTTAATAAAAGTCAAGATCAAATTGTTTCGGGAGGTGCTGATTCAGTAATTAACGTCTGGAAGGTAAACAACTTTTACTAATAATCTGAACACAGCAGAAAAAGAAGCATAAATAACAGTTTCGATTATCAACAGAAAATTTTTGTTGATAATTTCCGGGTTTGCAGGAAGTCTTTTTTGAGGGGATATTTTTTCTATTTTAATGAAGTACATGTATGGGCACGAATGTAGGTAAGACCATATTGATTGTACTACAACTACCAGAACTCTTCAGTCTTTCTTTATCCTGTAGTCATTGTGCATCAAGGATATCCTTCAGCATAAAACCTGATGTGAATACAGCACGATAAGATTGTGTTTTAACACATGGGGCCCCAGCACTAGTGTAGGGTTGTTATTGCTCCCCAGTGGGGGGGGGGGACCTCTGGATTTCAAGTGAGGGGGATGATTGAAGGACTTTTTGGGTTTGAATTTTTGATTCTTCTGGGATTATTTTGTGGGTGGAAAAATTTGGCAAGTATTTTTGGGTGTCTTGATTTAAGTAGGGATATTTTGGATATTCAAACAATCCCAAGATTCATGATGGTGACCACATATCTCCAAAATTTATGAGGCTTGGAAATTCGACATGGGATTTTTTTTTGAGGTTTATTTTTGGTCCAGGGATTTTTGGGGGTTTTGATATTTGCTCCCATTCGATCATCCCTGCAGTTTGAAATCCAAAGTACCCTCCTTGGTATTGCTCTCTCAGGTGTTTTGTCTTATTGTCATTTTTTTTCCTTTGCCAGGATGTGAGTGAAACTGAGAAGGAAGAAGCACAAGCTGCATTAGAAGAGAATGTGCTAAAGTGAGTTCTGTGTGATATTATTACAATAAATATTATCTTTGAATCATTTCAATAGAACTATTAAGACAAAGTGTTTCAACTTTCTGTTTACAGTCTAATCTTATGTTTATCTTAATCTGCTTATCAGAGTTATGTAATTACATTAATTTAATGAAAAGAAAGTTTGTCTGCTCTCTATTCAAGATGACAGATTAAATCTTGCAGCTGATTGTAGACGAAAAGTTAGTTATGTTGATGAATTAATTTTTCGTGTACAATAACAGTTGCTTGGTTAATGTTCAATGACTGGACAAACCTGTTGGCCTTCAAAAGAGCAATCTGATCGAATTCAAAGATGCATGGAAAAGGATCCAACCATTGTAGTCTTAATATTGCTCTATTAATCATGGAGAGGGATGCTAACCAATGTAGTTTTAATGTTGCTTATCACAGTTAATGAACCAACCATTGTTACGTAGTTATAATATTGCTCGATACTGTTGGTGAAAAGTGCTTGGAGGTTGTCAACCGATTCGGTGATAATATTGTCCCATACTAATCAATAGTTAAAGATGGCTATATTAATGTAATGGTAAAATGTGGATACTTTGAGAGACAACTTTTTAGGCCAACAGCAGAAATTTAAAATATTAAAAGTTAAAACAAATCCTATTGAGCCAGTTTGATTGTAAATGAAAATTTGGTTATATACTGCAATTATTACTAGAAACTGAATCAACTTGTTAGCTGTGCTAAAGGTGCTTAGATAAGTATATATAGTAATAATATATATTGAGGTATACTGATCAGTTAAGGTATGTGGTCTGTGCTTGAGAGAGCGCTTGTCTTGAAATTCAGAGTTCCCGAGTTCAAGTCCCTCCCTGACTGCCAGCTGGGTTTGTTCTCGGTAGTCCTGAGTTGAAATCCTCGACCACACTTGCAAAAAGCCAGCTGGTTTGCCTCCAGCCAGTTGTGATTCTTAACCCTGTTATGTTTAGTGTAGATTATTTGTTTTAGCCATAAAATTAATATCCACTAGCATTAGCGCTATAAAATAATACTGCCGAGGGTGAGGGTGTAGCAGTTATCAATATTGTTTCCTCTGTTCATAAATATCTGTCTTTGAGATTTCTTAGCTAAACCAAAGTGGATGGAATTATCACTTAACAGCCGACAGCTAAGTTCTTTGTTGATGCTTTTAAAATACTGAAACTAATAACATACTAGATTGGTTAAATAATAATAATAATTAGTAGACTACATTACTAACTGTATATTGGCATTGAAAGTTATTAAATTAATATTAAGTGTACACAGACAACAGCGGCATATCATGCATGAATCATTGTGATGTATTTGTCTTGTAGACAGCAAGAGTTGTCCAATCTCATCGGTGGTAAGAAATACCTTGAGGCTATAGCTTTGGCTATTACACTCAACCAGCCTTTTCGAGTTCTTAACATCATTAAAGGTATCTGATCTCAAACTCAATTTTTTCCCTTTATTTAATTAAACAGAATTAAATTATCACTTGACAAACCACAAAGAACCATCTCTAGAGGGCTAAAAATACAGTCAAACTCCACTCAATGGATACCCGCTTAATGTGGACACCTCGTTATCACAGGCCATTTGCTTTGTCCCCAGGGAAAGAAAGCCCTTCCTTATATTTTCTCTAAATTCAACCCACTTAATACCCGTGGACACTTTCTATGGCCCCCTCAGTGTCTCCTGTATTAGGGGGGTTTGATGGTAGAGTCTTAAGACAAGATGTCACACCTCAATTTCAGCATTTGTAACCATTCTGTAATAAAAGCAGAAGGGATCGGGCAAGTAATAATGAAATAATGTCCTCAAGATTAAGTTGTCAATAACTAACTGTGGCACTGATATTATTAAGTTATCTCACACATTTCTTTTAGGTGTCCATCCATAGTACTATTTTTTTGTAACTATAAAGGTTAAATATTTTAACAAGATGAATATTGTTGCCCCGGAGGGTTGGTTACTTGTACTCAAGCTGATTTGGAACTTGAATTTAGTTAGTGATTATATGTTTGCACTTCACTGTAGATGTTCTTCTTGTTCAGAATGGATTGGAAGAATTAACAAAGGCTGTCACATCTCTTAGGGAAGATCAGCTTGGTATGGCCAGTATTAAGTCAGTTTTTATTTTAGCTAGATAAATCGCTCTAATATACTTTCTTAAAATTATGCTGAAAAAAATGACATTGCTAATTCTTCAATCATGAGTTTCCATATTTATATGAAAACTAAGCTTTAGGCTTATCTTTTTAAGGATGCATTTTATTTGTAATTTTTAGCGTTAGCATGAATATTATTAGTATTTGCTTAACTTGTTGTTAAATGATAAGGTAGATTTTAACGTAATTAATAGTAGCAAAAGTATTGTAAAACACCATGGACAATTAATGGAGTATGGTGGACCATAAATGCATTTTAATTTTTCATTCAGTTTACCTTATCTGTGTTGTAGATGTCATCTTAAGGTTTCTTGTGGAATGGAATACCAACTCCAAGAATTGTCATGTTGCCCAGACAGGTGAGAATTGATTTACTATGGGTTGAAGGTATCTTTTCAACCTGTCCCTTACGAAATATTAGATAATTAACAAATACAATACACAATTATTTCCGAAATATTATGATAGTACCAATACGTTAATTATGGGGTGTATCCTAGCTACCATAGTTTGGATTCTATTAACTCTCTCTGAGATCTTATTTCCCCTCAGTAGTAGCCTGTTCCCCGGGGGGGGCACTTGGGTATTTTTTGGGTGGGTATGTGCCGCCCGGGACTCCAAAATGGCACCCCGTTCTGGAAAATATTTCCCCTAAAATTGATACCCCGTTCTAGAAATGGGCCAATTTTTTATACCCCGTTCTAGAATTCGCCCCAAAACTGATACCCCGTTCTAGAAATGGGCCAATTTTTTATACTCCGTTCTAGGGTGCAACAAGAATACAACGGTTTGCTTGTTAACGCATTGAACCGTATTTTTAAAAGCAATCTGTCCTTGAATACTTTCAAATGGCTGCCAACAAAAATGGAGCTTTCGTGCGTTCGAAATAAATATACCCCATTCTAGAAAACGCCTCTGAAATGGATACCCCGTTCTAAATCAGGAGCTTCAAAATCACGACCCCTTTGGGCGGCACATACCCGTATATGTAATGTATGGGAGTACCCCCCCCCCCCCGGGCCTGTTCCAGGCTCTCAGATAGTAGGGAAGGCATGAAAGAGCAGGGAAGACGTTAGCGTGGGACCAGGCTCTGCAGTCCCAAATAAAATCAACTTTTGGGCTTGTTGATAATTTCACCATTACAGTTATAATGACTCTTGATGGTGACTGTACCTCATGTAACACAAAGTATGTCCTGAGCCATGCCCATGATTTGTGTATCAGGGGAGGGCTGGGTTGATATGGGAGAGACTGTAAAAATGACGGTTTCCAGATTTAGATGTCCAGAGGGGTTGGCATCTCCGTTACCCCCCTGAAAGTTTATAGCTGAGCGAGTGACAAACTGAATTGCCAACGAGAACTACCGTAAATTGATCTGCAGTTCACGGTCAAAAATCAAATTGGTAGTTCTTTTCTTGACATGCTTAAGTTGTATGTACATGCAGCACCACCTTTATGTAACTTGAGCTGTGTATATTTTTCTTTTTAGTTCTGTCAATTATTCTTAAAAACAAGACACCATATGAGTTGATGAACAGGTCGAATATGAAAGAGACTGTGGAGGCTCTCATCCCTTACAGTGGTTTGTTTTTTGTTCACAGTAATTGTTTTTCCACTTGTTTGTACAGCCAAGGGCTTTGCTGGAAACTTTTATGTCACACAACTTGTTTTAAGTCATTTGCTTTCCTTTGTACTATGTAATAAAAGTTATCCCTAGCAAGGAACCAAAGGAATCAAGACCGAACCTTTTTAGAGTTAATTTGGAGTACTTAGCAAGTTGCTGTTGTTTTTTCTCCAGCGATCATATTGGCTGCATGGAAAAGTCTAATAGCCTGCAAATGCGGACATATTTCTGGTCGTCGCTTCACCTTCTCTCTGAAGAGAAGGGATGAGCAAAAATAGGTCTGCGTTCGCGGGCCAACAGCCTTTCACAAGAACAAGTTATTACACGGTTGTACCAATGAGACCAATAACAAATCCTTTTGGTCAATGTTTCAGGAGCAAAGAAAATCTATTGCTCATCCTTTACCAACCAACACTTGTTGTTCCTCCTAGTAATGATCCCCTTTTAATAAGCAATTGAAACAGGGATGTCTATTTAACATTGATTTAAGCTAACCGAATTTATTCATCATTGCAGAAAAGCACTTTCAAAGGATGAATCGGCTTTTACAGGCAAGTTTGAGCTGTAAAGTGTTACGTTAGTTTCGTCTGTTTTGCCAGAACGTCATGCTACAAGAGTTAATATAACTTACACTTGTACACTTTGTGATATTGCATGAAAAATAATGCAGGTTATGTCAAAATTGGTTGAATGATCCATATTTTTGTGGCCGTGTACCAGTGTTCATTGCATTTTAAGGCAGAACATTGCAATCGCGATCACCAAAGGAGTTAGTGCATATTCCAAAGCTTGATACAGGGCATGCATTATCAAAGATCTCTTGCAGATTTTTGTAATCATTGCACAAATGGCAAGTCACACCACATTTTTTTTTATTTCTTTGAAAATGACATTGTGGTGTAACTTCACCTGTTTGAGATGCTCCCGCACGTAAACGTTTTTGTCATAAATTGTCGGCAGTTTTAATTTTATAAGACAAATGAACTTGTTTGGATCAGGACTGTAGTGTATGATGTTGCATTGATTACGGCCATTGCGAAAAAGCTTTCAAAAACAAACTGTCTTCAATTTTGAGTTAGGTTTGGTCTATTCCTTAATTTGCTGGCCTCTTCTTGTTCATTAGTTCTTATTTTTTTCAACAGCAAATGGAGTTCATTGAGTACACCTGGCAATCAATGAAGCTTTCAGCTCCTCTCACCAGTCTCCCTCAGTAAACGTCATTTTATTGTTTATTCTTTGTTTTGTGTAATACAGTTCACTTTGCCAGTTTAGCTCCTCTCACCAGTCTCCCTCAGTAAACGTCATTTTATTGTTTATTCTTTGTTTTGTGTAAAGCGATCACAGTTCAAAATTTGCCAGTTTATGAATATATCGTTTTTTTCCTCATAATCAACCTGAAACTGAATGAAAAATCCATATTTAGTTTAGTTGCATTTAGTTGAAATTTATTTTATTTAACTCCTCTTTTCCTTACTATCGGTTAACAAATTCAAACGTTTCCTCTTAAATTTCTTTACAAAACACATGGTAAACGCTTCATTGTAATTGAGACACTCAGGAGATCAGGATTGCATCATGTTACTTCATTTTATTTATATTGATGTTTAATTCCTTGATGTTTAACATTCCCCAGCAGCAGCCTTAGCTTGGGCTACGGTGATATGATCACTTCGTGAAAAAGTCACTGTTGTTGATTTTAGGAGCATTGGAGAACCATCACAAGTTGTATCTACTAGCAGTGGTGCTGAGGACTGCAGACTACCCAGGATTACTGATAACTCACCAGAGGATCATCAGGCATCTGAAAACATTGATTTACCATCCTCTCCAGTGGAAGTAAACTACACAAATGGCCGACATACTCAGGAAACCTCAGAAGAAGAAGAGGAAATGAATAGAGAACACATGGCTGATATTGAAGGAGAAACAGAGATACATGTCATGAAAAAGCGCAGGAAAACAAAGAAGCTTCATGAGGTATTATGAGCAGCGACAAGGATATTTGACTCAGGTGTACAACAGGGGAGGTTATAATTTTCCCAAAGGAAAGAAGTGGGTTCAAAGCTTGTTGAAGCTCTGAATTTTCTTAAGGCTTCTTTTTGCAATGTAACAAGTTCAATGTAAGCTTTAACGCGCATTCATTCTCTGATTCTGAACACCTGGAACAGGCTTTTGATATTATGACTTTATCATTGTTGCTCTCACCAGTAGTGACTTGTTCAGGTTTGGTATGTGAATCCACAAGATTGCATACTGTATATGCTGGTATTTTGTGATACTAACTGAGGAACGTTTTTGTTGTTATTTATAGGAGGTTCCACAAGAAAGGAAGAAAGCCAAACATAAAATACAGCAAAAAAAGACAAAGAAAATGAGAACTGAAACCAAGAAAGAACAGCACAAAAAAAAGCGAAAAACAAAAACTGCCTAAAAATTCTTTATTAGATATCTCTCTTTGAATTCATGTAAATTATTTTTCAAATTCGATAATGCCATGCATCAATAAATATGTTCATATGAAAATCTTAAAATAGTCTGTACAATAACTCCCATGAAGGTTTTTATAGTACCTTACAACTTGAATGTTTGATGACCCTTACATTTTTTTATGTAAACTTTGACTCTTACTTCCCAAATAAAATGACATTAAACTACTTGGAAAAACGTATGTACAGGTGGGTTATAAGGTACATGGTTGCCCTTTGTCTATCCCACTGCTATCTCTCCACATCAGAGTTTCAATATCTGTCACATGATAATTATTATGATTTTAACAACAATGCGTAAGAGAACAACTCTGCAAGTTAAAATCCTGCCATTCCTGTAAGGTTTCGAATTCTTTCGTACACAAGCCAGAATGTGAGTGACCAGGGAGCCTGAAAAACAACAACAACAACAAACAAGGTGTTAATAGGCCTTGCTAAGGTGAAAGTGTAGCAAATTCAAGCAATGGTGGTCAAATAGGGTTACCGGTTGTATTTAAGGGGTGCTAGGACTATGTTGTGAATGTAACATTGTACGCTAAAACTGATTATAAAAAGCGGTCATGGTTTGCTTGATTTGCAAATTAAAACTACTGGTAACAATGACACAAATACATTTCTACGACAGCCACCAGAGCACACCAGGGATCTCAACTGTTAGTAAAATCAATAAGATGTACTGTCTTGGTGCTTAGATATTTTCCTTTTGGACCTGATAATCGTTTTTTACTACTGCTTTCATTGATATTGTTCCCCTGCGACATGGTAGGAACGTTTTTGCTAATGTCATTTTGACATTCTTACCATTCTACTCCATGTTGGAAGCCATCCCTTGTACAAGGATAAAAACCCTTCCTCTCGAACCTAAGGTATGAAAAATATAGATTGTGTCAGTATAGATTGAATTATTAACTTCCCTCTAGATTTAGGTAGTGTGCATGGGTACAGAAGATAGGTATATATTAAGTCAGCCAATAGGGTGGGTAGAAAAATATGTGGCAATTTGGCAATTGTTAAGATGAAAATCATCAAAGTGTTCTCTAAAACAGGGATAAGATGTCCAGTCATTTAATAATGTTCCATAGGTTGGTAATTTAGATGGGGTATGAAGTGTAGGTGGTGGGGTGGGAAGTGGAATCAGAGGGTAGTAATAAGTGGATGGGATGCATGCAGGAAGGTAAGTAGGATGGATAGGTAGGTTGGCGAGGTGGGCAGGAAGGGCAGGTTGGAAGGGTACTGAGCATTAAGTAGGTAGGTGAGGGAAGGTATCTTACGCTGGTGATTACCTCGTAGGTATGTATGGAGTAAGAAGTTGGTAGGCGGCTGTCAGTTTAACTTTGTTCTTATATTTCCCTCTGTTTTACAAATGTACATTTTTGTTAATTATTATTGTTGACTCAAGCAGAAAAGAAAGTGAGCCTAGGTGATAAAATAATAATATTATTAAGTGAATCATAATATACATACAGCACACATGAAGCAGTCAAGACTCCCTCTGTACACTTTTGGATTATTCATAATTCTTGTTTTTACAACGTCTGCTGGAGTACTGATGGTTGCAGCAATCAGCCCTGCACAACCACTGAAAAATGAATTTTTCAAACAGCACAGATTTATTATCCATTCACTTTGTGTCTTGGTTGCAATATTCATGGCCAAAACCTTTCAGCTACAATAGGCAACTCTTGCTGACGTCATTGTTTACATTCTTCCTCGCTAGCATTAACTCATAGAAGCAATGCCCATATTTACAAACTAAATTTAAAAAGTTCAAAGAGCTGATTAAATGCAATTTTCAGGAAATATTAGAACATGCAGACCTTGAAATTGTGTGAGTGACCCAATTGTCTTGTAAACTTGTGTGATTGAGTAGTAAATGTTTTACAGTATCATAAGTTGTCAAATCTGTTGATAAAAAAATTAAACAATCGTATTAAAAACATTTAACAGCGAAAGAAAGGAACTGAAAATACCTCAGTGGGCTAAAGAGAAATGTCATCAATCAGACAAGGTGTCCTAATTATCTCCTACATATACATCTCACCAACTGGCCCCTTTGTTCAAAAAGTGGATTATGCTATTGACCGGAAAAATCTCTATCCGGTGGATAGTGTATTGGTTTCCCCAACATGTCCATTGGATAGTGATTTATCCCGTGGACAGTGCTATCCAATGTTTGAACAACTGGGGCCTGAAGGACAGATGTACGCTGAGCTACCACAAAATTTGGATCACTGACAAACACTACCACAAATTGACTTTGTTTTCCTTTTAAAGTTTTTCTACAGAAATGAATGAATAAAGTTGTGTAATTACAAGGATTATAACTAAGGTGTCAGCTTACCTCCCATGTTTACTAGAGCTGCTCTTTGTACATTGGGAGCCCATCCTTTCCAAAGACCTCGCACTCCATGTTTATTGATGATGTTTAAAAAAGCATGTTTGGTGTTATGAACCCTAGGAAGGTATTGAATTAACGTTACATTAGTTTCTAGAAAATGTGAAAAATAAATCATGCTTACATGGAATAAACATTTATAGCATTAAAATTTGCACTTCTTGACATCATGAGTTACAGTCTAAGAATAAAAGGACTATTATCCATAACTACAAGGTGAGCCTTACATTTTTAGTTTCACCTCCAGATGTTACTGCAACACATTTCAGATTATCAAATCCTCTTAAACTCATTAAACTTGGGGTACAACTCAGGTGAGGTCCCCAGCTACCTTTGTACCCTCCCCACTTCAGATACTGACCTCTTCCCCCAAAATTTATCCGATCTCCCCCAAAGCCAACATCCTTAACAGACTCCTCTGCATGCATCACTTTCCTGTTTTAGAGAAGGGGTGGAAGATTGGGGAGTGACTGTGACTCCTCCTCCAATTCTTTTCTCATTTTCTCACTCTCACACTTCTCATAGTCAGTGCAACTGTTACAATAGAAGTTGCCTGTGGAGGAGGCGTCGGAGGAGGCTACATTTTCCTTGATCTACCCCTTTAGAGTGGCGAAATGCAGTTGCACTTCTCTTCACTGCAGACACCTCCATAATACAAACAACAGTACATCAAAGACAGTTCTTGATCCCTGGCAAGTATTTGAACAGCTGAGCTTGGTTCTATATTTCCTTTTGTTTTCCATGAGGCTGAGCTGAGGTTCATGCTCATAGTGGCCGAGGGATTTTCCTCCTCCCGGCCGTTTCTGACAGCCCCAATGGACACTTGACTTCATCCCTGTAACATCTATATTCATTAAGAAGATTGATTGTATAATAAATTATAAATTTTTAGTACCCTTTGAAAGACAACCTTAGCAAGTACTATGAGCTACATACCTAGGTTGTCTCCCTTCTATAAGAACTCTCTTGCCTTCCATCTGCATCTGAACCTTGACTAGATCAGTTGGACTGGCAATAAACTGTCCAAATGCACCAGCCGTCATCCCTGCTATTACTGATTTCCTATAGAAATTTATAATAAGAAATCCTTTACTAGCTGTTATAACAGAGCTCCTGCTTAGCCAGAGCTAGTCCTAGAGGAGCTCCTCAAACTGAACAGAGGAACACCTATTAAGCATCAAAAGTTTTACTTCATGTTTACACTGTCTCATAATTAAAGGTATATATATATGCACTTTATTTGAGTGTCAATGTATCTAGCACAAAAGTGCTAATTGGAACCACTATATTAATACCTCATACTGGAGATGGGAGCACCATTTTACATGGTCATCCAAGCCACGCGAAGGTCTAGCCATTTGCAGGGCAAAGGTATTACCTTCATTTCTCAGTTGTTTTAAGACCCTGAGTATTGGTCTGACCCAGAGAATCGAAGCCGTGACCTCCTGCTCTGCAGTCAAGCACTCTACCAACTGAGCTAATTCTGCCGTGGTATCACAGGGCAACAAAGTTAATAACACCAAGGAATCCAAAGTAGCCGGTTTTGAACCCCCATCATGACATTATGCTGCTTTTTGCACTGAACTAGTTTTGCACATGGGGCAGCGAGTCAGTACAACAGAGAAAACAATTAGTGGCATATTTGGATGGAGGAAATCTATTCTTCCTACCCACCTTTTACAAAAAGAAACCACTCTAGGAATAAATTAGTCCATAGAAACCAAGCCAAAAAACCAGTAAGCTCTGCATAACCTGTCACCTGACTATAATTACATACCATAAAGAAAATCTCCCATCAGCATTTCTTCGTAAAACTTTGTTCCGCAAAAATTCATATGCAGTCATTCTTGAACCAGTGTAAACTAAGGGACGAATTACGATCAACGCATGAATTCCACTTATTCAACGGTCGGAACTTATTATAAGTAACTTTTTTGTTCTAAATTCAGTGCTCATTCTTGGGTGTGCTCAATAGAAGCAGAGTTTATTTGAGTAAAACAGTAGTCATATTATAGTCTGCATTCAAGGTATGAGAGTTATGGTTGTGTTGAAGTTAAGTCAGTAGACAATAAAAATTGCACTCATTTTATGAGTATACTCTGATAATTATTATTTCACCATTTCAGTGAAGTCCTTCTTGATCAGATCCATTAACCCCGGGGGAGTACTTGGGTTAATTTTTGCAGGGTATGTGCCACTGGGCTCTCAGCAACATGACTACCCCATTATAGTCTATTTTGTGGCCAATTATAGAACCCATCTTAGTCACTTTTGGGCAAATATGTAATTTTTATGATCCCAACTTAATCACTTTCTATTTTTATGAATTGACCCATTTTTTAAATGGAATGAAAAACACTTTTTTTTAACCTAAAATACAAACATTCTAGTGCGTTTGCTAATTATATAAAGAACTGTCTTACCCCAAAAAATCCGAAAATGTGCGACCCCATTCTAGTAACACTATTGAAAATGCGACCCCATTATAGTCAACCCAGTTGTCAATCCCATCGAGCGGCACATTCCCATTAGCCTCTTATAAGGAAGTCCCCCCCCCCCCGGGCCATTGACCCTTCAAGTCCTAAGGGTGACTAACATCAATTTTTCTTAATATTTATTCGTTGTTTGAAACCCACACAACAGAAGGTATAAATCTGTCAATTCCAAGCTGAAAGGTTGCTTGATCTTTTTAACAGATTCTCTCAACAAATATTTCAAGAAAATGTATGGACATCTGCCCAGAGAACTTATTGGTGGAAGGTTTAATTCTTATATTTACAGTGAGCTGATGCAGGATAGGAAAAAAATAACGTCATAGTGTTTGGTGAGATAAACTTACCAACATGTCTTAATATTGCAGGTGTAACACCACTCCAGAGATTAACCAATCCTTCCTCTTCAACTGTCCACAAAACAATGAAGATCACACTTTTAATTAATACTGTGCCATTAAGCAATATTCATCCAATCTGCTTTTCTTAAACACTGTGTTATCTTCACATTTAAAGTATATGACTGAAATATATCCATACCACTTATAATTCTGGTGTAATTTTTAGAAATATTGTTTCTACCTCTGGCTGTAGCTTCAGTATACTCACCTATACCCACTGCTGTCCTTACCATACCCCGGTAAGGGACATTTGTTGCTGTTGTGGAAGAAACAGTCGATGCCCTTTCTCCTTGAATCTGAAGACGGGTCTTGGTGATATCGAGAGGAAAGGTCACTTATAAAAAATAAAATTCAAAAATAATGTCAAAATTTCAGCAAAGTAGTCTGTAAATGAGCAAAATGCAACCACCAGTCTTACTATCTAACAACTGTAACATATCCCTTTCTGTAGGCAAAAATGGTATCCTCACATCTTGGGAGTTTACTTACATTTGTTTTATTATCATGGGAGATTTGTTTGTATGAAGGGATTTAATGACAAAAGCAATCATTTATTGGTCTAGCATGTGGTTTAAAGGGTTCACCAGACCCAGCTAGGGTAAGTCTGCTACACAGACGAGGAATGGATGACAAAGCCCCAAGAATGTCTGCATAGGAGACTACGGAACGGTGGAGGATCGGTAGAGCACTCCCTTTTTTCAGCTGTGCAGTTATTTACAGCATCAAGGGGTATGGTTTTTAAGCTTTTAACTGTTACAGTCTGAAAAAGAGTGTGATTTGAGAAGGCTCATATTCTTCTTTACTTTTACTAATGTCTTAAGAAGAGCACTTTGAGTGCAATGTGAAGTCCTTCTCAAAATTAATGTTTACAAAGGTTTTTTCTGATCCAGACTATCTGGGAAATTATATGTGCCTGAACATGCTCCAATGGTCTAGTCTGAAACACAGTGGGGGAATTCAAAAATTTTGTTGTGAAATAGGATGAAGGTTTTAGAAGGCATGCCAAAGATGGACACATTTAAATTTTTAAGAGTACCAACGCTGTGCACAGCTGGTTGGTGATGTAATTAAAAACTCAAATTAAAAGCTCAATGCAAGAGAGCTGCAAGCAATGTAGTGGGACGCCACCTGCTTTATAAAACAGCATTCTTGCATTAAGTGAAAATATAGCACTGTTACACAAAATAAAAAGAAAAACAGCCTGTATTCTCTGACAAGTTTTGAGTCCAAGGAACAATATTCTATATTAAACCTCAGAGCCTGGACCTTGTCACTTGCAAATCATAATCATATGAATTGTTGATATAAAGTTCTTAATTTAAAGTCTTTCCAAATAAACAGTAGTTAAAAATAAGGTTCATATAAAGAATGTCACATCACGTGAAAATGTTCTATTCTTCTTCTTTTCTAGTAAACTGTTGATTGAGTTATGGCTCGCAGCTGTTAACTTGACATGAAATAAACTTGAAGTGACTTTTATTGTTCGTTTATTTGAGTGAGTCTCTTTAAAAGAACAAAGGAAGAAAACTTAACACATTATAAATTTATATTTTCAACCTTTTTTTAAAGAAACATTAAACATTTAACTTGTTTGTCCCCATAACCACAAAATATTATTTCAATTCTTGAAAAGCAATATGATTAGATTCATGAACGATTAACTTTTACCGATACGACTAACTATAAACTAACTTGATATTGAAAGAAAGCGTTGTTAGTCAACAAAGTATAGAATTTAATTTACACTAAACGTGAAGATCAAAGGTCGGTTTTAATTCAATTCTAGGTTCTCGTTCAACAATTCAGGATTAGACTTGAAAAAATAATCTTTGAAATTTCCATGTAGATATCTATATATATGATTTATTAAAAAACATAATTTCACAGCTAGTCGAGGTTTAGAATTGGAGTAAATAAATTCAAGTCTTTAGTTGAAAACACTGTTGTGGCTCGAAGAGTGTTTCCCCTGCAGAAGCAGCACGATCAGATAATATCATGTGATATGTGCCACGTAAGTATTCTAACTTGTCTCTTAAAGATATGACAACCAACACTATTTATACCTGTCTCTGCAACAGTGGCGGCAAGAGAAGACAAGCAGTATTTGTACGCAAAACTGTTGATTCCCTCAGCCATCATATAACATGACACAGCGAAACTTGACAAACTAGCAGGGACGATTCGACTTTATACCATGGGACAAAAGACCGCTGACACTGGAAATAGGAAGGTCCGAGGGCGTCCTGGGGGTGTGCCACATTCTGTGTGTCACACAAACGACAAATAATTATGTCACATACCAATCGAAGAGCAAATACAGCCCCTCCATGTATAAGCCCCTCCAAATATAAGCCCCCCAAAATCGTAACGCAAAAAACCCTCCGTTAAATTGCCCCTCCGAATATAGGCCCCCCGGGGGCCTTGTACTTGGAATTTGCCCTCGAATACAAAGTAAAAAAAAGCAAAAATGGTAAATTTCCTTTCTACTACAATCTAGCCCAACCGATTTTGTAACGCAAATTTCCCTCCGTGCATAAGCCCCTCCGAATCTAAGTCCCTCCAAAAATCAAGCCCCTCAAAAAGGGCCTTTGAAAAATATAAGCCCCGGGGCTTATTTTCGGAATTTTACGGTATTCAACTAGCCTGCGTGGCAGGCGTTAAGGGGGAATTTGGGCGCGCGAGAGCGCGTGGGGCGCGTGGGTCTCGAACGCCTGCCACGCAGGCTAGTATTTAACGAAGCCATTATTTGAATCGTCACGCAACGTTCCTCTCCAAAATATATTACATGTAACAGTTGCGATGGACTGTACTAAGGTGTAGCACTAACGACAGACGTCAAGGAAATGGCAAAAGAATTCACGACGGAGTCGGATTCGTAAGCGGAGTCGGAAGAGCGCTTATGACCTGGTGAAAATGAAAAATGGAAGTCGTAACCTGGGTGGGGTACTCCCTTGTATAAGCCATATAGGTATGTGTCGCCCCATCGGGTTGGGTTTTTGCGCCGTTTTGGTCTGAAAACGGGTATACACTTTGCCTGTTTTGTTCAGGTCAGGATTTGAAGAACCGGGCTGCACACCCCCACGAAGAATTACCAGGAGTACCCCCCCCTCCCCGGGAGTTGTAAGCGGAGTCATAAGCTCGACGGAATCGGAGTTGGAAGAATCAGAACGTTTCCATTTTCTTCCGACTCCGCTTATTAGTGAAAACCAGCCTTAAGGATTCCACGCAGAGGATTAGCTAAGTCGGTGGAGCGCTTGCCTGCAGAGCGGGAGATCCCGCGGGCCGGATCATTACTCAAGGTCGTTAGCAAATTTCTAAGCTTTTTTTGAAAAATCCACTTTTATGCATGAAACAACCGAATCTGGCTATTTAGTGTAAAATCAGGTGGAAAAAAAATTGGCAAAAGGTGGCTTTTAGGTTTTTTAATTAAAATAACTTAGAAATGAAGGTACTGCCTTTGCCCTGCAAATGGCTAGATCTTTGCATGGCTAGGATGACCACGTAAAATGTCATTTCTGACGAATGAGCCCGCGAAGAAGGCAGAAATAAATATTTTGACGGCACGAGAAACAACAGATCCATGGGTAGTCATACCAGGGGTATACATATAAGGCTGTGTTGTGGACGTCAAAGAAATGTACTAAAAAAAGGTGATGCACGTGCAGAGCCGTTGTTTTGTTCATAAAACTAATTGCTTTTTGACGTTTTCGTTGTCGTCGTGGATGCTTGAGCTTTCTAATATCGATCTTAAGCTGACCCTAAATTGATACATTTGCCTTCATTAATATGCATATTTTGGGCGCCGAAAATCACTGAACCGGAACTGGAACATTTAAGTCACGGGTGATATCATAACCGAAATACCGAACAAGGAAGTGACGTACACACGCGTAAAAACTGGAACGATCTAAAACTTGTCAAACCGGTTAAACCAACTAAAATAGTAGGTGACGTTATGTTGATGTATTCCCCCTACAAATTACCAAGATTGCCCCGCAAAAAAGGGTGGATAATTCGACGCGCCCTATACTACTAACAAGAAATCTCCTGTCAGTCAAATATCTCCAGTTTATTCACTTTCGCCTGTAGTACAAACCATTACAACAATACATTTTCAAGGCTGGCACCTTTTCCATTCAATATTAGCCAACACAGCAACGGAATAAGTCGTTTTTTTTGTACTGACACCAAAAAGTGAAACTTTCATCGTTTAATTTATTACGCAAATATAAACTAAAAACAGCAATTCATCGACAACTCTTAGATTTTTTCTTGCTTAAGGATGACCATGTTGACACTCCCTGCCATTTATACAATATTGAAATAACTGATTAATCACGCATATACAGCTGCAGTCTAAACATTGAATTTGAAAGTTCCCCCTCTCTATACACTTTTTTTCTTGCAATATCTGCAGATACACATATTTTGCGGTTCAGTACGAAATACATGATTTTGTGGATAAAAAGTTCTTGTTGTTTTGTTGTAGTCGATATTATTACTTGCCACATGGACAAGACTTTCAGGTTTCCGCGACAATATGAGGTAAATGGCTTTCAGACGTAGAGCGCGTGAATTGTCATACCCGGAATCTGATACTCTACAGCTGATCAGCAATCAAACGAATTGCTATTAAGCTTTACAAAAGTAATAAGGAGTTTGGTTCAAAATAATACTACCCAACAACTACACGCACGGCATAGTAGCCTTAATTTACAAAACAAAAATTGCGCAGATCACGATATATAAAAGCAGAGACATGTCCTAATAAATGATCAAAAAGCTTGAATTCGTCTGCATAGTTAAGAATATCAGCACTATCTCTCTTTATATACTTCTAAACGAATCCAAAGGTTTTAGTCTTGATGGCCAATAGTAGTTTGCTTTTGAGAATGGCACGAGAAGAATACAGTGGAATGTAGAGTCGAGAAATACATGTGTTTGCTGTAGGTAACTGATGATCATGGGCTGGTTTGACTGTCACTGAAGGTTTAGGCTGAAACCCCTCCTCGCTTGCAGGCAACGCCGGGCTTGAGGTCCAAAAGTACACCTTCAAAGAAAGAAAGGAACATTAAAAATAAGGTACAGTAACACAAACTGTCAGTCACTCAGTGGCTTTCTATGTAAATTACGACTACGGTCCTGGAAAAGAACTAAACTTGCATATTTACTTTTTGTGGTAATAGCGAAGATTTTGAGATTTTAAACAATGCAGTTCAAAGCTTAACTTAACAATATGCGGTCACTTCACTACATCTATCTCTGCATTTCTTAGTGAAGGCTACTATTAACGTCTCAGATGATTCAATAGTACATGAAACAAATCAACTGTTAGACCATTCTAATTATGATTAAAGATAGCATTAAACTGCTTCAACAGAGATGTGGTGCTTACCAAGTCCTGTCTATCAGCACTGGTCATTTTCTCAACTATTGACCAGAACCACTTCTTAAATTTGAGCAGCTTTTCAGCTCCAGCCCCTATGAAAAGAAAGAAACAGCAAATATAATGCATCGATTTCATTTTAAATTAAAGCAGGGGTACAAGGAAGTGAATTCAATATTTCGAAACATATCAACAGAACAAAGGGCTTTGCGTGTAGACGTGTAACAAACCTCCTGTTTCGTCATTAAATGAAGTGTAACTCGTCAGCTGTTGTACGTTGACTTCACCGCATCCATTCAAAAGAAGGCGAAAATCTTCAGCTGTTAGATTGTCAAATGCTGATAAAGGCACCACATCCAACACACCACTGCGAAGAGCCTGCAAAACAACACACCTGAGTTCAGCGCTATCTCACAACAGAGCTGTAGCACCTTCCATTCCCAAATTACACACTTTCCACTTTTCCTTAAGTAAAACGCATGAAGGCAAAAAGACAATTTGCTACTATTTGTGTTTCTGTTGAATCTTTCCTTGGTTCAAATCTTCCTGTTTTATGTTTCAAGCTCTATAGTTATCACAAATTACTATACCGAAAAAATTAGGAAAATTAAACTTGAATCAAGCATAAAATTCAACCACAACATTAACACTTCTCTTTTCCATGTAGTTTTACGACAGTGCAAGCGTTCGCTTTTATTGGGGATGTCAGTGTACTCTAAGATGAAAATAAAGCTGGTCGTTGTTCTGCTTTTTTATTATTCTTTTCCATTAGTAGATAAACTGGTAGTTATAATAGATTAAAGAGGTGCAATGAACCGCAACAAGGGTCAAGGCTGGAGGATAAAGTGGGTGATCCAGTTTCCTACCTGAAGAACTTTTGCGTTGCTTCCCAGCATCCTCTGCTCAGCATAAAGGCGCACATAGTCATGGACATTGGACGGACATACCGCAATGTTTTTCCCGCCTTTTACCAACTCTACTTGACCATCGCCTTCTTCAGCTGTCATCTGCACACTAAATGTTAGGTCGAGGCTCTTGAATGTGTCTACAGCATTTGGAGATGACGCTTCCATAATCAGCTTTCGTAGGCTTTCATACAGCATAGGGTCAAAAAAGGCCAGATCGTGCCAACCGATCTAAGAAACATTGAGGAGCTCAAATATAAGTGAATTATTGGATGAGTTTTTTTGCGGTATCTCATATAATCGAGGATGATCGCGTGGAACACAGTTTGGCACTGCTCTTGGAAACCATGCATTTCGCGCACAATCTACAGATTAGTCAGTAAACTGTTAGCAGATACCTAGCTTATCTGTAAGTTGCGCTGATTTCTAACATTAACTGTTGGCCCTTGGCCAAAGAAAAGACAAACAGTGAGTACATAATCATCATCATCATCATCATCATCAACAACAACAACTTAGTCTATACAGCTAGGGATTTGGTATGACACGTTACATACCCGTCTGGAAAGGATGTGTTTGATGACATGTCTGTTGAGGTTGATTGGGCATAGTTCATTTTGTAAAAGACATAATCCCATGATCCTGAAAATAAATGAACAAAATAAGCGATCCACGCCTCGTTGTTAACATAAAAGGTGCGAATAAGAGTTATTCACCCGCTATCAATATCATCAGGAAAGACAGGGAATCGTGAATCTTTATTCAGAAAGTCAAACTAAAAGTATTCATTAACACATCTTAGAAACAAATAATCTATAAATGGCTTCAGCTCTTGAAATAGAAAGTTGTTTTACTAGGTTAAACCTAGCCCTAGCAGTTCAAAAGGTAGCTAGTGCTATGCACTGGTTAAATCTCTACTATAGTGAATAAGTACCAGGGAAACCAATTGAGTTATTCACTAGATAGAGATTTATCCAGTGGAGAGATCTCTAACTTGCGGTTAACGCAGTTGGTTTCCGTAACCGTTATACGGTGGATAACGCTATTCAGGGGCAGCCAACGAGAATATAGTTCAAAACCACTTAAACACAGCATTGTTAAACGTATTTTAGTATTTAATCAGTAGATATAGGTATATTTTCATCCCCCCAAAATTTTTCATCTGTTCAGATTTCCTAGCTGAAAGTCTAGTGATTCGAAAATTATAGAGATCTGATCGAAAATTTCAGCCAGAAAAAAGGCTCCCGAAAATTCTAGGTGACCTTTTTAGGGTAAAAATCCGTTAAAAATGGGCAATTATACCATTTTTCAGATGCTCAAAAATCCTAGGAGAGGCAGGCAAGCAAGAAATTTGACAACAAATGTTCCGAAAATTCTAGATCTCAAATCGTCTTCCGAACAGATATTTTCCGAAAATTGACGTTGGGTGCGCCTGGCTATTCAACCTTTGAGCAACTGAGGCCCCATCCAACAGGATGAGCATCCACTTACCTGCCGACATTTCTGAAGCAGTTAAGTCTCTCCTCTGTACACTTGCCAGGGAGTGGAGAGTAGAAACCAGTTTTACCCGGTTGATAAAATAACGGAGAGCTATCATCCTCAGGATCATCAAGGTCCACCACAGAGCTGGATGTGTCATCCTCGCCTTCACTGTTATGTTTTCTGAGAGGAAAATTAATATCTTAGCAAACTAAGTTCCTAGTTGTAATCCCCATGTCAAGAGTAAGGGCTGTTTAGAGTCTGTGGGTACAATGTCCGTCAAAGTGATCATAGCTGAGTCTAGTTAATCTAATAAGTATGAAGCAAAGTTGTCAATATTCTATTGCAGTACCACAACAGCTGTTTACGAGAAGGATATTGGTGCTCCAAACAGGAATCGAACCTATGACTTCACAAACACCAGTTGGGCACTTCTTCCTTTTGAGCCACCGCGCATGGCCATTTACTAGGTTTATATGTAACACGCGTCACTCAACTCACTTCTGCACTGGCGCAACAACTGAGCTCAGTTCGCTAATCACAGTGAGGAATTAGTGCTTATTACTAATTAAGATAAGAGAATTGAATATAACACTTACTTGCCAGACACAAGAAGAAGTTCTACAGCTTCTTCTACTCTTTGCCTCAAGGTGTCTTCACTTGCTAACAGTAACAGTAACTGGGCAGGGGAGAGTTCTAACAGCATGCCAGTGATCTTGCTTGCAAGGGACTGGGGTCACATGAAAAAAACAGCAAAATATTCTGACCAAGACTGAAAGGGTAGGTGCATTTGGTATGTTTTAATTCTCTCTTTGGCTCATTGTTCGTACGTTGTGACGTTCAAATTAGATGAGAATTATACGTTTCATCTAACAGCAAGAATTACGAATGAACGCCTAAAAAACTTACGTCTTCCTCTAGTGTTACAATGGTTACTACATGACAAAACAAACAACGAGGGTGTGTATCATTAAGACCAACCAGCCAGTATATATGTCCACGTGAGAGAAGGAACCTCTACTTAGGAGACTAATGAGAGAATAAAACTTCTGAAGCTTTCCAAAAGGAAATCGGAGTTTCTGGTTCCCCTTTGTAAATCAGTCCCCATTCTCAACATTCAATATGATGACCATCGATAGAGGGTGTGTACTCACAGGCTGTAAGGAATGAACACGTGGATAAAGTCTCTCTCCTAACGACTGTCGGTGATAAGGTAACGAGTCACCATCATCAACATCAGCACTGCTGCTGCTGCCACTGAAGTGAAATGGCCGTGCGTCAGCTGACAGCTGTCTTCTCCCTTCACGATCACGCTTGTAACGGTAACTCGTAGCACGACGAATTCGCTGGACTATGCCTATTAAAATAACACACACATGATATTTTGGGAAGTTGGAGCCGTGCGCAAACAAAAAGGAAACACATTACAAGATTGAAAAGAGCAATTAACACTACATCTGTCTACGAATGTTTTGCCCTAGACTGAATGCTCGCTTCTGATTGATCAAATGGCCAAACGTAAACGTAAACGCATCCCCAAATTAGGTAATCTTCGTCTGTAAGAGTGAATATTTTTCGACTTGCGTTTACTGAAGAACTTTGCGAGTTTCTGCGTTAACATGGTGGAACAGAAAAGAGCAAGAAAAAGAACTCTAACAAGTGAGAATCACGATGCAAAGTACGATATGACTTACTTGTGCTTGTGTCGAGTGAAGGAAGTTTTTCTCCAGATAAAAATGCCTCTCCAACTGCTGTGTAAAAGCTCCTCGCCACCCCAGTCCCCTCGCCCGGTTCATCCTTGAACGTGACTTTGACACGATGAATAGTCATGGGGCGAGATCTAGGGCCACGACGACCAAACTGGGTGTTAAGCTGCCGAATAGTTTGTTGAATTAATGTTAAACGGTCGCGCTCAACCTGGGACAAAACAAAAACATAAAGTTAGTAATGAAAGACTGGTTTATTCTGATGTTCAGAAAAAGAGATAAATCCACCAGGGGAAGGAAAAATAACCTCTAATGTCAGATCTCTTTGGGTGGAGTTTCTCAGACGCTCCATCTCTCTTCGGAACTTGGTTTCTTTTACATCAAACCTTCCTAACTCATTCAATACAGAGCATGGTTCACTGCCAACATCTTCAAGGAAAGCTTGACCAAACATCTCAACACAAAGACGCCACCGGCCTAACAGCGAGTTTGCAGAAGTTCCGTTACATATAACGGGCATTATTGATCTAGATGTGGATTCAGCAGCAGATAACGTTACAGGATCATCTGAGGAGCTGTTGGTGGCGGCTACAATGAAAGATAAAAAGGATAGGATATCTTCTGTTAACGGTGGTAAAATATATTCACATTTATTTAAACAACGGCGAAGCAATAAGGATGAAGGTGGGATGCAGAAACATGCCATGGACAGCTGTTTCATCCATGCTGGTATAGCTCCAGTAGTATATGTAAGATCTTGTCGGATCACGAGGAAAGGATAATGTATGTGTTTTGGTTCGCTGCTATAGAAACATGTTAAACTAGTTACTAAACAAAATCACACTTAAAGACTAAGTAGATATACATATATAAAAGATAAAAAAAGGAAAAAATAATACAACGAAAGATACTATAAACATGATGAGAATTATGGTTTTGTTGGTGAGGCGTTATTCCTTGTACTTTCTCACCGGCATTGGTTTGGTTTGAAAAGGCGCTTTGTTGTCCTACTTCAGAGTTAGACTTGACTTGTCTTGCAGCAGATGAACTCAAAGCCATGCTGTTGACTTGAGCCGCAGCTCCAGTACCAGAAAAGTGTTCATGAACAGTACCAAACATGTGCTCCCTGCGTGCTCCGGGATGAAGCAGGTGAGGCTGACAGGCGAGTGGCAGAGCTTCCTCTACAGGGGCCTGGTAGGGGTCTGGTGGGGTACACCCTAGTACCGTGGTGGAGTCAGTTCGCACAAAGAAGCTGCAGACAAGTATAAAAGCCATTTTACTCACGTTATTTTCATTTGCTGTAATTGGTGGAAGGAAGTAACGAAAGTGATCCAAATCATTTGGTGCTCAGGCGCTTGAATGTAAACAGAGACGTATTTCTGGAGGTCGCTTATTCTCCGAGCGACAGTAGGAAATACGTCTGCGTTTGCAAGCTACTCGGTCACATGGGACTGACGTTTTCGCCCTTATAATGCAATAAAACACTGCCTTCTTTACAATGACATCTGGCTTTTTGTTCCCGCTAAAATGTAGCCCTTGTGCATTTAAGATAACAAAGAAAGACTTCTAAGACTTCTAGAACGTGGCCGCGACCTCTAATTAACACAAAGACAACAATTTTCCACCGTCTACTTCACGAATCTACAATAATATTCCATGGCCTACGCCCTTACCTGCCATACAAACGACTTCAAAATGTTCAAAACTTTTTAGCGAAACCATTCCACCAGAGTTTTGAACGTTTTGACGTCATTTCTATCGTTGATAAGAGTGCAGACAATGGAAAAATGTTGTTGAGTTGCTAACTGACCGCTAAATGCAGACAGCATTAATTTGCATGGACGAGAATAACGGGACTATGGCGGCTTAATAGAGGGTGTTTGCTGAATAAAGAGCAGTTAAATACTGTTTGCCTTGCGTTCCTGGTACCTGTGTAAATGTCCTGGTGTGTTAGGTGTAGGCATGGGTTCATCTTCAACATGATCAGTATCATCATCATATTCCTCTGCATCTCTTTTAAAACTAGCACTATCTTCATCATCAACATCATCACCTCCTTCATCTTCAGTCACTGCATCAGCTGCTGCAGCTGCCGCAGTCTTCTCAACACTTGATTGTTTAACTTGCGTGCTGGCGTTAGGGTTATTTCTTACGTAGTATACTAGAGCGTCTAAAACATACGCCACATGTGGCAATGACGAGACATCCATTTGAGGTAAGGAGGCTCCATGTTCATTAGAATGACCTCTCAAAAGGGAAAGTACATACACCAGGAAATCCTGTCGACCGGTATCAAGGCTACCACCACCAGTACCACCATGTCGTCTGTTGTAAAGAAACATCACAAACATCTTATTGCCTTCGTTATAAAAACGTTGCCTGTGTGATACGAAGCTGCAAAAGGGTTAATACCTATTTATTTGGCATGAGGTCATATTAATCTCTTATTTCTTAATTCATAAAAATTTTGAGAAATATATTTTACCTTACATATTTGTGTCGTAATTTTGAAAAGATCTAGAAATTTAAAACCTATATCTTATCCTTGCCTCCTTACCTTCTAACAGCAGATCTTTTTCTTTTGTTTTCTAAAGCTCTCATATTTGAGGTATCTTCTCGGTTTCGCCTGTCTTTACTGGGCTTGGGATTTGTGTGAGAAGGCTGAGAAGAATCAGTTGTAGCCGCAGACAATGAAGAGCCAAATCGCAGTTGTGCCTCAGTACAATCCAATACTATAGCTAACCAGTTCCAAGAAGCCTGCAGTTGTTGATCTATTAATGTGCTTATCTCGGATAATGATAGAGGACTGGGGGAGAGACAATCAGCTGGAAGGACTGATGGATTATAGGCACTATTTAGAAGATCTGTCACCTGCAAAACAACACAGATGGTAAGTAAGTATTTCCACCTATGATAACTTCAAAACAAGTGGATTGTCACGGCCCTAAATAGAGCTTATGCTGAGAGAGAAAACAGACAAATGACATTGAAATAATCTGCACAGGAAGGAAGTAGAGTGACAAATAAAACAGTAAAAATCGATCCTAGCCATTAAATTGCACAACATCATATCATAACTGTGGTCTACAATGTCACCAACAGTCTTTCCATTTCATAAGTAGGTTGATCGTCCAGGAGACGTCCCTCATGATCCAGTTAAACTAGACGACCAAACCATTTACATTTGTACTAAAATAGGAATAAGCTGCATGGTTAGTAGCCCTCGTTAACGGTTCTTCTCTCTGATGCAATCACAAATAATAGTAGAACCCACCTCCCTAACAACAATTCCAAAAGCTCGTGCCAGTGCACTAGCAGAGCTACTCATACTATGAGGACCGCTGGTCCCAGGTCCCAAGTCACTCGTTCCAGTGCTAGCCGCAGCTGCTGCATTACTGCCACCTCGTCTAAGCGATGCTGAGTCAACATAGATGAAGCCTGATCCGCCGCCGCCTCCTCCTGTTGTTTGGGGAGCTGATGGTCGTGACTGTGTGTTTGCACGGATGGCCCACTGCATTGCATGAGGAGTGGAATTCCGATCAGCACCTAAAACGAAGTAAACAGGTAAGATTTCATCTGTGATATATGATGCTGTGAAATAACTTAGATCATCCCGTAACTGAATCGCATACCTGCTGTTGGAGGTCTGTTATCTAAACTCTCCGCTGTTGGCTGGGATGCATCATGCTCGGCGCCATGTTCCATCACCTCTTCGTCTTCCTCATCCTCCTCCTCCTCCTCTTCTTCCCCAGTTGATGAATCTTCTTCAGAGTATAACTCCACGTGTTCACCATGCATGCTGGCGGCACTCCCATCTGAGCCAATCAGTGAGCCAGGTACACGATTACGACGTACATTTTCAACTATATGGGCCTCGCCAACCTGAAAACAGGACAATTAATTTGTAGTCATGCATGTCATGACAGTGCAAGCTTCTTACATCTATTTCCAGATAAAATCACAAGAGTTTACTCGAAAGAGTTGACAGAAAACAAAATCTATGACAAACGAAGAATCCCATAATCACTGCAGATTGCAATCAAAAACTCATTAAGGATGCAGATTTTGGATTGGTAAACAGCTACTAAGCGAAACAGAGATATGATGCCTGTTCTTTAATTTCATTTGTCAAACTTTTATTTGTTAAGAAACTAAATGAAAACATAAACACTTTAAACATGAAGAGTAGCACTACAGAGTGTTGTTCTGACCTGACTTTCTTCACTGTCGCTTTCACTTTCAGCCAGTAAATCAAGATCCATATCAGATTCATTACCAGCTGGTCCACTCTCAACTTCTTCATCTCCTCCTTCCTCCCCGTGACTCTCAGATTCCATTTCTCCTCCTTCAACAACCTTCAAATGACACCAGGGAGTTCAGTGTTGTGCTACAGTTATATCACTGGTCATCGATTTTATTTTCCTTTGTTTGAACTCATTACCATAAATTACCATGCCGAAAAATAAAGGAAACAAAAATTTGAACCAAGGAAAAAACTTAACCACTTCAGAGTTACGTCCTCTCAAAGCACCTTTAGTTTAAATGAAAACAGCACCTTTGAGCTTGATGGCAAGGCTAAATATGTATGGTGGACGTTGTAAACGTTTTAAAGTACGCGCCTGTGGTCCTGGTTCAAGTCAACTTTGTGACTTTTCCTGCAGACAGAAAATGTGAGCCAACAGTTATAAATACCTCAACTTCTTCACCCTCAACTGGAGCTCCTTCCACAGGCACCCCACTCTGCTCCTGTGTGGCTCGAGGGAGGGTAACCGCTGGTCTTCTTCGGCTGTGCCTTGGGTTTCGCACCCTCTGCACACTGGGTCTCAGTTCCTGCGTGGAAACCTCCTCAACTGAAGAGGGCGTGGAAGGTCTGTGCATTGACAATGGTTCCACTGTAAACAAGTCTTCACTGGCTTGAGTGGCATCCAGTGTTGAAGAAAGAAGACTGAAAGGCTGAGCTGGGAGACAGATTCCCAAGCGTACTGGGGCCAGTAATGCATCAGCTACTTGAACAAGCTCTGGAATAGCTAGAGTAGACAGAGACTGAAATATACGCCGGCACTTCATCAGTGGTTGAACAGCACCTCTGTTTGGAATAAAAACAACAAATAACTTAACAAGTTATTAACAAACGAAAAAACTGGTATTGGAATTCAAAGACAGCACACGAAAGCATGACCCATACGTCAGGAACAAATTAGTCCCATCTTTGTTATTCCAGCAGTTATTATTTGTTATGATTATTGCAACAATTTCACTTGTAAAATGCCCTAAAGTGACGATCTTTCTGATCGGAACATTCCACACAAGAGCTGAAAGGAGACTAGACTGAGCCATGCATGAATCATAAGGTTTGGTTACATGGGATTCCAAAAATTCAATACTATCCTTAACACTAGAACCCTTAAACTTCCAAACGTTCCGCCGACCCAGAACATGAGTTGATGTGGGAAGTTGAACAGCTGAGATACTATTCCAAGAGCAATTTTACTACTTTATAGTCTGTGTTAGGCTGATGATTTATTTACAACTGCCGGCAGTGACTTACATTTTCCGTTTCCCATTGGGTGGGGCCATCTGTGAAGCCAACACCACAAAAACTCTGGCAACAGACCGAACGAAGCGTCGAGCCAGGTACATCTCCTCTGATTTATGAGGATCAGTTGAGTTTTCTATTGCTGTCACCAGTGTCAGCAGAAGAGGATCAAGTATCTACAAAATATACATAACCCTGTTGGCTTTCAGCACCTTGGAACCAAGTGCCTGGCTGCATTAGGTGATAAGATCTGCCTATTAGACACGACTCCGTATTATAGAAGTAGGATTGTATGAAGTTTTGGGAAAAGAACAACTTCCCGTAATTTAGAGCTGTTTCTATTTTAGTAGACCGGCGAGTAGAGGCTTGATAATCAACTCGAAATTTAGGTTTGAAATTCATAATATTGCAACTAATTAAGCTAAAGAACAGTGCCACTACTTGAACCGGGGCACTTGGAAGAAGATTATCCAATCACAACGTTTTTTGAAAACAAAAGATTCTTAAGGTTTTTTTTTGCAAACGGACCGCTGTGCCAGCTGCCGCGCGAAAAGGACTGCTACGCAACGCTTTCCCCATACTGCGAAAATGTAGCCTCTATTCGAAGGATACAGTAATCTTCCATCGTTTAATGATAAGCTAGCTTAATTGCTTCTGGACATAGTCGTACATTCACGACCCCAAAGCCAAACTTGTGTCTGAAAAATCTGAATCATTTTCCAATCAAAGATTTTTTAATGATATACTCGTGTCGAGCTTACAGCCTTTCGTTCCATAATTTCGTTCAAACACGAGATTTTCTCTTTCGTGGACGTTGAGTTTTTTATTCTTGTTTAAGAAAGTAAAATAAGACAAAGAAATGAAAATTTCAGTTTTGCTTTGACACTTTCAAAACAGCTGCATCACAGAATGTCACTGAACAGACACGTAACGCAAAATAGCATCGAAGCATGACTGTACAATTAATATCACAAACTGAAACCAAGCGGTCCTTTCGGCCATTTTCTGGTTTACGTCACCCTAACCATTTCTTACTTGCGGGCGTTCGGCATTGTTTAGAGCTAAAACGTCATCATAACCCAACGATTCCTCGCGGCCTCTGCTGTTTAAACAAATCGAGATTTATCCTGGAAAACCAACTCCATACCGTAAAATTCCGAAAATAAGCCACGGGGCTTATATTTTTCAAAGGTCCTTTTTCAGGGGCTTATTGTTGGAGGAGCTTATATTCGGAGGGACTTATCTACGGAGGGAAATTTGCGTTTCAAAATCGATTGGGCTAGCCTTATAGTTGGAAGTAAAATTACCGTTTTTGCTTTGTTTTACTTTGTATTTGAGGTCAATTTTCCACGTACAAGCCCCCCGAGGGCTTATTTTTGGAGGGGCGATTTAAGGGAGGGTTATTTGCGTTACTGGTTTGGGGGGCTTATATTTGGAGGGGCTTACACATGGAGGAGCTTATTTTCGGAATTTTACGGTATTTTACCTGTAAGTCTTTCCCTTATAATTATATGTTACAGGTCAAAATTACATTCAGGTTAAGATTTTTTAACGCTGGTTGATTCTCAATTTCTTGTTTCTTAGCCCTAATTCACGCATAATCAGGGTTAGGAGACAAGGGAAATTGAGCATCAACCTAGGTTAAGAAATTTTGACATGAAATCAAATTTGACCTGTAACATACACGCGTAAAGAGTAAGGGACGTAGTTCCCAATGTGGTGGTTTCTCTCTCGAGGGGGGATGGATCATTGCTGGCCTGCAGTAAATAGTATCATGCTATTGCAGTGACCCTGCCAAGAACTGACCAATCTAATGAAATATAATAAAATAATAAATATTACCTCAGGTGCGCACTTGGCCACTAGACAATGAGTGAATGCATCTAATCGCACAGTACCAGGTTGGCTGGCCAAACGATCTACATGCTCCAACAGCACCCGGCTTGAGCCTGCTGCGGCCAACTCTGATAAGCTGCTGATCACAGGATATCAAAAAATCAACAATTAACTGACCCACTCAATCACTGTTCATTGCTTCATTCAATATTCAAGTGCACAGTGGCACATATCAACTACCTTTTGCTACCATACAATGAAGTCACTTCAATAAGAAGTCCTCAAGAGTAATTTACGAGCGTCACCTTTGTTTTCAACTTATAAAGGTATTATTAAATCAAAAGCACGTATATTACTTTCAGCTGATCTAGAAAAGCACCCAACTTGGATTTACAAATTTTAATTTGGTGATCTGTTTGTTGTCTGGGTGATGATTTAACCTTTATCTATAAGGGCGATTATTTGAGAGCAAACCTGCAGACTTTGAGTTAGTTTCAAAACATACACTTTCTAATGTGCTCCTGTGAGGGCACATTACAATAAAATGTCATACCTTATTTCTCCTGAAGATGGACCACTGCAGCCATCTCTCATCATTGCACTAACTGCTCTCCAGTCTTGTAGAACATACTCCAGGGCCCTGCGTGCAAACCTTGGAGGATCCAAATCATGTTCAGGGAGGGGAGGGGTAGTCCCACTTGCTCCCAGTGTCTTGGACTTGGCTTTTGGACGAGAATCTGAAGCTGTACGGTGGGGACGGAATTGCCTCTGTTCTACTGTTTGACGAGCTACTGTTTGAGCCAAGAAGAGTAATAAATGTTCCCCCCTGTAAAATATAACAAATGCCTTTCTAAAACTGACACTATTGTTGATGAATGTTAAGAACATTACAGGCAAGTGAAGTAAAAGCTTTAATCGTTATAAGGACTTTTAAAAATACTATCTATAGCAAAAATATGTTTTTATCTAAGCCCTAGAAGCAAGCCTTCTCACAGCAGTTTGTACTAACAAATACGTTCACAGAACTGAATGTGCCGGATATTAGTGTCTATTAAAACACACATAACTTCTATTTTTTCAACCGTAACTAAATTGAATGCACTTGGCGCCTCTTTTTACTGGGAAGTTTCCATTTTTCTGCATATCTGTCAGAGCTGGATGGCACTGACAATTTGCAACTACCACATAACATTTTACATTTTAACAGCTTGTAAGAAAACGACAGCAACTACAAATGTTGCAATATGTCATAACAAAGACTGTCCGAGACAAGTAAAAAGAAGGAAGGCTAGGGGAGCAGTGACAGTATTAAGTTTCCTTTACCTTCCATTTGGTCTTGTAACCAGGTTTGTCTCTGACACAAGTTTTTTAAGCAGTTGTATGCGTGCAGCATGGGAGCCTGGAACCAAGGCACGACACTTGCATTTTTCCCAGCAGTCACAGTAAGCGGTAGGTGCTGTCCTCTTTAACCTCAATACAAAGTGTGATACATTTTAATGGATTAACAGACTAGGAAAATGGGTTAGAAGGGGGGACAGCGTGGTCGAGTTATCAGGACATCGGACTCACAAACTGGCAGTCCCGGGTTCAAGTCCCGCTGTTACCACTTGCAGGATTTGCTTGCAGTTGTTCCCACTTCAAACCCTTGTCTGCCCTTGTAAATAGCAGTGATTTTGTTACAAATAGTTACGGTGAGTCCTGGGAGTCATCTTGTGAAAAATCATGATTCCCAGTCCAGAACCAATGAGTCCCGGTTTAAAAAATAAAAATGCTTGGGCCTTTATGTGACCAGACAGTTTTATAATCTGAACACAGACTCGAAAACTCTGCATTGCGGTAGACTGAAATTAAAATATAGTCCTTCTATTTTAAAGCATAACAAAGGCGAGAAGAAATATGCATCATTAAACAACAGCCATAATAACTGCCACAGAAATTTAACAAACAGGATATTTCTACCAAAAACATGTTCAGATCAATCAATCGATGTTTGCGTCCAATGGGACGCATGCGGTGAATTATTTTGCATCTTTGGGGATTTTTATGCATCAGGGACGCAGGACGCAGAGGTAACAAAATCACTGAAATAGCCACCTGGTTGCCTCCTACCAGTTGGGGTTTTTCTATTTGTATTATTTGTTTCTTGTCATTTAAGTGGAGTGCCTGTAAACTAGCTGGATACAGTAAGTGCACTTCCCACTATAAACAAACCTTTAATATCTTAACTAATAATCTCTTATTCCCATCCCTTAGTTAAGGTTTGGGTAAGGGTTAGTTGGATAGTGCTATCCACCAGATAATTCTCTATCCAGTGGATGGTGCTATTAATTTCCCTAATGCTTCCCCCCTGAACAGCGATTTATCCGGTGGATTGTGCTATCCAACTTTTGAACAACCGGGGCCAGACTGTCTGTTGATTTTCATACAAGTTTATTCCTAGGATAGCATAATTCATGTTTTGAACAATAAGGGCCAACAGCGTAGTAATGGCCAGCATAAACAAATGAGTTATCTGTTTTTCTTTGTTAAAAGAAAGGACATACTTGCAATCATGCCCCCTGTGGCACACTCGAGCACATTCTGTACAACAGCAAAGAGAACCAACTAGACCACATGTGCGACATTCAAAAATATCCTGATTGATGTGTTCTGTTCCAGTCCAAGTAAAGGAGCAAGTGTCATTACAGCAGAGCATGTGAAGAGGAGATGCATCAGGATGGCTATCACTGGGATACAGCATGGACATCAAGATATTCCTATCTATTTGAGGACTAGTTCCTTGGGTAGTCGCAAGGCATTGGGCTGTGGCAAAGAGAGTGAGGCCAGCATTATAGGAACGACCACGAACTGCAGCCATAAATGGTGTACAACCATCTGCATCTCTGCAAACAACAACAACAACAACACACTTTAGTAAGAAACAGATATTTACAATCTGAATAGTCAAACAACAAGTCATGTGTCATTAAAGTGAATAATACGACATGTCAGAGAATCATGAAGTGGATGAGACTTATTCCGTGTAAAACAAACCAAAATGCACCAAAAAGACTCTGCAGGCTCTCTGGGTCATAAACGATCTGGTTTATCCCCATGCACAAGTGATCATACCAACACTCTTGGCAGTTTCAAACACCCATTAGATAAAAGTAATGACTCCTTACTTGGCTGTTAAAAGTTGGAGGAGATAAGGAGCCAGCACTGGGCTTTCACACAACAGATTCAGACAGCTAAGAGCCTTGCTTTGTTGGGTTCGCTGTCCAGATGATTCTGATGTTTGCTGGCTGGACCCTGAAGCAGATGCTGCAGTACCCGTAATGGATGGTGCAGCTGCTGATGGTCCAGCAGCACCAGCTGAAGCTGAGGCAGCTGACAGAGAGCTGGTCTCTTCATCCTGTACATCTATTAAGTAAAAAAATGAGGATTTACAAAGAGACTTCCACTTTCTGCAGCTTATGTCCATAGCAATATTTCAAACATTAAGATTTACTTTTTGTTTTCCTTTTTTAAAATAAAGGGTCTATTTTACTTTTATTTTTATAATAACAATCTTTTACTGATAACAAAGCTAACTATAACATCCCATTTATTATGATTTCGCTTAAAAAAACTATTAAGTCAAAGCACCATTTATTCCTTTTGATTAAAAAGCACTTAATTTCATTTAAAAACTATATTCTAGGGTAAACGTTTTCTACTAAAAAAGGGAAATAAGATAACGTTCTCAATTTCTTATCGAATATCAAATTTGCGGTTCCATTTTAATATCTAAAATAATACTACCCTTTTATTGATAACAAAACTAACTATTAAAAACTATTTACAATTAATTTCGTTGAAGAGGAAAAAATATATATATATATATATATATATTCTTTCAAAGCACTATTTACAAGTCATTTCATTTCATAAGCTCCTGTTCATTTCCATTAACAAAAATGCATTTCAATTGAAAAAACTCATTTCAATTAAAAACAATTCATTTCGATTGTTGTTTTCTTTGCTGTTTCCACAATTCCTTTTGATTGTTGTTTTCATTCATTCTTTTTTGGCCAACCCTAACCCCAGGTTATTGGCAGTAATATAATAATGCAGAACTGTCGGATAAGTTCTTACTTTGCTAATTTTTGTCAGTAATGAGATAAAAAGGAGAGCAACACGTTTTAAACAACTTAAATACGGAACTTGCACAAGACTCTTATGCAGATCCTTAAGGACCAAGACAAATATCTTGCACCTCTCACCATTCTACAACAACTGACATTCTCTTAGTATTTTATTTTGCTTGTTAAACATGCATACTTAATTTTTGCCCTTTTTTGTGTCGTTGATTGTGCTCTATTGTCTTACCTAATTAATCTTCTTCACCTTTTTTTCTTTACATTTTATTTTATGAATCTACCTAATTATTATTATTTTTTATGTTATTTTATTTTTACACAACCTGCATCGAATAGCCTTTGCTACTTGCCAGTTGTGTTTTACTTTATTTTGTAACAAGGACTTTGAAATAAAATAAAGCTGTTGTTGTTGTTGTAGCAGGGTGAATTTTAACTACACAGCAGCAGCAGCCGTACCCGCATCAGGAGGCCAGTGCAAGGTGGGTATAGGAGCATCCTCCTCAACATCAAGTCCGGCCAATGAAGATGATGCAGACCTTGCAGCAGTTACTGCTCGCTGCATCATCTCCCGAACACCCAATCTGGATGCTGAGCCACCATTACTTGCTGCTACCCCACCACTACTGCGTCCATTGCCGCTGGAAATGTTTATAGAGCCAGCAGTACTGCTATTACCTGAAGTTGTAGTACCACCATCTGAAAGTAAAAGAACAACCATGGAACATTAGTTTCCCAATTTAATGCAGACCTCCCCCAGCCTCCACCCAAACACCATCTGAGAAAGATTTTTAGGTCCTGTAACTATTTCTTTCTGAGAATCTGGAACTGCTGAGTACATAATGCAGGCATAACAGTCGAAAGTTTATAGACTGGATATAAAAAATCAGCCTGCAAATTGCACTTGCATTAAGGCTAAGTATAGAATACAAACTGTGACATTTTTTACTGGACATAGTGAAGACTGCAACCTAAATTCTAAAGTAAACAATATTAGGGTTCTCAATAGATTTTTAAGTAGGAGGTGATCACTGATAAAGTAGGAGGCTCTTCAGCAAAGCCAGAGGTGTCAAAACAAAGCAAAGAAAAACGACTTAAACACAAAGTAAGCGGCTATAAATCCCAAAGTAAGTGGCGATCAATCGCCGGGTGCCGCCTTCTATTGAGAACCCTGCAATATGAGTGCAGGCTAGAAGCTGCAACTGAGTAGTATATAAGTGCAGATTGCGAACAGCAAATGAAGTACATTACAAAATTTATCCAGAGTGCAAGTTACAGTCCAGAAAGGCATCACTGTGGTTTTCAAAAACACCTGAACTCTGAAGTTCAAAAGCCACCCCTTTCCCTTAGAATTGCATTTTACGCTTCCATCAATCATAATTATGGTCTCTAGCAACGCACCTTGAAACACAAAAACACAAAAAATGGATCGAAACCCACCAATCACAAACAATGACCTTTTGAACCCACTCAAATAAATTGCTGTTCCTAAGAGGTCTGCTAAGATGATTGACGGCAACTAAAAACACAAACCTCAGTTGGCTTTTACACTTAAAAATTTGTGTTTTTGAAAATTGCAGTAAGGGCAAACTGAGACCAATTGTTAACTACATAATGCCAGATGTTCGGCCTAGTAAAATGCCTCGGTGTGGTTTGACACAACTAAGTTATGTACAGAAATGCACTGAAAGATTCATGCCCTTTGACTCATGACCTGAACACAAGCAATTCTGTCAAACATGGAATGATATGGAAATAATTGTGGGTGATATGAAGAAGCCAAGGTCTAGGATATGTGCATTTTTGGATACAGGTAAAAATGTCTTACAAAACCCTGTGGCTTCTTAAAGGACTATGTTAGTTAAGCAATAGAAAATTTTTTCCGTGTTTGTATAGCCTGATATAAACATGAGAGGAGTTGGGAGAATTCTCGACAGTTATGCAAACCCTTGACTTCGTCTCGGGTTTGCATAACTGTCGAAAATTCTCGCAACGCCTTGAGTGTTTGTATCAGGCTATGCAAACACAGGAAAAAGAGTTTTCTATTGCTTTTATAAAATAATTTTCCCTTGAAAAAATGCACAATTATGGCACTGATTAAAAGGGAAATTCTTACCAGTTGCAAAGTCTTGTCCACAAAGTCTTGCACGTGTAATAAATTCTTGTTTTGCAAAAAGATGCTTTCCAAAATATGGACTTTTCTCGCTTAAAGAGTCAGTTTAAGTGAAAAAAAATTGACACACCTTCTTTGCAACAATTTGCCCCGTTTCAGCCGATGAAGGGATAGGTGAATAAAGTAAACTTGCAGAGTTTTTAACTTGAAAACTTTTTCAAATTCGTACTTGCGTGATTAGCGCGCGAAAAGCAAAACATCTTGATGCCACAACCATGTTTACATACTCTCATGCAAATACTCCTCTCGGCCAATCAGAGCGTGTGTACTATCTTAGTTATTTTATAACTGATAATAATTATCAATATTTACTACTTTACTATGCATTGTCATTAAATATCAATTCCTACATTACACAATGACAATCTAGCTCACAGATTAATTTTATCAATCAATAAATCAAGGAAAACACTTCGAACATTGTTCCTTTTAATAACTTACTGTACAATAACTCACAAATTCTTACCATTTGAACGGACTGCAGCGGCTGCTGCTGCTACAGCTGCAGCAAGAGCATCCACAGCACCTTTGATGGACTCCAGTTTATTACCAAGTGCCACACCACTGGAGGAAGAACCAGTGTTCTCACCAGCCTCATGAGCAGACAAAGGCAAACTCCTTGACACACATGCATGAACAATGTTCCTGTTACCATCACATCTTTCAAGCAACGCTGCTTCTAGGATGCTCTGTTTATTTTCTGTTAAGGTAAATGCGAATCAAGTTGACAAGCATTATTGACAGTAATGATGTATTACATTTTGTTTAAAATAAGGAAAAATCATCATAAAAAAGAATGAAATAGCCTGCGAACGGCAGACATTTCTCCTCGCTCATCGCCGCTGAGGGACGTTTCGTGAGGAGGAACGTCTGCGACTCAGCAACAGAAATTCCATACTGATTACGCAAAATCTGTCCGGAATCCGGTCAGAAGCGCTAATTGGTCGACGGAGCAGTTTCATTGTTCTAGCTATTGTTTATGAATGACAGACAAAAGGCCGCAAAGGTCAATTGTAAACGCGATGAATCTCCAACAAAACAGTCAATATTATTTTGTGGAATATAGTCTTCTCTAGAAGAAGCATTTGAGTTTTGCTGGAGCTCATGCGCAGATCAACACAACGCTTTACCAAGATCGACCAGGAGAAACGCAAAATTGAACAAATTTGCATTTAGAACCCCATGACTACCGGATTTATTATGTAAACATTGATTTCCTCCTCGCAAAACGTCCCTCAGTGTCGATGAGCGAGGAGAAATGTCTGCCGTTCACAGGCTAAGAATGAAAGGGTTATGATTAAACTTGTTGACTCTGCATTGCTAAATTGTATCCCAGAGTAAAATAAAACACAAAGAATTTCATTTGGATGGCTTATTATGGGTAATGGGCCACCAGATAGAAATAGATGCCCTGTCTTGTAAAATTTCTTGTATATCAGAATGTTTTACCATGATCTCCCTCCACTGAGTCCAGAAAGAGTTTAATAGCATCATAGTCACTCCTGAGAACATGAGACATCAGCTGCTGTGTCTGTATAGAAGAAAATAACATTGAATAATGATGAAGAAAAAAGCCAAACCTATTTGCCAAAAGCTACAAAGTGTTTCATCACTTTTTTTGTTTTCTACCAAAAAATTATTATTGTTATTGCTATCATGGATCCTCTGCACATTAATAACAAACACGAAGTACAACTCAAATAAAATTACTTCAAAACAGAGAAATTACTCTCAAAACAGCACCAAGCAAGAAAGTACATGTAAAATGGAGTCATTCCCTCCCAGCATCTTGTGAACCCATAATAATATTGGTTTAAGGAAGGCTTAACTACAGCTATTAAGGTAAAATGTTAAAACACATTGTACACAATAACTAAGCGTCACTTACTTCTACTGCAAGAACAACCACAAGTGCTCTAGCTTTACATTCTGTTCCTGGCCTCAAGGAGGTGACTCCTACACCAAGGCTTTGTAATGGAGCAAGATCCTGGTAAGAAATCATGAATTATTAAGGCTGTGCTCTAAGGAGAACTGATAGCAGCCCAGTACTCTGAACCTGTTAAATCTAGGGTGCCCGGCATATGATTTGTCGGCATATGATTTGTCTAGTTGCCCGAGGGCAAAAGTTAGGCGCCAGGGGCCATCGGGCTCTGCTACAGCACAGTCATGAATTAGCATAGATTATTAACAAACAAGGGCACACACGGATAAAAGTAATAGTATTACGACATTTAGCCTCTGTCATCATCAGCAATATTTCTACTTTTATATAGTCCACTTTGGATAAAAGTTAACATAAAAAATTACCCTGTGAGCAGAGGTTTCTTTCTGGCATGATTATAAGCATGTCAAAAATCGTCCCTGCATTGTCATTCATGTAGGTTAAAAGCCAACCTGAACAGATGACAGTGTTGTGAACGACTCCTCATATGCTTTTAAATTTGCTGAAAAGAAAACTCTGATCGTGGGGTACATATCGAAATCTTGACATCAATATTTGCAACATGAAAGCAACCAAATCAAGGGCAAACATTAGTTGACTTACCATCCACATTGGGTCTTTAACAGTACCAACAGGATTCTTTGACAAAGGAAACAGTGCTCCATTGATGTCAGTCATCATAATCAATGAGTCCTGGCAAATATAATGGAAGAATAATGACTGTACTTCTCAAGTCACTTAATGTCGAAAGTCTCTGAAAACTACTCCTTGCATTGTCTTAAGAACGAGAAAATGGTCATAAGATTTTTTCTGTTTTAAGACAAACAGGTCTCAAGTGGTGCTTCAGACTGAAAATGGACAAGGCTAAATTATCAATGCTTAATTAATATTCTTTAATGCTGACTGAGGGAAGACCATACCCACGGCCTGGTACTAGACAAAAGAGGTGTAACTGTGCAGAGATGTCCTTAGAAATGGTACAAAATTGTAAGGGTTAGTGCCAATGTAGCTGGATTCTCAGCATTTGTCTTCTAATTTCTTTCTTTAACTACATTTGTCTATGATGACGTAATCTTAGTTTGGCCTCTATCAATTAAAAAAAACTTTGCCCTCCATTTTAGCATAGTCTTTTGAGAAGCTCTTGTTACTTTGTTTAAGTACTTTATTGTGTAGCTTACATCTCCAGTTGGATAAAGCTTGATATCAGCTTTGCCTCCCGGCTGGCTGAGAAAGGCAGCACAGTCTTTTGGCATTGTTCCTCCAGGTTCTGGCTTGGAGGATGCTAAACTATAAAGGGCGTAACGAACACCTGATGATGTCTTCAGTACTACATGAACTCCTGTAAGACAGAAGACGTAATAGATACCTCAGACTAACTTGGAAAATAACCAGCTCAATATCATTAATGGATCATAGACAAAACACCATAAAAAATGTTCAAAACTAAAGGAATATATAAATTGATGAATAAATAACATAACAAAGAAAAACACATAGGGTGATTGCCATTTTACCAAACAGACAGGTAAGAAACTTGTGGAACTAACCAAGAGAAAATAGAACAACATTGTTTAATTGAAGCAAAGTTTTCAACCAGACTAAAGCGTTCCATTTACGCTTAGCCCCAAATTTTGACTTCTTCTCTGCGAAGTGGTACTGGAAATGATATTTTTTTAAAATTGAATGGTATAAGTTTCAGTTGAACCAGACAATGCAGACTGAAGTGTATTATTCATTTCTTGATTGAAATTTCCGAAACCTTTAGTATAATAGAAAGCATGCAGGCCTTGCATCCCCAACTCAAACTCAAGGGGTTTCAGCAGTTCAGACTGTAATCATCCTACCTTTACAATTGACAGTAACAGCTATAGGCCTGGTCCCTTGTGGAACAGACAAGAGCTTTGGTGTACGTTGAATACAGTCAGGAATCTTGTTGGCAGCAGATGACTTCACCAGCTACAAAGAAAAACAAAATTGATCACCAGAAACCATAACCAGCAAAGAAAATCATCACCAACACCTTTTTTTGTATTCAGAGCTTCCAAATCGTAAACATATTCTACATGTGACCAGTTGTATACCCTACAAAGGAGACTGACCTGCAGTTCATCCTTTCGCAGAAGGCGTACATCTTGCAGAAGAGATGTGGACTCTTCATTGCTCACAGCTTCTTTGGTGTGAATTGCTCCCTGGAGACTGCTATCTTTGGGTGGAAATTTCACAGCAGCATAAGGTCCATCCACCTAGAAATACAGAGGAAGAGTGCATACTGCATGAACATTTGTCAAGAGGAGGGGAAGATCAAATGCCACTTTTACTATCTAAAGCCTAGTTTACAGTACTCTTACAGTGTTGGCATTTTGTCCCTTAAAATCAATTTGTGTTACAGTGTCCTCAATTAAAACTGTAAAAATGGAAATATTTAGCACATAATTGAACTTTAGGGGTACTGTGCAAGGACAGCCGATGCAGATACTAGGCCGAAATGCTTGATAGTTTTCATGTAAGGGTGTTATGCACAATAAAGCAATGTGTGAACCAGGCTCAAGTTGAACTTGCCACTAAAATCTTCTCTTTAAAGCTTTAAAAATTACTCACTTTAAGTACTTTTCCTACTGGTATGTTTCGTTTATCTTCCACAAAAATAACATCCTTAAGATCCCAATCTTGAATTGATTTATCCTCTGAGGAGTCTAGAGATGGATCCTTTTTACGCTCTGAAAGAGAGGTAATTTAGTTATTTCTTTTGAAGAATATAACATTTTAGTCGGTCCGTAATTTGGACAACGGCCAGTAATTATTTAGAACTATAAGTAGTGATCCATATAAAAAGGAACTTACTGAGTCCAAGAGAGCCAGGAACATCAGCCTCTTGTTCCTCAATAACTGCAGGTGCATTACAGGAAGGTTTCTCATTTCCTAGTGGCAGCACTTTAAACCGACACTTTTCATCCAAGTTCCATGCCGACTCCAATAACTGGCCCATACGAGGGATACCAGATGAAATGTTAAACCCAATAGAACCAGGATGGTACAAAGGACAGCTACGCAAACATACCTACCCATAAAAAAAACAATAGAACAAAATTATTTACTAACAATAACTGCTTTATTTTCCATTTGAAATGATGTCACCATGGTGAAATACTGTACAAGGGTGTTAATAATAACAATGTTGACTTGTTTACATTTGAACCAACACCACAATGAGAAGCATGTTTCATAATATGCCAATCTTGAATCTAACCATTATCGACCAATCTAACATTTGAACTAAAAGAAAGTTTTAATTGGGGAAGCTCAAGCTAACAAGCATGGAGAAGGTAAAATTTCTTACATAAATTAGCTAGTAACAATATGATTGACTTTAAAGGCTCACTAATGTTACTTTGTTTATTTGTTTGCTTTTTAACTGGAAGTCAAAACCTGAAATCTTTCATACATTTTCATTTTTGAGTTTTTTTTTTTCAAGTCTACTCCCAAAATATACCATTACATTACAAACCTGAACACCTCGAACTATGCAGCTGGTGAACGTGGTTCGGTTTCTTCTTGCTCTTGCTCTAGCTTTCTCCAGAAGTTTCTTTCTTTGCTCATATGGAAGGACACCCCTGTAGAAATACATAAATCAAATTCGATGAGCCCATTTTTATCTTATTTAATGATCAGCAAGGAAAAACCACTTACCACCAGTAAAGTGCCCCTGAGAACATCTGTGCACAAGTGTAAAGGGAACAAGTGTGAACAGCTACAACTTTGTCTCCAGAAAATTCTGCAAATCCTTGGATGGGATGTTCCAGTTTGCCAGCAATTGAGCAAAGAGTTTCATCCACCCACGTGGCAACCTAAAGAAAAAGCTTCATTTGAGCCTTCTTTGATCTCAAGCACTTCTCCACTTTTTAGAAACTCAGGGATGTACCTAAGGGCTGGCTACTGGTTGATTTAAGCAGCTGAAACAGATTATATCATAGCCTGCAAAAGGCAGACATTTTTCCTCGCTCCTCACCATTGAGGGATGTTTCGCGAGGAGGAACGTCTCTGATTCAGCCACAGAAATTCCATAGCAAAATCTGTCCGGAATCCGGTCAGAGGCACAAATTAGTTGACAGAGTAGTTTCATAGTTTTAGCTATTGTTTATGAATGACAGACAAAAGACAAAAGGCCGCAAAGGTCAAATGTAAACGCAATGAATCTAACAAAACAGTCAATAATATATTTGTGGAATACAATCTTCACTAGAAGAAGCATTTGAGTTTTCCTGGAGCTCATTTGCAGATAAACACAACACTTTACCAAAATTGACCAACAAATTTGCATTTGGAACCCCATGCCTACTGGATTTATTATGTAAACACTGATTTATGTCATCAGAATGGAATTTCTGTCACTGAGTCGCAGACGTTCCTCCTTGAAAAACGTCACTCGGCTGTGAGGAACAAGGAGAAATGTCTGCCGTTCACAGGCTAGTTATATCACTGGTTTCAATTTTACTACAACAAAGATGTAGGGTAATTTGAAAGGTGCAATTGAGTGTTGAGAGGGCTAGATTTCAGTATGCCTGCCTAACTTTTCTCACAGAGATCCCTGGATAATGTTAACAAATATTAAAACTCAATACCTTGCCAGATTCTGTAAGGACTGATGCTCTTATGGATGAGGCTGATACTGATACTACCTTCTCATCTACAAGTCCAAGTGCTTTGGCCCTGGGATGATATGCTCCGTCCTGTTCTTGATATGGCAGAGGATCATCCCATTTCCACTGATATAGTTTACCATCAGCCCCAACACAGATCAGCTCTGAGTACATGGCAGCAATATGAAGAAACTGTGGAAAGTTGCCATCCTGCCAAAAATAGATTTAATAATATTTATCAGAATATTTAGAACCCATACAACTGTTAGTAATGGTACATGTAGGATGCTGTTAATTTTAGGCACTGCTTTTGTGGTTACAAGTAAAATTTGGCCTTAAACAAGGTAATAATATCAACTATTCGAGTGATGTTTCCCATTTTGTTAAGGGATCACTCTAAAGTGAAAATGAGCTAGTGATATCACTCGTGATCAGTTTAACTGTGTGTTTCTAAGACCTAGGCATGAGAGATGAAAGTTTCAATCAAATGATTCACAGACAAGTTATCCAAACAATGAGCACAAAATAATGGTCTAGACTTCAAAACCAAAGTGTTAGAATGATAAATGATGATGTTCAAACCATTTACTACCAACAATTACAGGTGAAACACACCACAATACTCCCTAACTAAACTGTACGTATATTCCCCTTAAGTCGCTTACAAATGCTGTTAGAGAAATGACATGGCAGAAGAGGACATTACATGTACCTACCAAATCTGGCTGCCACCACTGAAGAAGATCTGCAACACTCACAGGATCTGCAGAGAAACTTTTAGAAGGAAGTTTATCTTGTAATGATTGCTTGGAAGCACTGCTTGAAGACCCACAGTCTAAACTCCCTGCATGTATGCTTCCCAACCATCGATCCCTCTCGCGTCTCAGGGCCTCTCTTTCCCTAGTCCTCTCGCGATCACGTTCCACTTCCCTCTCAACAGCAGTTCTTGATGCTCGAGCACTGCTGTTAGCACGCCTGTGAATTGCACCATACTGTGAACTATAGAACATATCCTCAGAAAAGATTGCTTCAGGATCCACAACAAATGATGGGTCATCCACGTGCACGCCTGCATCCAGCAGGGACATCAGATCATCTATAACAACACACATGAAGCATTGTACTTAATGATGTAAGTAATTTTTAATTAAATAAATGTGAGACTGCTGCAGGCGACTCACCTCCAGGTAAATACTCTGGGTTGTCATCATCATCCCCATCATCTTCATCTCGACTAAGAAGATTGTTGACTGCCAAATTTACATCTAGATTCTTTGAAATAAAAATATCCAAAACTGATGAGTAACATTATATTTATTTCAATACCTAATACAGTACTAAGAAAACAGGTTAATAGTTGGTTTGGCCTAGTCTATATGTGTGATAAATACTAGGATTGCTTTAACATGTATGGACAATGCTGTGGACAGGATCTAAACTTGAAATATATATTCTTTTTTCAGCTATTTTGAGCTTTCCTACACTATAGATTCTCAGCAGTTGATAATCATTTTATAAAATGTTTAAGCACAGTGGTGTATTTCATTACACAATAAAAGTGATCAATATGGTTCACAAAATAAAGATGTACTCTACTTTGCTTAACTCAACATTCAATTCAATAAAGCAATAAATAATAAAAAACACCAGGTAATAAATGGTGTATAACAAATTTTGCAAGATTTAGTGGTAAAATGATAGTATTTAGAAACCCACAGTTCTCTGGAGTTCTCTTATAATAGCAGCTCTTGATTTGCCTTGAAGAACAACTTGAGCCTTTAAAAATAAAACAAAATAATGGAAGGTCAATACAGCAAAATGTACTGACCACCTTTATACAAAGCAAAAGAAAAAAGGTTTCAGAACATGATTAAAAAACACTGACTTGATTGACAAGTTCCTCAGGAACAGCTGTTGCAGGTACAACGCGGGAGCCTATGGCCCATCCTGATGTGCCACCTCTTGCACCCCTTCTAACAACACGCCCACGTCCACGAACTGGAGTACGAGCTGAAGTTCGCAATGACATGGCTGATGGAGCAGATCCCCAACGGCTAAAATCCAAAAAAGAAAATATTTCTCCATACTCTGTAATGTTGCATTTTCCTGATACATCAACTTTGTTACAGTAGAAGGTATTAAGTATTTGGTAGGGGATTCTTCTGCTAATTAGAACTAAAAGGAAGTTGGAAATACATCTTCTCGTAACATCTCTCACATTATTTAATCAGGTTTACACTGTACATGCAACTGAGATCCTGCAAACTGGTTAGGGTGTCTAAAAGGTGATTTTTGATTACCACAACTTGCAACTGCCATATGTGACCACAATACAAAAGAGTTCAAAGAGATTTTATCAAGATTATGCCACAGTATATCCACATATTTTTAACCCTACGTATAATAATAATTTATACAGGGTTAAAAGGGTACTTTTTGCTCTGTTTTAAAAGTTACATCAGATTGACAACAGTTTTGGTATATTAAATAAGGCCATTTTATTAATGCCTGGGTCACTAAGAATTCAAGCAAAATGTCCTTACTGGTCACCAGGCGCTCTTAACAATATACAGTGTAATGCAAAAAGTCTGCAACCAACTGTCACTTGATAGTGAAAATTTGTCCCTTTCTTTCATTTTGAAGATATTAATTTTAGTAATACCTAATGACTGGGTGCCCTGTTAAGCCACTTAGGGTCTCTCCGCTGTTTGAAAGAACCCATGAGCTTTCACCTTGGCCACGTGATCCTCCACCCACTAGTAAACAAAATGAAAGCAAATCATTTAACACAATTTTCTAAACTCTTCTCATTACCTTTTACACTCCAGAAAATTTTATAAAATAACAACTGAAGCCAGCCTTCATTGCAACTGTCCTTTTACTGATTGTGTAAAATTACTATACGTCCATAACTTTACACCTACAGCATAAACCACAACATACACTGTATACAAAGATTTGCTAATCCTGTATCTAAGTTATTAATAACCAAAAATTTCTCACACACAACTGGGAGCCATGCCAAGCTGACCATGTAGCCCAACCTTTATCATATCAACGCTACAAATCATTAGTGTTACAGCACCAAAAGAGAGCTAACAAACTGAACCTAGATAAAGATTAACACACAAGACTAACCAGAACTAAGGCATTACCTAAAATCCTACAAAAACTCAAAAAACACATGGGGGGTGGGTGGGTGGGGAAGGTCAGGCAATGGTGGAAGGTAACAAAAACAACTGAACTCTGAAATGCAATGTGACCTGAAGACCCCCCTGCACACTCAAACCCACACCCCCAGCCGTGTGTGAGAAAAATGTTTTCCGCTTCTTTCATTCCTCAGCCAGCAGAAAACCACAAGTTTTGTGCCTCTATGGGATCGCAAGCACATCAGAATTTTGTTCAATTTTGCTGTTGATTCTTAATTGCAAAATTTATCTTTAATCCTTACTAACCTAACCACTTAAAGATATTTCTTAAAAGACATACCAGAATGTAAAACCACATGAGATGCAGATCGGGCAGCAGTGTTTGTGTTATCTTCTTCTCTACAATATTATAAAGACAAAAAAAATTGTTGATATGTCATTAATGCTTGTACTAACTGAGATATCCCTCCCTGCAATAACTTTTTAAGTGCACATTCCCTCAAATAAGTAACCTCAAAGAACTGATGATGACCAAAGTACAATAGCTTAATGTTGCCACTGCTGTGTTAACGTAAATTGATTACGCAAAACCTATACTATATTAAATTAAAACGCAAAGAAAGAAAACTCTCCATGTTGGCATTTAAGGGGAACACCGCTGTGCTGTCTGTGATGTTCGACTTCAAAGCATGACTAGAGCCCAACCTATTTCCTCAGCAGAGCGTACCGCATTGGGTCACACTGGTAGGACCAAAACATCTTGCAGCCTAGTAGCCTTATTAAAATTATGCCTAAACCATTCAATCTTGGTCAATTGAATTTCCTTCAAAGAGCATTACCCTTTTTTGAATTAATTTAATATTTTAAACACTTACGGAGTAGATAAATCTCTGGATGATGATTCTAGCCTCTCTGGATGGAGGGTAAATGGCACTCGACACACTTGTCCATTCTACAATGAAAAGTACTTACATCAAAAAGAGGACAAAACCAATATTTCCTCTCCAACAGATCTACAGTATGTTGTGCATGTAGATAACTGAATGTTAGACAACTTGCCTCCCAGACAATTCACCCTGGACTACTCAGACTAACCCCCAAATTCTAGACAATTACTATCTATCCACGGAAAATTGTCCTGATACCAGACAACTTATAAATTACAATCCATGAAATTTATGTAACTACAGAAAAAACTAATTCATCTTAAAGTAGTATACAACATAGCCCTTGTTTTCTCAAGGTACCAAGAAATGGAAAAATCATTCATGATATCATCAAGCGTATATTTACCTCCACTCCCCAATTTTCAATATGCAACTTTGGCAAATGAAGACTGTTTGTTACTGTGGTTTTTGTTAGGGCTCATTTTACTATTTTGTGGAGCACAGCTCATACTACATTGGACAAATCTGCAAACATTCATACCTCCAACAGAAAGGCCACGTGCCTGGGTCCTACAACACATTCCTTTATAACTTGATCTTTTAGCGCCTCAAGTACAGGAGAACTAAACATAACAAAAACACAGCGATTGTCAGCTATTTGCTGAACCAGTAAACCAATGAAGGCTTGCTAGTTTAAGTAGTACACATATGGGCAAGAAATATGTTAAGCACAAAACGTCTCAGCATCAATGAACCTCTCATTTAATGGTCCGTTATTGAGATTTTAAAGATAACAAGTTCTAAGCTCAAAGTCCTCGCCTCGTTCATGTTTCAGGACATCGTGTAAGTTTCATTCTATATCAAAAAGCCATGCACATGTGCGAAAGCTAACTGCACTTGAACGAAACCTCGCGTAAGTTCAAGTCTAGTGAAGGGCTGTATAAACACAAATTACATTGACCGAATTCAAAACCTTATTCCGTGATCGCTTGTAAGAGAAAGAAAAATATAAATGAATACAAATATAAGCCAGCTTCATTAATTTAATACACCTTCCCACTGGAGTTTGTACAACAATTCGAATAAGAGAAAATCCTATTTTTCAACTTTACCTGAGGTAACTAGGCTTTTCTTTTAATTCTGAAACCTCCTTTAGCCTAAAAAAAAAGCAGATAATGTGTTTTAGATAACATTTAATTCCGGTTTTGATTCTTTGCTTCGCAAAGTCCAACGCTTTGTTTGCGAAAAGAAGCGCACATTATCTAACCTTTCATGTAGTTCTTCTACTGTTCTTGGTAAAGGGTGAACCGCGATGTGAATGGCTGGCATGATGTCCTCAAAGAGAAAATGAAACGTCTAGAACATTTAGAAAGGTCTAGTTCTGTTTTCTCTCGCAGTTTGTGTTTCGATAGAGAAGAAATATAAATATGGCTGAAAAAGAGAACGACGAAGAGGGTTGGAAATTTACCGCCTCGGAAGATACTTCATGTAAAATTTCTCTTTTAGTATGTACCGCTGGTTTCAGAGGACGCGGGCACTTTTGTTATTCACTCCTTTTTTCAGGGCTTCAGGGATAATTTACAACACCAGGAGCCCCGTATGGGCTCCTGACAACACTGGTTGGGGGACTTTGCCAGACTGCTTAAGGTGCAGTTAACAAGTAATGAAGAGATGAGTAATGATGCCCCCATACATGAGTATGAAAGTGAGATAGACCACTAAACCGGGCACTACGTGCCCTACTCTTTACGAAGAGGGCGTGGGTTCTTTAACGCCCCACAGACTTTTTATTACATGTGCAGGGCTAGTGAGGCGGGTCTACGGTTTATCGTCCTTATAACATTATAAGAACCCTTAAAAACTGAATGTAAAGTGAGTTCGCTCGCCACAGGAGCTCTATCCATTGTCACTGGAACACTGAGGAGCTCAACAAGGGTCTATAAGGGGGTGGGGGTTGGGGCGCCTAAGACAGCCTCTGATCGAAATAGAATAAAGCGGCCCGCAGAAAGCAAACAAACATGTGAGTTTGGCCCTTCTTTAATTTTTTTTTACCAAATATAGCTAACAATTGCAGAACACCATCCTAACATCAGGGGCACCCAACGAGAATATAGTTCAAAACCACTTAAACATAGAATTGTTAAACGTATTTTAGTATTTAAACGGTAGATATAGGCATATTTTTATCCCCTAAAAATGTTTCATCTGTTCGGATTTCCTAGCTGAAAGTCAAGTGATCCGAAAATTATAGGGATCAAAACTTACCTTTTCGAAAATTTCAGCCAGAAAAAAGGCTCCCGAAAATTCTAGGTGACCTTTTTAGGGTAAAAATCCGTTAAAAATAGGCAATTATACCATTTTTTAGATGTTCGAAAATCCTAGGAGAGGCAGGCAAGCAAGAAATTTTGCAACAAATGTTCCGAAAATTCTAGATCTCAAATCGTCTTCCGAACAGATATGTTTCCGAAAGCTGTCGTTGGGTGCCCGTGTAACATCTGCCAGTGCACTTTCAACAGTATAGTTAGCGATGGCCAGCAGAAACTGAGAAAGCTTTTACCACCTGCATTTTCCACACAATTCAACCCGGACCCGCTCACGTATAATCTCTCGAATTGTAGGACCAATAGGTTCGAGAAAAAAAATAATAACGATTTATTGACAGTATTACATCCGTCATACTAAATAAAAACCAACTCCTTACATAATGTTACTCAAAAATCACTCAAAACTATAAATGCTAAAAAAGAGCTATAACTATTTACACAAAGCACTTAAAAACTGCTAAAACCAAGAGAATAGTTAAACTGTAAAATCTAAAATACGATAAGTAAGAAACCTTATCAAGACAACTTATAAGGTTCAACTTAAGCGCATGCTGGCCCTACTCTTTAAAATTGTAAAACAATTATTTTTAAAAGTTTTTAAGTCCGGACACGCCTTACATTTGCTGGTAGGGCAATGAATAAAGTCGCTACCTGGAAAGTACCCTTAACTAAAGAAATTTCTGCGGGGAGTAGATAAGTGACGGAGTCATTAAAGTTAAGTTTGGATAGGACAAGGCTTTGAACAAGAGACTTCTTAGTCTTTTGTGGTGTCATATTCTTGATCTTTCTGAGAGTGGCTAGCACTTTATAGTGCGCATGGTCAAGATGATGTGACCTCAGTTTACACGTTTTGTCCACTTAAGGATTAGCTTTTTCTCGGGCTGTCAATAATCTGATATGTTCTGAATGTTTTAAGACCGTAAGTGTTTTTAAATGTAGACTGTTTTAAGATATTTTAATTTTATATGTAATACACAATTCAGCCATTCTATTCTAGTCAGAACAGCCGTGATCTAAGCTCTCACCAATTAGTACACTGCCAATCAGTGCACTGACAAAGGACTAAATTATGATACCCTTCAAAGCTGAGCAGCTGAGGATGACTTGTGCTACTCTTAGTTGCTTTTATTTCTGCTCTTTGAAAGGGGGCACTAAAAGAAGTCGTCCTAGCCACATAAAGATCTAGCCGTTTGTAGGGCAAAGGTAGAACCTTTTCCCTCAGTTATCTGAGGACCCTGAGTATTTTTCCGGTCCCGCGAAATCCAACCCGACCTCCCTTCTACAGGATAGCGCTCGACCGGCTGAGCTGGTTTCTCAGCAATTGTGGCACCAGTAATGGGCTTTTAAGAGAGTTGCTTCAAGAGTAACCACAAGCAACCATGGTGTGTTACTAAATGAATCCAGCTCAGAATATCTATACTTCCCTCAGGTGAAGACCAGCTGCGCGTTGTCAACACGTCACGATCGATAGCAAAGTGACTGTCTTGTGGCAAACGATAAAAGAGTACATGATCAAGAGTGTTAACGAAGATTTACCGATGATTTCCGGTGAGACATCAGCCGCAGGCTTACGAAAAATTTTTGCAAGTTTGCAAGTTTTGTAAATCATTTTAATTTTCACCTGAAGAAGCCCTTTTCCGGAGACCTAGTGGCCGAGTCAGTCGGGTCGGAAGAAAAGCCGCAAAAAAAGTTTCCAACCACGGCCGGGCAATTAAAGTACGGTCAGAGTTTAAAAACTTTCGTACTGCAGTTTCTGCCGATCCCACTGACTACCCCCGAGAAGCACCGATCGGTTTTTAAATAGTTCAAAGATCGGGGTAGAGGCCAGTGCTGGTGCTGAACTTCTTCAGTGTAAAGAGAAAAAAATTGGTTTGAGAATCTTGGAAAATAGAGCTAAGAAAAATTTGGGGGTGGGAATGCCAGCTTTCAACTTTCAGAGGACAACTCAAGCGTGCGCATATATAATCACCAGAGAAAAAGTTACATCCATTTCTTTTCCTTTTCCTTTTTAATGTATTATTTTAATGAGATGTACATCCATTTCTTTTCCTTTTCCTTTTTAATGTATTATTTTAATGAGATGTACATCCATTTCTTTTTCTTTTCCTTTTTAATGTATTATTTTAATTAGATTTACATGTAAGTAAAGAGAAGGCAAAGAACAAATAATCACACAGCCAACCTTCCTCACAAAAGTTATCCTGCGAGGGTATAAAATGATCAATTTAAGGAGATGATCGTTACACTTACTTATACTTTATCACTGAAGTGCAGAAGTTTTTTATTTGCTGTTGAAGGTCTACACCACACCCAGCTCCTGTGAATAAGTTTCGTATCTTCCAATTAGATCAGAGAATATCGTTTCATATTGGACCCCTGCCCAAACGATCTTGATTATTGAACAAAAAGTGGCAATGATATAAACACAAATCAACCAGCTGAACGTTCTTCACAAGAGGAGGTATTTAAAAATATTTATATTTCTTTCAGTTGAGCCGCCAAACAATGCCCACCTAAAGAGCAAACGGCAACTCGTTTTCTGCCTGGGCGACACCGCTAGCAACACGACACTGATTCTAGTATGTGATCCTTAGCGTATATACCAGGAACTGAATATTCACACAAAAAATACATAAGTTTCATGTTACAAACTAATCTTCTTGTTTACACTTTATATAAAGCCGAAAACCAAAGATTCTACTTGTATTTAATTGCAAGGTATTAATACTATAACAGACAATAAATTAGAAAGTTTTTTTAACTTAAAAGTTCTCCTTGTTGTAGAAGAATTTAACACCCTCAGCATCGTTACTGTGCTCATTAGCTTCCTTGTGGAGTTGATGAGAGAGGACAGCTGGTCCACAGAAAAATACCCCGATGTTGGTTCTGCAAATTAACCAGATACAAGTTAAGTACTGCGTGGATCCTTAAGTATACGCTGAAGGAACATATCAATAAATCTCAATCGGTCGGCCGCAACTGGATAGTTATTTACAAATATAGTTGAAGAGCTGAACTCATTTGATCATATACATATGCGAATTTGCGCGTTGTAAGTAATGAAATAATTTAATTATTTATTATTACTCAGAGGCAACGAGAATCAACTAGTGCAGCATGGCCCATGAAACCACACCTCGGCGGCACTGTTTTCACTGTTGCCAAGGGCGCGTTCCAGCCTCATGCACGAACGGAATATGCGTGACGAGCCAAAAGAACGCAGTCTTCTTGGGAGGCTATCACATCACTAACACTAACCTTGGGTGATTCCTGGCGACTTGGCTAAAAATTCCTTTCCATTCTGGCCGCCCATATTTTGTCTTCTGCTGCAAACCTGTAATGATATCTTCCTCTTCGTCCTCGCGCAGGAAAATGGTGCGTGCCTATTCGTAGAGAGCAAAATGATTTAGAAGCTAAAAAACAAACCTCTAAATAACAATTTTCTGGCTGCAGAAACGCAACTTATACTAGTAAGTTACACGGAAAACTCCACATAAGTTTAATACCAACTAAAATACTCTTATATTTTTCCGTGGTGTACTATGTTTACCACCTCTTCATACAACAATTTTTTTTTTAGTAAATTACACTGCTCACCATATTTGGACCCCATCCTCGGGTAAGGTAAATGTTGTATTCCAAAAAGTCTGCATTTCCAGTAGCAACCATCTAATAAACAAATAAACAAACAAACATAAAGTTTGAGCGAGTTATAAATGCTGAAGTGTGATTAGTAACTATTCCCATCTTAACACCGAGGTATAGATTAAGTAAATAAATATCAGCAACCATAAGGTGGCACTTTCTATAATAATTCAAGATTTTGCTAATTACTGAAAAAATGAGTTTATTAAAATTTCATGGTTGCAATCGAACTTACCCTGTCTTCTAAGTACTGTAGAAGATCTGTGAACCATTCAAAGGCATTTGTGTCAGGGCAGATCCAAAAAAAGTAGACCTTTTTCACCAATGGATTAACGGTGTTCTGATTATGCTGATGCCTGGAGACAAAAATAAACGTTGAAGTCCATATTCGTGAATGGAATAAAGGAAAAATAAAGGAATGGAACAAATGCACATAAATACTTCCTGGGTAACAAATGTATCGCCATTACATTTATGGCATTAAATGAGCACCTTGTAAGTGAGGAATGGGTGAAACTGAAGACAACGAAATTTAACTTTAATATAATAGGCGCCATATGTTGTCCCGAAAGTCGCCTGATGGTAGTTTGATGAAACATAAAGCGCATAATAACCATATTTTCTTCTACTTGACATCTTTATTTGTTATTTTAAAATTTTATGACAATTAACTTACCATATAGACTTAAGAACTGATGCGAAAGGTGTCACTCCAATACCCGCTCCGATACACATGACCACAGGGTACTTGAACACGTCCTACATAAAAGTATACATAGAAAAAACATCAAATAAAATAAAACATCTCTTTACAGGATTCCCGCCAAAGACGGGTGCGGGTGCGGGTGCACGGGTGGCGGGTTCAGAGGTGGAGGCTTTACGTGGGAAACAAAAAAAAGACTCAGTTCTTATAAGAAATCCGGTGACTTTAGATTGAAACGGCTAACAGGCGCCATAAATATAATGGCAGTTGGATACAAGACAACATTTTGCCTTAAGCTATTCGAAAAGACTCAAGCATGAATGGAACTTACCGAACTTGCCGTTCCAAAAGGGCCATCGACTGCAAGTCTACGAATCATAAAATATAGCAATAGGGATAAATCAGTAAGAAAGTGGAATGTGAGAGAGTATTTAATCTCTTCAGCAAATTGCTTCTCCTAATACTTTTCAAGTTCGTCTGGCGGAACTGCTGATTTCATTAAGTTTTACAGGACGCCGATTTCCTTAACAACGCAATTATCATTATCATTATGGTATGCTATTGCAGATTAGCTGAACAGTAATAAAGGACTTAATTCGTCTAATGTGGATAATAGGATACTACCAATATTTAAAATAAGGAAAAATTGTCCATGTTATTTGTATTTATTTGCTACATATAACAAGATTACAATTACAAAAAGATACAAAAAATGTACGAAGAAATGCCGAGGATGCCTAAAGGAAACTATGAAGGTTATGTTAATAAGGCCTCCTCAGTTACAATTTTTCAAAGATGGCCTAAAAATTACGGCAACGGATACAAAATATTATTAGATGGAAAATTAAAATAACAATCAAAATTAAGGAAGTTGAATATTAAACAGCTTTTCCCCGAGATTTTTTTTAGAGTATACTAATAATTTTTACAAATTAAGTGATCTTTTAAAGGAAAAAGGGGAGGAAGAGTTGATGATGTTGGTGTTTAAGGAGTTATAAAATTTTGGTCCTTGATAAAATACCGAAAATTGTTTGATTCGAGTTCGACAGAAAGGCAGACGAAATTTATAAGAGTTTCTTGTATTATACGAATGAATTTGATGTTGTAAGGAAATGAAATGAAATTTTACAGGTAAAGTATGGTTTTGATAGGTGTACATGAATAAGCCTAGTTGTATTAGGTATATATCATGAAATTTTAAGATATTTAGATTTTGAAAGATTGGATCATGAGTATGTGCATCGAAAGGAGTTTTAGCTTTAGTTCTGGTCACACGTTTCAGTAAAATCTCAAGACGAATAAGGTTAGTTCTGTAAGTTGAAGCCCAAACTAAGTTACAGTAAAAGAAAGTATGGATATACTATAGAAAAATAAAATGTTCGTAAAGGTTTCGTAGATAAATAGAAACTGGATTTAGGAATAATTCCTGTGGATTTAGAAACTTTATTGGCGACATGTGAGATTTCACAATTCCAATTTAAATTTTCATCTTTGATTACTCCCAAGAAAACTGTTTCTTTTACCTGATCAAGCAGTCTTTATCCGTGTGAGACAGAAAAACGTTTGTCTCATCGGCAAATAATATCAATTGAAATATTGTTGACGCGTTGATAATACACTGTATCGTTGATGTAGAGCAGAAAAAAACAATGGCCCTAATATAGAACCTTGGGGAACGCCACACTTGCTATTAGCACGAGACGAAACATAACCATTGTATTGGTGGTTTTCACTGTCACGCCATCAAAAACTAAAATCAAAACCGTGAAATGTCTGAAGCCAAGAATTATGGATATTATAGAATATCGATAAATTAACAACCTGGCCAAGTCTTATGTCTGTGCAGTTTTCCGCAGCTGTGTTGTTCTTCAAAATGAGTAACAGAAATTTATAGGGCTCATTATGAGGACGCCATATTTGTGCTTCTCCGAGGAGCACAAATAAGATGGAATGATTGACTATATCGAAAGCTTTCGAGAGATCTAAAAAGACACCAACCTCTAATTCACCACGATCGATAGCAGATGATATTTTTGCATGCAAATCAATCAAGGCAAGCGTGGTAGAGTGTTTTTTTCTGAAGCCGAACTGGTTATCACAGAGAATATGTAAATTAGTTGAATAGTCATACAATCGATTGTAGATAATTCTCTCTAGAAATTTTGAAAAGCTTGGTAGAACCGAGACATGGAGCAAAAGCAGTAAAAATTCTACTTATGGCTTCTTCATAACCGACCTTGGCATATCAGCAAGACTTCTTGCTTCTTTTCCATCTCCATTAAATTCTTTAGCCAATCCTCCTAACGATACAAAATAAATAAACAGGTCACTTTCAACATCTGCAGCTTAGACGTTTAACCTTCAATGTAAACATTGTTAACCCTTACCTGTCCAATCTCCAACTATACGAATATGAACAGAGAAAAAATCGTCCTCAGGCGCCTGACAGAAGAAAAAAAATCCCAAAGAAACAATCAATTTAACTGACATGTCAAATCATTTTTGCCGTTCGTGGTTACTTAATTAAGTCCACTTCACATCGTTATTGCTCTGTGTTCAAGAAACGAGAATCTGTCTCATTTGCCATATCAGTTATATGTCGACATTAATGAGTTTTAACGGTCTTCGGAGACTCGATTCTTTAAAGTCCAGGAGCGAAGCGTCCATATACGCACATATGCGATAAGTACATTTGCAGCTGAACTATAGAAAAGTTAATCATTCTTTATCTCCTGAAAAAGTCTTTTTCATCATTTTATCGGGATGACTGGTACATTTTCCGCACTATATTGGTGTCTTTGTGTTATTATTTCTTTTACCTTTTATTACTCCATAATTCTGATGGCGCAATTGGCCTTTTTTCCCGTAACCAATGCACCTTCCAGACTACACAGGAGGGGTAAAGTAAGCAACTGAGCAATTTTTTACTGAAAATGTCCGGCGGAAAACGCTGGAAATGGCATTTCCGAGACCCTAAATTGAAACATTTTCTGACGGAACATGCCCACAGACCCCCCTACATTAGGTCACCTTTGGTGCTACAACGTTTCTTCCCCGTGTGAGTACACCTTCAAAATCTCACGCTACGCCCCTGAAGTCGCTATCCTTTTCCGACCCAGAAAGTTATTTCATGCTTACAACTGATTGTCCAAGCCTTGGCTTCTTTTGAAATTGACGCAAAAAAAATCATTGAAAGTAACTGCAAAATAGAACCGGAATTTCAATTTTGAGTTTTTAAAATGTTAACGGGACATTCAGTCCCAGATCGAGAAAGTTTTATTGCCTTTCGGCGTAAGTTCAGACCGCCACTATTCCAACTCCTACTCATGCGAAGTGTTTTCCTGAAGTGTAAAGGATGAGTGATATGCTTAACTAAATACATGTAGGCCCAAAAACGTGCCTTCTACAAAAATCATGTTCTTGTTGCTGATGATGTGCAACCGTGGCAGTAGTGAAAGCTTACTAATGTAAAGTCTCTTTAGTCATGCAACTTACTGTCGACTTACCGATGTAAGAGTGAAAGGATGCCATTCTAAATGAGAAAGCTTTGGACACTTCAGGAATATGTACTAAAACAAAAAACCATAAGACAGTCAACATTATTGTTGCTTCTTTATTGAATGAACAGAATAGAATAAAATAATGAAGAAACTGGTGGAGAATTCTACTCCTCTAACTTATAGACTGGTAATCAATGAAAGTATGAGAAACTGAAAAGTTCATACCTGTCCAGCCTCGTGATGAAATCCAGCCTTTTTCATTTGTATTTCAATAACTTTAGAGGGATGATTAACAACCTATACCAGTCACAACAGATATATAACTATGTTAACTTCGTTGTTAATGTTTTCGAGGTTTTTTTTTCACTCTTGTCTCACGTTCAGTCTCTCTTTTCGATTCATCTCGCCACACTAAATTCCACTTTACCTTACGTTATTTTTTTAAGTAGCGTGAAATCCATACTACGTCACTTCCATGCATCTGTAAATTCGTGATTTTCCTAAGAAACCTGATGAATACTGGTATTCTTATCTATATTGGCCATTCCGGTGAAATCATTGTAACTACCGTATCTTCACTTTGTTTGATCAGTCCTTGCAGTTGTCTTTTGCACAAAAATGTACACTTTTTAGTACTTTTGACTGATCGCGATCCTTTTTGATCCGACATTGAGCAAGACTGATGATCGCACACGGTTTTTTCAGTGCACTGGTCTTGCACCTAAACTTTACATTATTTATTACAGAATATTTTACTTTACGGATGAAAGGAAATTTGTTACAGTAGCGAAACAAAGCGAAAGGAGAAAAGTTAGGCAAGAGTCACAAAACCAGCTGTAAAGCGGTAAAGAAACAAATCCTTTTAATACTGCAGGCAGGTGGCTGATATCTTACCTTTATTATTTTAACCGCCTGGAATGAGCGATAAAACCTGATAAATCTTTCGATGAGGTACAAGAAAATAGGCCCAACCACCCACTTCCACGTCTGCAAAGTAAAACGAAACATGAATAAGACGAATAAGAGGGTAGTGATCAATAACGGAGCAGAGTGAGCGGCAGAGTTGCTGCTGTCTTCTTTTGTTGGAACATCCTGATTAGAAGTTAAAACTTACATTCATTCCAAAGGGGACAAAGTGAGGAGGAGTAGAGCACTGACTTTCTATATCTTCCCACGCGGTCAAGTTCTTGGAGCACACTTCTGGGTCATGGTCTTCTACGTTTGACTGAAAACGGACAATACCCCTAAAAAACACAAAATCAGGGACTTGTTGGTTACGCCTTGAATAAGAAGCTATGTGCAAGCAACAGTAACGGATCCAAGGAGGAGACCCTTCCGGGATTGTAAGCCTCTCCATCCCCGTTAATGAAGCCATCAGATCATAATCTATTTTGAATAGCTGCGGATCTAAAGAGCTTTGAAACTGATTGCTAGTATAGAGCACTCCTGAGCTGGCTCAAGGACATGAACAAATTTGCCTGTAATGAGATTTACTGGAAAACAAGTGAACGGTGAAGAAGGGTGAAAGTTTGGAATTCCCTAATAAAAGAGTCGCGGATTCACCACCGAGAAAAAAGTAAATTACAAAGTTTGGGGTGCTTTTTGCAGATTTTCGGTCCCTCTGTTTGTTTTTGATATGTTTTATATATGAATACTAACAAAAGAACTTGTGCATTCTCTAAGTCGGAATTAAATTACTCAATAACAAGATGGTAAACTCTCCTTTCCATCGTTCCGGTTTTTTGATACCAAAAAAGTCGTTAAATGTTATATCCAGTCTCATTTTATGTTTTAATGAGGGATGGGCGTTGGTATGTAATTTGCAGGATTTCACGAAGCATAGTATAGCTATAAACTCGACGTTTTTTCTTTTTCCTTTCTTTTTTTGTATATTTAAAGGATTCGTTTTGTTAATGTTCACTACTTACTCTATACCATGAAGAATCAGTCCAATATAAAAGATGACAAAAAGGTGATGGCTGTACCAAAAAACCTCAAAATATGACCGCCTAAGGAAAAACAACTGGAGATTAGTACATAGTTTTACTGTTTCAACACTATTCCAAACCATTCTTTCTTACAGGTTATACAAGCCAAGCAAAATTGATTTTTAAGATACACTGATTCGCATCGCGATTTCAGTACAGATGCTGGCCTAGATACCTAGCGTTGGAACGAAATGAGGAGCTTACAACACAGCAAACAAAAACAACAGTAAAACTCATCTCAGTTTCTAACTAGGCTAACAAAGCTGATCCACTGATGAAATAATCAGTATGTACCTTATAAGTTCTGTCGATGAAGAAACCTGAAAACAAATAACAGAAATAAGGTGTTTCACGTTTAATATTTCTATATACATGAATCCAGTTTTCAAGTCTCTAAAACGCATAACTGTAAGCTATGAAAAATTGAGTGTTTTCGGTTCATTGCCGGCTACAAACTAATTGCAAGTGCTCCATATGTTTAGTGAAGAGGTGTATGGATGTGAAATTGAACTATCTCTCTAATGACTGAATCATGGTTGAATTTACCAATGGTGGTTGCCCCAGTAATCTTCACTGAACGTAAAGGAAATCACAGCAGTTGCACAGGCCGGGGACTAAAGATAACTCAGTCGGAAATGGCGGCGGCCGCCTAAAGAGCAAGTATGTTATGCGCTACAACTGAAACAAGGACAATGGACCATGAGATAATTTAGTGAAAACAGTGGGACATCGGTTCATAAACTGGTTCCATGGTATAATAACACTTTTATCGACTTTTTTCTAAAATTACACAGGGGTGGAATTTCTTAAACATTTTCTCATGCATTAGGTGATTAACAACAATGAATGCAAAATGAACCCTTAATTCTTTCCAATTAGCCCTTTGCTGAACGAGGTCTTGAATTTTCGCTGTCTCACACCCTTTACAGAACTTGGTCACGTGCTTAGACAGCACTTATCACCGGCTCACTAGGTGGCAAGCTAACCAGGCGTTTATTCTGATCACGGAGCTTTAAATGCGATCGGGCGAATCCTTCCTAGGTTAATTCAAAAGTCCCTTAAGACTTCTAATCCAGTCAATTCGGTCAATTTTCAACTGAACTAGGAAAGCATTGCTCGATCGCATTCAAAACTTTGTGATGAGAATGAGTCAATCCAGCGCGGAGCCGTTGTTACACATGTAAGTGGTCATTTCAAGAATGAGAGCAAGCAGAGTTGAAATGAAATGACCTATTTCAGTATTTAAACGCACTGCAGGGAAGCATTCACAAAGGCTGATCAGTTAACCGTATGTGGGCACTAAACTGTAAAAATTTACATAGACTTTTGTTAAGGATCCTAATTATAACATACTTTTTAAGAAGAGATGTGTGCCGTAAATTCGGCCCCTTTTGGCGTCACACAGTGAAAGAGACAAGCAAATCTACGTAATAAATGTCGGGTAAAACAATCTCAATTTGTACTTCTAATCCCCAAGGCAACACTCGTTTGGTAAGGTCTCATGATTAGCATGGTCGGTCAAGGATACGAAATGTGAATAAACATACTAACACGTTTTTAACTCTTCCCTGAGAATTACGGGACACCAACGTTTGTAGGTTCAATGTTACTTTGTTTGAACGTGGCTAGATTAGGTTGATTAAAAGACGACAGTGCAACTTTCTGTTTGCCGGTTCATTAGTTTCCCGGTCTACCCGCTTAGAGACCGAGTGCATTTTCGTGATATTTTCCAGTTGTGCTTGTATGAAAAAGCTCATTGACTGATTGGAGAGTGTTAATGGCCCATAACCAGTTTAACGCGACAACTTTATGAACTTCATGAACTTTACAGAGTAATTTTATTTTTATGCCAAGTTAAAAAAACTACATGTTTCTCGTTCCCGCCCGCTTCATTTTTGGGGGGCCGCCTCTCTTTTTCTATATTTGTTATTGGAAAAGTTTGAACGAACTAAATCCAACATTTGTGACGGCTTTGGCACCAATCAGTCTTCTACTATCCCGCGTAACAGGCCTTACTTTTCATCTAAGGAACCATTTATTAAATACTTAGTCTTATTGACGTCTAGTTTTTGACGTACCCAACCTATTGAGATGTATCGTAAGACATATCAACAACAAAACAATCGGAAATTATAACAATCGGGTTTTTAAATTATAAAGAACAACACTCTTTCTCTTTGATGGAGTCAATCGCCGCTGCACCAGCCTGGTTTTTACGCTGTCTTTTAAAAAATAATTTTTTGTGTTTATTTGTTTTGTTTCCCAAAGAAATTAACGTTCATATCCACGTGAAAGAAGCAGTCAGTCTCAAGATAAGCTAAAGAAGTGTATATAAGTAATAGGATTCTGATAAACTGATTGTACAGTTTTTCGCTTCGCTACTGCAGTGTTCACCATGTATAAGACTTACAAGTGACACGCGGATACGCTCAAAATAAACAAGAGAGAGTTTGGGTATTAGGGGAATTATAACGGTTATGTGAGCCAATTAAATATTTAGTTGTAGCCGGTACATGCTTTACTTTAACTGCAGAACATTTTCATACATACCATCAAAATAAGGCAAAGAGTGATCACGGCTCCCGTTACACCAGAAGCTGAAATGTAAACGGAACATTTAATCAATTTACTCGACCACCAAGAGTCCTTGTCAAGCTAGACCTATCGCTAAGTCAAGATAAAGAGTAAGTGTGCAACAACAAGAAAAAATAATCAGTTTTCTGGGGCCGCAAATAATTCAGATAGACCAGATTTTAAAAAGCGAGTTGACTAGATTTTTTTCTTTGAATAAGCGTCAGCTTATTGCCGCATCTTTTAAGAAGAACAGAACACTCCTCTAAAATATTTGAGTCTTGAGTCGACACGAAAGGGCTAACCATTAATAAAACTCCATTTCCAAAATAATAACTGCCGAAATATATTGAAAGGAAAGTATGAGGAGTTGATCTTTTTTCCCGTTCTTGCAATAAAACGCTGAAAAAAGCGCCCTTCTCCGACCACTCCCAACGAAAAACAATGTAACAGACGTCACAAAATCACTGAATTCATTCTCTTGTAACAATACAAAAACATGTTTAGAGACATAAAAATTATAATGTGCGTCTTGTATTTGAGGAAAGAAAGAACTTGTAGGCAAGGTTAAACAACGGAAGCAGAGTCCTTTGCCTTTACTTTGTAATTAATTTCAAAACAACTAAATAAAAGAACCCTACCAAGTTTCCACAGCACCACAACTGGAACCTAACGAAAAGTCAGTAAAAACTTTTTAAATTCAAACGACAGTAAGTGTGAGTACCACAAAAAAGAACAAACAAACAAGCAATAACTGGTACGTCAGGCGGACTCAGCGATCACCAGTACTGGACTGAGTGAGTAAGAATAAGAACGTCTTACTTACCGCGTTTGTATCTCTTATGGGGTTAAGATAAGTATCGTTATCACTATCTTCAAACATGTTCAACCTCTCGACAAGACGATCATCGCTCTCGTATGATGAAATGAAAAACTCCACGTTGAAAACATGAGCTACTATATGGATAGCTGTGGACAAGAAATTAATGATGTTTCACGATCAGCCCGGGAACTGACAATGCCAACAAGCAGCCTCTATAAACAAGCTAACTATAACTAACTCTCTACTCAATCAGTAAATCAACGGGTTAGTTTCCAAGAAACATCTGCTTGTTGCATCGGTAGAGCAGTGAAATTTCAAAAACAAAAAATAAAAAAATCTTTCAACTAAGTTGATTAAGTTGGTTGGCCACCGTAGGGGGTTGGATGAAACAAAATTTTGGAACTATAAATCAATGTTGGTTTTGTAGTGTCGTACAAACCTGTTTGAAGACATATCATATATGCAATATACTTGTGGAAAGTGACGTGCTTGTCCAGTAGTCGCAAAACACTGTGCCCACACTACACTCAACGTAACAAACAGAAAAAAACTTTTTTTAGTTAAATATACATACTTTGATACTGATTGCTCTTCTAGCAATTTCACTGACTCTGCCATCTACTTATTATTGAAACGTAAATGTTTCATTGACGGCTGAACAACTTTCAGTTTCCTTTAACCTTGAATCTGCAACCTCCAGCTGGACAAATTCTCAACAATAAAATCTAAATCATACTGGAGCCAAATTTTGGCGATCAGGCGATTCTTCCTTCGTTTTTAACAAAATAGAGCTATGGAGAGCGAAGTATTACTAAGGGTAGTCCACGATGGACTATAATCTCCTGAGCTAAAGCCGACTGTATATTGGTTCAACTATCGCTAAGAAACATGCTTCCGAGAAAGGTATCTGAATTCATGGAGATCACAATAGAGGATGATTACTGGCTTTTTGAATCCGTATAGATTCGGTAACAATGAAGTCCTGCATGAAAAAAAAAATTGTTTTGTCATGTCGCAGAGTTTTCATATCATTTACGATCAAACAAAGTTTATGTCATCACTGATATCACTGCTCAGTATCACTCACCCCCAGGCCTCTAATAGATGAGAGAAGATTTCTACACATGGTCAAAAGAATCAGCATGCAGTTGAAATTTAGCACAGCGGCAGACGCACGAGCCCAAGCCAAACCATCCTGTTAGAATAAAGTAAAGGGAAAACCACTACATTTCAATCGGTGCTCGCTACAAAGTGTATTGGTAGTTGTCGATTCTTCCGTTTGAATAACAGAATTTGGGAAACAATACAAAAGAAAGGCAAGTGCTACTCTGGAATGTTAAGATCAGAGGCGGAAGTCTTAAGAAAGACATCCAGATCTTGTTGTTCCAAAAACAAACCATGGGGTTCCCAGATCTAATTCGAATCTAGATCTTTGCATAAGTGAACACTACATCTCTATTAGATTGTGAATACAAAAAGCACTTACCTTGACAATAACTCGAAGGTAAAAGTTTCTTTTCGAGGTATCAAGTTCTATGAAAGCGCTTACAAATAAGTATGTGTTGATTGTCATCCATGCCAGCTACAAAATCAAATGCAAAAATACGCTGTCATAAGAACACTGAGACTAAATAGGTACGTGATTCTCAGTGAGAAACCTAATCACCCGCCTTCGGCTCGGATTTACAAGCATTTCTCGTGTTCTCCCAACATCCCGCGTGGGTTATCACGCCGGTAGACCCATGTGGTTCATTGCATGAATAATATAACTTTGAGTAAAAGGGAGTCGTGTTTCAGGTTTCTATGAGTTTATCGCCACAATAAACCATAGGTTTTTAACCAATCCGAGAACGTGCGTACTACCTTTAGATATTTTATCAAATAGCGTAACCCCAGCGTAACCCATCATTTATCATCAAATTGTATTTAGAAAGTAGGAAAGCGTTTTTCCTGCTCTTAAAAAACAAACACCCATGGCAGGTTAAGTTGAGATACACTGGAATCTCCTCTTTGGGACACCTCTGTCTCAGGGGACAGTTACATTCACGGGACACAAAATTTAGTGCGCAAAAAAAAAATGTTCACATAATCATTGTATCTGTTACCTCAATTGAAAGGACACCTGTATTCAGGCGGGGAAAGGGACACTATTTCTAGGTCCAGAATTCTGAGGAGTCTCCTCAGCTCAAAAACTGTCTGACTACAGGAAGCATTGTTACGCTCAAGTGTGCACTCGTCACAATGACGACAGCTTTCACAACATAACGGTAAACTATCTCACTTCAATGGACCACTCCAAAAAATACCATAACATACCATAATGCTCTTTGTTTGTCACCCCAAATTCTGCATAAACATTGTTTTCAGTTTCTCTTGGGGCCAAATGCTTATGCAAAATTTTGGAGTGACAAACAAAGAGCATTATGGTATGTTATGGCATTTCTGGAGTGGTCAATTGATTTACTGCACTTGTGGGAATACAATACAAAATATCGCAGAGATACGTATCTGATTTTAATACATTATGTAGCTGCTTGAAATAACAACTGCAGCAGATTCCAAGGCTGAATAAAAAATTTACATATATTATTTGTAGGTGAATTATTAACAAACCCCAGCCAACCTCCATTCAGGGACATCTGTGCCGTGGTCCTCATGATGTCCCCTGAATAGATCTGAATATAGTCGCAGACAAGTAACAATAGTATAACAAGTCCTTTGTAGTTTCTTCATATATATGGGCAGTGAATAAAAGCGAAAAGCGTATTTAAAAAACGCATAACAGTTCCTTCATTCCCTGCCAAGCTGCGTCTGTGAAAGGAATGCTTTTGTGGTTCACACTGTGGTGTCTTAACATGTCTGAAGCTAAGAGAGTAGTTTTAAATGAAGGCCACATTGAAAGCGGACTTACGTTTGTTGTAATTTAAATCCTAAACTACTAGAGGAAAGAAAGTCTATAATGATATTGATCGCTCTAGGGTTTTACGCAATAGTTCAGCACATTTTCAATGTTTGCTCTCCGGTTTAATCATCAAACAGAGCGGTAAAATACGAGGTCAAACTCTGCATGAAATAAAAGACGAGAAAAACAAGCAGGGCGTTCGACCTATTGCCTCCTGCCGTATCAGACTATGCCTTCATATGTCATTGTGTGACAAAGAGATTTTAAATCATTACTCCGTGCAATAAGATAGCTACCTACAAAAATAAAATTAAGGATTTTAAAATTGAGTTTAATAGCCAAAATGAATTGTAAATTGTCCTTTGAGTCAGGAAATTGCTAATCTAGTTGGCAACCGAGGTACGGCTGGTACGCACGCTGAATAGTGTTGAATCAGAGTGCCCCATACTTACTGCAACGATGTATCTTCCAAGTTCATTTAGCGCAAATTTTGTCATTATCCACAGATCTTCGATCAGTGACTGCTCCTTATGTCGTCTGTGTTCTGTGTGAGACTAGCTGCTGTAAACCGTCAGGAACTGTCCGATCTGTTAAAAAATAATTTAAAAATATGATACTGAAAAAACATTACTGGTCACGTGTGTGGCTATATGTTGACCGTCACGCCTAATGCTCGTTGTCTGTCTCGTTGTCAAAAAGATGACGGAAGCTGGAAACCCTCTTTGAAGGGTAGACTCTGACCAGGAAGATTTATCTCAAAATTTGCTTTGGCAAAGTGTCAAGAGTGGTTAAAAATGACTCATGAATGCTCTAGAGCATACAAGAAAATGCCTCATAACAAAACAAAAATTATTATTATCTGTGGCCATAGCCAATAGCATACAGCGGTTACAATCAATATCCACTAGATGTGCATTCCAGGGCCAGAAATAGATCAGATAGCAATTATGTTTAAATTCGGGCAATCAGACCTACCTATTATGTTGTAATCACCGCAAGTGGTGAGATGACAGGTATGGGAGAACGATTTTACTCTTACGGACCTTACGTAATCTTTCTACACCGAATAACTCGCAAAAGCGAACAATATCACATCCTGACAACTCACATTAAAAAAAACAACAACTCATGTGGAATGAAAAGCACAATCAAATCAGTCAAATGAATCACACCGTGATTGGTTCAATTTCAAGGCAAAATGGGCTCCTGGTTTTATATGAGGAGCAATACACTAATAAACCTTGGAGTGTGGAAAGATTGATTTGCTTCTCAGAAGGCGCCGTTATTTATCAGGCCTAAATTTAATTGCATTCTATTGACCCATGACGTGTTAGGTCTGCAATTATCTGACACTGAAAACAAGTGGAAACAATTTAAACGACAAACGTTTCATTTGTTTTGGGAACTTCAGTGAACTTACGACCCCATTCCTGCTTATCAGTTTGTATAAGAAGAAAGGTTTAATACGCAAATAGTCTCTAAACCTACAATAGGCCCTATTCATTTCGTTGAATCAAAGGAAACAAATTAAATGGAATAAGTAAGAAAGTTTCGACTTCCACTGTTGACCTGGTATGTGACGTTATAAACGAGGGTGTAAGCTGATAAGACCTGAATCACGTTTTGTGAACTATATTTAGAAAGTCAACATAAAAACGGTCGTCACTTGGTCACAATTTGGAGGTAGAATAGCCGGTCTCGCCTGGCTGTCGGAAGTCGTATTCACCGAGGATCAAGCGTATTGTGCTCTTTTCTACGTCATCAATTAGGTGTCTCTGTTTAGCTTCCCAACAGGGGCACCCAAATTTTCGGAACACTTGTTAAATTTCTTTTTTGCCTGCCTCTCCTTGGATTTTGGAACATCTAAAAAATAGTATAATTGCCCATTTTTATCGGATTTTTACCCTAAAAGATCACCTAGAATTTGCGGGAGCCTTTTAATTGGCTGAAATTTTCGAAAAGGTAAGTTTTGATCCCTATAATTTTCGGATCACTAGACTTTCAGCTAGGAATTCCGAACAGATGAAAAATTTGTAGGGGATCAAAATATGCCTATATCTACCGTTTTAATACTAAAATACTGATCTTTAAGTGGTTTTGAACTATATTCTCGTTGGGTGCCCCTGTTCCTAAGGACAAAATTCTTAATATTATTCGTGTCCTCTGGTGAGAACAGGCTGTCATAGTTATGTGCACTTGTGTGTTGCTCTTTAGTACTTTAACAACTTGCAAAATAAGACATCACGTCTTTACCACATTCGACGTACGTATAGGAAATGTAAAATGTAAAAATAAAAAGGTTCTAGAAGTTTAAAATCCTCGCTCTTTTTACTGTTTTTCGGAATAAAAGACCATTTCAGTTTTCTTTGTCCGAAATGACTTCTTCGTCGTAAGCTTTAATCCCAGAATAATCGGGGGGTTCGAGAACAATTCCTAATTACCACTACTGAAATATACTCATTGCTTTTTACCGTTATCGCCTTCATCATTTCTGCCATTTTCAGTTGATTACACGAATTCAAACCGGGTGTTATAGTAACAGTTCAGTGAAAAAGACACTTTCACTGAATTAACATGGAATCAAAGTGAAGTATATGCATGATTCGTCTAAACATTAAGTTTAGACGATTCCACTCTGTTAGAAAAACAATCGACAAACAGTGTAAGACACAAGTGCTGAGGTAGTACCTTAACTTTCCCGGCAGTAGAGTTCCAGAAATCGGTCAAGATGATTGGCTTCTTCTTCTTCTTAGTCTGCCCGCTTTAATTAAAACTTGTTTCATCTGATCTCAGCACTCCAATGTTGCTACGCTATATTGAAGACAGTACTTTGCTGGCTAAACATGCATGTTGCGTGTGGCATCGAATGAGACAATCACAACGTCATTATCTCTTTTAATTGTCATTCTAATTTACAAGTCAGAATGAATTGCAATATCTGACTTTGATTACTGACTACGCACCTTATTATTCCCCCTGATTGCACTTCATGAGAGGTTGTTTGTTGTTTGTTTTCTTTTTCTTTTTTCACTTTTCTTTCAAAGGAAATGATTTCAAATCTAACAATTGTAAACAGCAATAGTAATCAATCAGGGGAAAAATACAGTTCTCTTTTTGGAATCGGCAAAAGAGCAATCGTGCATAGCTTTAAAGTTCACTGATGAATTAAACACAATAATTTGAGCCTTGGCGTATCTGTCGTACAATATAGATATACTGTATAACATATTCATGATATGTGGCACGTTTCTGAACAATTCTGAGCACCGAGGCCAGTAATGTGTTAGAATAACTCGAACTAGAGGAAGACATCACGTCTTTTTACACGCTCAACGCACTAAAAATCTAGAAACCGTTAAAACTGTAAAAAAAAAAAACTGAAAGTCTTGAGATATATTTTGTTCTTCGAGCCTTTTCACGTTTCGAACTAACTTGGGTCGATCAGCCCCAATTTTAGCACCTTCCATACAGGTCTCTCTTATGTGGTCTCTTTTCGTTTCGCCTTTCCCGCCAGAATTTTATTTATGAAGCAAAGAAAATGGAGCCTGATCTCAGGTTAGTTTCTGACCGCTTAAGCATACAGGTTGGCCGTTTATTGCAGTCTTGACCAACCTAAAAAGTAGCTTAAAGGAAAAAGATGGTGTCACTTGAGAAGTATCGCGGCAGCACTTAACAAAATGACCTTGATTTTTATCGTTTAGTCTGCTAAAACAAATGAAATGAAAGACCATCGAAGGCCTCAGACAGAGTATCTGGTGTGGTGGTATGGTACATCTTAGAGCGACCTTTTAGTAGAGGTGTACACGATGAAAATAACTCGTTAGCACACCCCAAAACGTGAAAACGTGAAAACGTGACCACAAGCGTCCAATATAGTTCTCAGTAATTAAAGTAAAATAATGATTTCCGGGCGGCGACCTCTTAATGATAACGAGTGTGACTTTACTTCTATAAATGCAGAATTGTTGTTAACTATCAGAAATGGAACAAGCTTTGCTAACATTTTTGTTTCCGTGTTTGACTGTACATCTGAAACTTCAAGCTCTTCCTGCCGCCAGAGAGCTCCGTTGAGCTTGTTTGCAGAATACTCTGACGTAGGCATGCCTCTTTCGCAATGACTGTTACCATAAATAGAAGTATAGGAAACGCCGCTGAAACTCTTCGGGGGTCAACTCTACGTCATCAGACTCACTTGTTTCCACTCCCACGTCTCTTTATCAGTGCAGAGATTTTTATTTCGAACTAAAAAAATACTAAAACCACAGATTTAATTAGTTTAGCGAACAGACCACTTTCACAGGTGAAAAAAGATTGCTATAAAGAAATATTTCATAGCTTTTTTTCCTGGGCAACTGCTTAAACCATCGAGCGATGCTTTTTATAGCTGCGGCCGTTTCGTTTTAGGCGGAAAGGTGACGAGCGGGGCGACGAGTCCACGTTTCTTTTGGCGGAGTGTATCGGCAGTGAAGCGGACACCTTGTTTTCGTGCTCTCTACCATTTGATATGCTCTATTCAGTTCAACCAATCTTCTAAAAGGATGACAGTGCTATCACATTGTAAGTATGAATTGACACAGCATTATTTGACAATGTTTAATGCAATTTAGATCTATTGTAATAATTGTAATGTGTGATTGTAAAATTACTAAGAAATGATTTTAGGAGGCTGAGTGTGATATGAATAATTTATACCGAGCGAGGAGAGTGTTATTACGTACTCTTGCTATTATTTTTAGTCAGGAAGTCGACTATTTTTGTCTTCGCATAGACGTGAGCTCTTTCACCATTTTTTGAGTTCTGCACTGATGCCGAAACAGCTAAGATGTCGCGGGGCTTATATCGCTTATAATGAGCGAGGGTTCGTTTGTTAATGCAAATGTACAAAAAAAGAGCGAAGGCCCGTCCGTTAATGCAAACGTCCAAAAAAATGAGAAAATAGATGAAAAATATATTTACAGAACAAGGTAAAAATAAAATACTTAAAATAGAAATGAAACACTCAAAAACCATTCACAGAAAATACAGCTACAGTCAAATGCGGGTGACAATGACATTGTTGGCGGCTTGATAAGCAAAAGATGTTCTTGACCTAGGAAGCAATGCTTCAGATGCTTTGGCACGCAAGGAAAAGTGCCCACTCAATGCCGGAATCGATTTTCAGTCACGGTTTTTGATATGCGCTGTCTTTAGCAGTCCCGGATCGATCCGGAACTGAGGGAGTCGATTGAGAAAGATTAAGAAAAGTCGCTAAGAGGGAATGCATTTGTTAAAGTCTAGTTTTGCCTATAAGCGCCTTTACTTAATCCGGCCATGAAGAGAGGAGACGCATAAACCATGATAAAAGCTTTATACAGTTTGATCATAATTACCAGGGGTAATGAATTTACGAATGCAACGTATGATTGAAACTTTTACGCTCACTTTCAGATGTATTTTTTCTTAATTCTTTGTTATGCTTTTGAAAAGTAAGGGAGTCGATCGTCGATAGTTACTTCGAGAAGCTGAATATGGTTGACATTGTCTAGTTGATTACTAGTTACGGCGCTGGCAAAGTTGCTCTGTTGACGATGACAAATTGAGAATTAGCGATAATTGACAGCTTAAAAGTTCCAGTCTGACTAGTTACCATCAATCTTGACATACTGCTTTCGTCCCTTTAAATGAGATTGTACAATTTCTATTATGTTTCAGAGACACCGTACGCTACCAGCGGCTTTGCAAGGAGTGAGATTATGGTTGATAATGTCAAAGCGGGCTTTGGAGAGGCCAGTCGATTGTAATCTGAGCTGTAGTCAGCTGTGCAATGTGTTCTTTATAGTTTACTCCTGTTAGTCTGATATCTACACATCTTTTCAGAAGGGGTGCCTAAAGGTCCTTTCAAGAAACCAGATAGATTGTCAAGAGAAAACTTGTATGATATAGTTTGTTTCCAAGTGCCCTTTCTAAAGCCACATCGAACATCCCGGCCCTTACTTTCAACGCCCTAAAACGCGAAGTTGAATTAGTTCCGGCAGGGCTCTGTTATAAGCGGCAGTTTGCAGTATTTCTGAAAAGTCTCTTTGGGCTAGGAGACAACAAAGTATGTATGTATAGCAGTAATGGTCTCCCTCGAGCTGCCTCGAAAACATTAGTGAAAGTGAGAATAAGCAGTCACAAACTTAGAATTGAGACATTAGTAAAATCCAACTTGGTCTAATACCAATGCTACGTTCTGATTGGTTGAGCTACTACTAGGCTCTAGTCTATATGTTATAGCCTACTAGCAGCGAAAAGCGCGCGCTTTTTGGCGGTGAAAAAGGATTAAAGTCTAGCTTTAACTAGCTAATTTTTTTTTATTCTCGATATTTTTTACCAACTAGTTGGATTTTACTAAAACAATTATTCCTCTTGCCCTCATGGCCTCTGAGTCAATAGCCCATTCGGTCTCTTGGGCTCGAGGAATAATTGTTAAATATACCACGTGATGAAAGGTTATGCAGTCTCAGAATTGAAGAAGAAACTCACTTTTTATTAGATTGTCCAAGTTTTTCTTCGATGAGAGAACGTGAGAGAGATTCTTCTCTAAACTAGAGCCTAAAATGCCGTTTCTACGACTACAATCACATGAGACTTTAGTATCACATCTAACGAATTCTATTGACTATTTTATTAACTTCCAATTAATTTCATTTATATCATCTTGCTTTGAATTGAGATACAAACTTGTCTACGAAATGATTAATCCTACTGATGGTTGAAAATAAGTAATGATTATTATATTTAAAGTTATTTTATAAATTTAAAAAGGAGTCAATAATTAAAGTCAAGTAGCTTTTGCAATACCGTTCTACTTTGTTATAGTCATGCAAATAAAGCTTATTGTTATTGTTGTTGCCTCGATTTTCGTTGCTACTTGCGGGAAACAAATATTGTTGTTGTTGACTTTTCAACTGACAAAAGTAACAGGTATTGACTGCAACGGTGTTGCCGGACAATTCCGTGTTAAGGTATGTATTTGCCCTTTTTCTGCTTCCCTACGATGGGAAAGTAAAAAAATACCTTAATTACACCTAGTGACATTAGTGATACAGACGTGGCCCTACTGGGGCACCTAAGCCAGAGGATTCCTTTGGGAATTTTTCTAGGTCCACTTGTCATCTATAAACTCAGTCAATAACGCGGTATTTTCGACATGTTTGTTTTTTGTTGCCACTGTTGGATTTTGATTCGCTGGCGTCAAAGATTGAAACCGGTCACGTGACGTGACTATCCAGAGACTGAACAAACCTTGTCAATCAAAATGTGGTTTGGCAAAGGAACCGTAAATCAAGTTTTCACAGCCAGTCAGTGAAATGGAATGGCTTAACTCCCTTCTACACACCTATGCTAGAGCAAGATATCCTTTCAGAAATCAGTTTTGTCAACTTGCTTTTTCCAGGTCAATTTTTCATCTATCAAACCAGCAAATGATTTGACATTTTATACTTAATTAATTATTTATTTCTTCCTTAATTTGGATTTCACTCCAAAAGGTCAATGTACAACAATGACGGAACGCGTAGCTAACGTGAACCAGTATCAGTATGCAGATCAAGTACATCATCATGATGCCGCCCTAACAAAAGAACGTTTCCAACCTGTGTACAGGAAGGAATATTAGAAAACAGTCAAGCAGCCAATCTCTACTGAACTGTTTTTTAAAACTTCCGGAAAGTTCTTCCCCGTCATTCGAAAGGCGTTTAAAATTTGTCCTTCCCAGTTTAAGAAAACAATACCTACTGCAATATTTCAAATAATTATATTCCTAAGTACTCTTTCTTCTTGCCGTAGTTGTACTGAAAAAGCAATTCGAAAATTGGTTACTTATATTTGTCCTTTAGAAGAAAGTGCTTTAGTAGTGAATTTGTCTGTGCGTCCTTTGTTAATTTTTTTCTCTGCTCTATGGACAGTTCTATAAAACGTATTAGTATAGGTAATAGCATGATTTGTAGTGATATTTGGCATGAATACCACAAGTGATATTTCAAAATTGTTATACGTGATTTCACGAGCCGTCAGGCGAGTGAAATTTGAGACAATTTTGAAATATCACGAGTGGTATTTATGCCAAATATTATGTACAAATCATGCTATTAGTTGTTTATACTACTACCTGCAAAAGGTTTGTAATTTTCACATGTAGGTATTTCAAATTAAGTTGAAATACCACTGCTCTAAGCCAATCAAATTGCAGAAATTTCTAATGTAGTAGTATAAATGTTGTTATATATCGTTGGTATAGCTAATAGCATGATTTGGAGTAATATTTGGCATAAATACCACAAGTGATATTTCGAAATTGTTATACGTAATTTCACGAGCCGTTTGGCGAGTGAAATTTGAGACAATCTTGAAATATCACAAGTGGTATTCATGCCAAATATCACGTACAAATCATGCTATTATTTGTTTATACTACTACCCGCAAAAGGTATTTCAGATTAAGCTGAAATACCACTGGTCTAAGCCAATCAAACTGCAGAAATTTCTTATGTAGTAGTATAATTACTGAAATGATTTCCATTTACATGGAAAGATTCCAACACGTACTGACTCGTTAAATATGAACGTCAATCAAAGGCAGAACAATATCTGCTGCTAACTTCAAATAAATGCACGGTATATTGTTTAAGGCTCAACAATGGGAGGTGCCTTGCTTGTTAACTAATCAGATGCTAAATTTGCACCTACATTTTTACAATGGACACTCCTTTCGGCTAGAGAACACAGTCAAGGCTATATCAACGTTGACGAAGTAAGGCTAAAAAACGAGTTGTCCTCCACTTCAGGTGTTACGTACAGAAAGAAAATAGACCATAGGCCCGGGGTTTCCGTCCTCTTCTTTTTTCGAATAGAATGTCATGGCTTCTTTTACGTCCGTGTCCATGTACGTACGTAGGGACCGGTGAGGCAAGACCAACGGCTTCACGTCACCGCCCAATTATTTTAGGGTCTGTTTACATGGAAGTGGGGGACCCCAGGATCGGGAAGGTGAGGTAACCCACTTAGGTGGGGTAACCCGCCTGTCCATATAATCTCTCGTGTTAATTGTAAACGTTTCAATGTGGAGTAACCCGCCTAGCCGGGGTCGGATTCGTGATACGTCAAATTCGCGCAAAATTCACTTTGGCGGTGGCTTTTCATCATTGAAGGTGTCAATAGAAAGCCTCATCACTGAAGGTTGCAGCAAGAGCAGTAAGTGAGTGTAGAAGAGAATAAATCGCCAAAACACGCGGTTTGCCAGCATTTTTCTTCTTTACATGCTTAGAGACCATTCAATGATCTTGAGAAAGTGACACCGGGACGGCAGGGTTGTAAGATTTTTTACTCCACCTAAGCGGGTTACCTCACCTACCTGGGGTCCCCCACATCCATGTACATGCTGTTGTGTAAACAGGCCTTTAGAAGCACGCAGAATGTGAACACCTAGAAGGTTGTAGCATACCCGTGTGTAAAGCCGTCACATTTGCTCATTGGAATTTTTTGTTTCTGGTATGCTTAAAAAATAAAAAATTCAAACGGGCAGATGTGACTGATATGCGCGCGTATGTTGCAAAAGAGAAAAGTAAAAGCAATATAACAGTGCGAACAAAGACATGGAAACGAACACAGATACATGAGAGAAAAATGCAGTCTGTTTATTGAACTTGAATTTAATACACAGTTTCAATTCATTTTGCGGATAAGCTGGTTGATCTTGTCCTCACGATTTCCATGGTCACCCCCCTCCACAAAGTGTGTGGTCATTTTACGGAAGCCACCCTTAGGAGAACTCAGCTTGAATGGCCACAGGAAGTTGTTAGCCTCTTTAAAGTGCTCCCCAACACTGTAGATTTCATGAATCAGATCCTCTACGCAGATGATACCATGTTTTCCCAGCTGCTGTTCAATGATGGAATTATCTGTGATGGCAGTACGTTGTTTGTTCACTTTACCATAACCACGCTTGTAAACCAGCTCACGCACACTCTTCAGGTTTGGGTACCTGCAAATAAAATTTGCAAATAAAATCAACTTTCAAAATGTGTTTAAGCAAAAGTAATTGACAGCCCTCAGTCATGAGAAAGATGTTTATTCATTCAGTGACTGGAGACAGGCGTCTCGGAATCCGAGTGCTCCCAATAGGAGTCAAACCTATGACCCTCTGGTTACTCGTCCAGATACAGCTCTACCACTAATCTTCAGGAAACTTGTGGAAGCTAATCTTCAGCCAACTGTCTCATAATGAGAATCCACCCGAGGTTTTCAAAAGGGTACAAAAGCAGTTTCAGCAAAATGTAAACAGCTCAGAGTCAAGGTGGCTTTATACAGAGATATCATTTGCTAGCCCTAGTTTAGTGCAAAAAATATTTTTTACAAGATTTATATGTACATTTACACTCAAACTACTGAAAACGAAGCCCTTACTCACCCATAAGCAACATATGGCTGTACAACTCGCAGCATGTTAATGGTGGCTTTATTAAGTTTAATGAAGACACCATTGTGGATTTGCAGCAGACGAAACAGCTGAAGGATCTTCCTCACTTTTGGACTAACTCCATTGATACTAAAAAAAAATAAGGGAGTTGATCACGACTTTTTAAACAATTTACTGTTCTCACCAACTCAGGAATAAGACCTCCAACTTGGTATATCAGACAAGGAGAGGTGGGTGGTCGGGGAGTAACCTGAGATCAGGTGTTATAATTATTTTTGCTTCTTTGCTTCTTTGGCTCGAGAGGAAAAAAAATAACTCCTGATACATTCATTTAACAAGCCATCAACCGCCCCCTAATTTACACAATCTAACATCTGCTTGACCTGTCAAGTTATTAGCCAATCAGCATTTACCAGACAGGAATCAAACTTTGGTGGGAATAATGTCTCTTTCGAAATAAATTTTAGGGAAAAGAACATTTTTAAGTATGTTCAGATGGCGCTTCCTAAAAAAAAAAATTAAATAATTCTTTTGTGATGAAATACTGCCGTACCATACCTTTATTTGACAGCTACAAATAATAAAGAATTTACTGGTAAAAGCTCGTTGACTTAATTCGTTCTGTGCCGAAAGCAGTGAAAGCACTATATTCCACGAACTGAAAAGTGTTGTGAAAGCGAAGATCGCTCAGAATAATTCGCAGGTTTCTGAAGAAGGAATTTCAGTCAATCCAGGTCAAGATTCCATTCACGAATTGATTATTTGAAAGTGAACCTGTTTGTCGCTTCGGTAACTTGCAGCCGGTATCAAATTGCAATCAAATGATCGGTGAATTTTTGACTGCAATTTTCAGTAAACGATGAAATGGAAAATATTTCAATGCATGAAATTTCTATTTCGACATTCTTCAAATTCAAGAAAACTGAGCTGGCAGAAATTTCATAACAAACTCGCGTGTGTATTCACTGCTCATTTATACGCAAGCAAAAATGCAGACTGAAATAAACAACAACTAATGGATGGCGGTGTTTTGGCCAATTGGAATAGTGCAAATCATCCGTATTGTTTCCTATCCAATCAGAAAAAAGTCCAGATTGTGGCTTTTTTGCATGTGATCTGTGAAAGAAATGTATCATGCCCTCCTCCCAAAAACAGATTACAGAGATAAAGGGAGAGGGCATGATCGCAGGCTAGTGGGGGAGGGTCGAGTGGAAGCAGTCATGTGGAATGGCTTAGAAAATGTGCTTAAAGATGAGATAAATCTCAACTCTTTCAAGTCTGCCCTGTCTTCGTCTTGAACCAGGGATTGCCTTGAGGGAGTTGAGATAGAATTTATTTTAGTTATATAATGTACCTTTAAGGTTGATTGATTTTTGTGTAATTAATTATGGGATAGATTTTCTTAATATATAGATATTTTTTAGCATTAGTATAGTTTCTCTGAAAATTTTGTTATGTAAATGGCTCACTGGAGGAGCATTTTTAATGAAGTGATACCATTGTAAATAAAGCTTGATTGATCGATTGATTGAGCAAGCAAGCAAGCAAGCACTGTTCGAGAGTCAAGCAAGTGTTTTGGCGGACCAGTCAACTAGACTGTGATGAAATTCTCCATTCCAGAGGCGAGCAAAGCAAGCATCAAGAGAATGCACATCTTTATTTTACTGCTTTTACAATACTTGTTCTCCCCCCCCAAAAAAAATTCCCTTTTTAGATTGGGAATAGTTTACACTAAGGGGCCCCTGCAAATAAGAACTAAGGCTGGATGACAACCCTGCAGGGCTCACATTTAGGGAACTACATGTAACGATTTTTGTTGTGGTAAATGTTTATCTTTTAAAACAGCACCTGTATTAACCAACTTCCAGATGTAACTAATGAAATTGATGATGGATGACATCAATGAGTAATAACTGAGTAATCACTGGGTAATCAACTGATTAGTCACTGATTATTCGCTATAATCAATGGGCAATTAATGACTAATTGACCGCCAAAAATCTTGTGGCCTATCGATTAGTCATTGATGAGTAATTGAATTGTCTACTGATTATCCATTGATTAGTCATTGATCCCTCATCTCATACAATTTCTAGTAATTTGTTTCGTAACTTATTTCTGATGATGAAAAATTATGTCAACGGTTCTTGACGATAATAACTGCCAAATAGGAATTGAACTTCCATGTTGAAAACCAATGTAGATACATGTTGGCCATGACAAAAACAGAATGGTAAATCAAATTTCATTAGGTAGTAAATGAAATATCAAAAACGAAATGTTCAGAAGTTCGAGTGATCTCTCTTACTCTCTTGGCCATTAGAGTCTATGTCTTTGTTGAGAAATGCAGCCACTGCAGAATGCCTAACGGGTAAAAGATCATGAATAAAAAAAGCTTGTATCATGACATTTATGTCAAAGAAGTCATTGTTTCCTTATTTCCGATTTGGTAAGGTTTGCATACCCATGAGATTATATTGATAATTAATCATGGACTGAAAATTTTGTGGCCTACTGATTATTCATTGATTACTCATTGAATATCAGATATAATCAATGACTAATCATCTGATTACCTGTTGATCATGATTACTCATTTATTTCATTGATGTCATCCATTAGTTAAGTCTGGCAACTTCTACTTTCATTTTCCCCTCTCTTATAAAAAAACTTCCCATTTGATAAGACTTATCAATGGGGAGTTTTTTTTTTTATTAATTAGTCCCTGTGTTAAAAAGAAATGCCCCATCTTTTTCTTGAACTTTTCTCTGTCACTTCCCCCTTTTGCTAGGCTTTTACCATGGTTAATTTCTGTAATTTCTGTAGAAAATAACAAGCACTCTCGTAAGTCCTTACCTTTACACCCAACATTTGGTCTGGCTGGTTGATTATGTGATGAAAAATAAAAGTGCCACTATATTGATTTGAAGACTAATTGGTGAACATCTGCAAGTGTCCTTTCAAAAATAATCAAAATGCTTACCCTCTGATGCGAATGATGAAGGCAAGCTTGGCTTCAGCAGGGACATAAAAGTTGGCATGTTTCCTAGCCATACGTTTCATCCGGATCTCATCTCTCTCTTGCTGGCGGTATTCCTTCACATACCTTTCCGCCCTTTTGAAAATTTCTTTGCGTTTTTCTCTTCGTATCTTTCAAAAGATAAAGAGAAGTGTTAAACTCCAAAATAATTATCAATCAATCAACTGCGACTATCATAAAGCTAACACTTTCCCTACAGAGAAGGAGTATTTTGAATACTTTTTTATTATAGTACTCCACTACTATACGCATTTTGGTTGTACACTGGAATGAAAATATGGCAGCCCAGTTGAAGCAAAATTCCACCATAAAAATTCTAGTGAATGTAAACTTGTTTATTATAATGGCTGAATCTGCGACGGGGCAGGATGAAGCAAATCCTGTGTTTCGATTGGCACCCCCATCTACTCAGGATTTCCTGCACTGGTCTGCCATATAATAAATCCCTTATAGATCCCTTACGTGTTTGGTTCATGATGGCTGGATATTGGCCTTGTTTTTTTTTATGCATTTTTATCAAACTCGACTTTGTCTCAGTAACTAAAAATGCAAAAAAAAAGAACTTGGCCAATACCCAGTCATCATGACCTCAAACTTAGTCAATAGGTAGGTAGGTGGGTACATTGTAGGTAAAGGCGCACACAAGCCAAAGGCCCAAACAGAAGAAGCTTATGCTGGTTTCCCCCCTCCCCTGGACAGGATGCTTGTCCATTGCAGGATATCTTCTTGCTTGTACAGGAGTATGCACTGTTTGTTTGCATTTGGAGTAGCCTCCCACGTAGACATTCTTAGGGGTTTGTCACGCGTTCCTGCCCCACGAATGTCTGCTGAACTGAAAGATAAATTCCTTTCCCATTGTTCGCAAATATCAGCTGGGGATCACATGCAGATTATCGGAGAACCAATCGGCGCTGTTGAAGTCAAAGTGTTGACAAGCCAAACACATACCTACAAGCTCTGATACGTGACCAAAGATTTTTGCTTCGGACAAGAATCTAGGAGATAAGCGTTGGGTTTTTGAATATTTCTCTCTGTAAAGGCTGGATTAGATGTCATTTGCTCATACAGTTGTTCATTGGGTGATGCAACGGCGGGGTTACCTTGTAAGACTGAACAAAAGGCAGAATTTTTTTTCACACGTTATTGTTTTGTAGTAAAGCCGACTTCTGTTCAGCAAATTTAAGCTCCGAGGTAATTTTTTTCAGTGAGATTGTGAGGGTAGCCACTAATACGAACACTTGTGAGTTAACTGAGTAGTTTGTTCTAAAACTGTAAGGTCTTCACCTTTCACGAGACCTTTCTGATCTTTTCTGGAGCAATAAAATCAAGCGTGCAATTTCTCAAGGTCCAAAGTGTACTTCCCAGATCTGGAAGTTTGCTGTGATTGGTCTATGTTTTTTCCCGCTCAAGTCAGCAGACGTTTGTGGGGTAGGAACGTGTGACGAACCCATTAGAACGTCTGCGTGGGAGGCTACATTTGGAGCAGGTATTTGAAACTGCCCTTGAGGAAATGCAGCTTGATACAGATGCCCTCGAAGAAACATTCACTTTACAACTTGAATTGATATTGTTTCAAGCATATAATCATCAGAGTTAATAAACCATGCCTTGTTGTGTTACAGATGTATGTCTATGTAACATTATCCAGAAATCAGCCAGGGGTGATTCTTTTGTTTTCTGTTTTGCAAGACTCGATCCTCAAATCAACTCTCCATAGCTTGTTCTCAATTTGTGCAGGAATAGAGAATCGCAAATCAAGTCAAGAATCTAGACTCACAATGGACTGTCAACTTACAGTGCAGGCCAGAATTAAGCAAACCAAAAAATACAAATCATGAAAACAAGTCAATTGCATTAGGCAGGATGCATCTATACATCTTGAGCTGACAAGAATAAGCGTCTGCTCTGAAATGCATCAGTGCACATTAACCCATTCGCTCCTCAAGATTATGCCGAAAAACGCGTTTTGAAGCTAGTCAAGTGGTTTTCTGGTCACAGTCATGCTAGAAAGAGCTAAAAACGTACCACAAACCCGTTTACAGGTCGTACACTTTGCGGCCTTCTGATCCAGATGCAAAATATCAGCTTGCGAAGTTCAGGCATGCCCAGAAAGCAAAATTTTTTGGGGGTTTAAAAGTGACACAGCAGTCTTGACTTTTACTTTTTGCTTTCTCTCCTCCCCTCTTTTTTCGCTTTTCTTGCCTCATTTTTTTTTCTCTTGCTGGGCATTTTGTAGGCTTCATTTTGGTGGGAAGAGTCTTTAGGAAAGCTTTTAGGATCTTAGGATTAGGTGAAAGGAAAGATAGGTGAGCAATGGAACAAGATTTTCAAGAAGATTTTCAGGTCAATGTCACATGGTTTTTTGCTTCTTTCTCTGGTGTCCTTGACTGAACTGTGCTCATTCTGGTATGGTTTGAAAGATCTCTTCACTCTACACAAGTTAGCAGACAAAGTTGTCCTTGACCGTTAAAAACTGATGACATCACAAAGGGTAGAAAGGACGCGGATCCGCATGGGGGTTTACAGGCGGTTCAGGGGCGAATGGTCATTAGTATGTATAAGCTTACTCTTTGTTTAGAGGTATTATGTGTCGGTGAGGTCAACAAGCTTCAAACTCGGGTGGATCAACTTTAGGTGGAACATGCTAAAAAAATTACCGACAAAATGCTAAGTGCAACTTTCACTTGCCAATGAAACTAAAATTTATAAATACTTGATGTACATCTACATGTATTTCCATCACATATTTCAAGAATCAAGGAAACAGTCACGTTTCACAAAATCAAAACCAAACTAACGTAACAATATTTCACAGTAACAATATTGCGGAAGGAAACATCACTTAGAAAAAAACCTTGAGTTTGAGTTGAAATATAAGCGCTTATAAGGAACTTCACAACGTGACAATCCACATAAGAAGTCAAACCTCATCGGCACGTGCTTTCATAAGCAAAATTTTTCTAATGATGACCAAATTCACATAGATCACATTGCAGTCATAGGTAGCAAGACAGAGTGTTCGAACTTGTGTTCGAAAAAAAAAAACAAAACAAAACAAAAGATCCTGAGCTACTCCTTTGCATTACCAAAATCAGCAAGGCATGTGCTCGAAAACAACATTCACCGGTATATTAAATTTTATTGCCTTTCATAGAAGCAAAACTGAAAGGTGAGTTGAGAATCAAGGGCCTAATCATAAGTTTTGGTGCTTTTAAGTAATATTTTATTTCACAACACCATAAACATTAGTTTTGGTGACAAGCGCATTAAGGCAAATTCTTCCACATGTTGTCTCGCAGACGCTGTCGTGTTGAAAAGGTCAACAGGATATTGAATTTCAATCGCTTTTAATAAAATTAAAAACTGAAAGATGAATTGAGAGTCAAGGGTCTGAATCCAAATTTCAGGTGCATTTCAGTAACATTTTCTTTCACCATGCCATCAACATCATTTATCTATTAGTCTAGGTGGCAAGCACATGCTGGCAAATTCTTTCCCAGTAATAATCGCCATCAGTGGGCAAGGCATACACGTTCAATCCCTTGTATCCAAATTTATTTCATGTTGATTTTGTCACGGTTAAAATATAGGCTCTTCTAAGTCTCTGTGTTTTTTCAGCATTGTGAATCGGACAGACATCGGTGAAACTTGATCCTTGTGAAGAACTTTGTTGCCTAGCACATGACTGAAAGTTTACTTTAGTATTTAGCAAAGCTGATATGTTGTGATATGTAGTTCTTTGTCTGCCCAAAGCGTGGTGATGAGAATTATACAAGAATGAGCTTCTGGAAGAATAATTTACTTCTTTGATTTGTATTATTGCCGCCGCTTTGATAAGATCATTTTGGAACCAATTACTTTGGCATTTCCTCACATGTATTCTGGTGTAAATGTCGCCATTTTTCAGTCAGCAGACTTGCGTCAAGATTTTGGATCAATTTAAGATTTTAAGAGTAAATTTGAGAGTTGCCATGAAAGCTTGTTGCAAAGTTAATTGTGATTATGGCTTAACTATGAGTGTGGCTATTTTACTCACTAAACAAGCTAAGCATGTGAACAATTGATTCTCTCGTACATGCAAATTTATTTCATTTCATGGTGATTTGGTTGCTGGTTAAAATTTTCAGCTTCATACCTACCAACTCTCCCGGTTTTCCTGGGAGGCTCCAAGTTTTTCATCAAATCTCCCGGTCTCCCGGTTAGAGCACCAAATCTCCCGAGAAATACCTACGTGGCCTTTTTCAAAATTTTTACATTAATTTTGTTATTTTTGAGATGTCAAAAAGGAAAATAAAACAAGAGGTGAATTTAGTGCTCTTATTTGAGCTGTTCTTGATCCGAAAATGTAAAACAGAACAACCATGAGTATCATAGTGGTCAGAAATCAAGCAATCAAAGTGCACAAAACATGGTAGAAAATTGGCGCGGTTTTTGCATGCTGTTATCGACATCGGAAAGACGCGGAACGCCATTGGGTGATTTTTGGAGAGTATTCAGACATTGTCAGAAATTACATTCACAGTGCTCTAAACCGGTCAAGAACAGGAAAAGACCCCTTTTTTAATTTATTCATCCAGATTTCTGGATGGATTTGAACGGTTGTTGGCAGAGGCTACTTTTTGCATGGCAGCTCACACAGCCTCTGCTCGCAGGGTAGTCAGATATGTGACTTGTATTCTTTTGGTGTATGAACCTAGAATTGCAATTACACATTAAAGTAGGATGCCAAGCGATTTTACAAATGAAACCCTGCACATCACTAAATTTAGCTCGATTTATCACGGCTGAAGTCCCTCATAAAAAGTTCCTTATAATGAGTGACTATCGAGCTTAGTTCTGGCCTGCACTGTACTTTTGAACGGCACTGTGCTTGTTTTCAGGGCGTAACTAATAAATATTTTCGATACTCGATACAAATCGGACGTAATCGATCGTAATCGATACTCATCAATCGATTAATATCAAAAATCTATAGAAATCGATCACTCGCGTCTTTGTGATTTTTGATTTTGATCGATTTCTGTAATTAGCTATCGATTTTATCGATTTGTTCGACAATGATCGAAAAGAAAATGGACGAAGATTCTCCGCGCTCCGTAAGCCACAATGCGTGTCTCCCAATAAGCGCTCGAACAATACCCTTCTAAATTCTCGGAAAACAGACGACAGTTTGCCAATTTCTACATTAGTGACTCCAGCAATTTACCACGATTCTGACGATTCTAGAGTACAAATTTACAGCAGTGATCCTGGTAAAAAAATATTGGAGAAAGAAGTAACATCATCTTTATCAACAAAGCGGATTCGAAGGTAAGCTTGAAGGTAAGTGTTACGCAGTGTTGTGATAAGATCAGATCACGTTTTTGATTTTCGATTTCCATAGATGTGACAAAAAATTTGTGATTATCGATTTCAATCGATTAAATTGACTAATCAATCGACAACTATCGAGTACTATCGAGTATTATCGAATAATCGATTACATTTTCGATGATCGATTTCTATCGATTAGTTACGTCCTGTTGTTTTGAAATATTATGTGCAACATAAAGTCATACAATAGAGGTCACCTCTAAATTGTTTTAGAAAAGTCGGAATTCCACCAACCTTTTTCTGTTGTAACTGCGCCTTAGCCCTAGCGGCTTTGAGTTGTTCTAAACTCTTCCTCTTTTTGAGGAGAGTCTCGGGGACACGTGGGACCTTCTCTCTGTTGAAAAAAATAACAGGATGATATATAAAGCCCTTATTAAGAGCATAACTGTACACGAAAATTTGAAGTTATTATATTGCACACAAAGTCACATTGAACTCAAGGTGCAGAAAAAAGGTTGGTCTCACGACACTTCAAGTCTGACACAAATTACGCTAAGATGAAAAATGGCATGTAAACTCTTGAAAAAATACCATTTTCATCACTTTAATAGAGAAAATAACCATATCAACCTTGTGATTAATACTATCAAATAACTATTTTGACACAACTACGACCTTATAACACGACAAAAGTCACGGATGGAAAGGATTGTTTTTACCAATTACGATTTTCACTAACCTATCGGCCATTATTTCCCCAGGAAAGAGGAAAGGAATGGTGGGAAATGACTGCTTAGTGACCGAGCCCTGATAAATTATGCTCTATGTAAATGTCACATAGTTTCCTTCACCAGGAACCCAGACTCCTCGCAGTCTTGATGATCAGGGTCATTTGAATGTCATCTCATGGTAGCTGGTAGCCTGTTTCATCTGATTGCTTCGAGTCGTTTTCTCCTCTCGGGAAGTAATAACGATTCGAAGTAATCGGATGAAATTCAGGCTAATTCAAACTATGCATACAACAATCTCTTACAACCGAAACATGCGTGTACAATAACTTTATAGGGCTACATTTCAGGGGCACCCAACGAGAATATAGTTCAAAACCTCTTAAACATAGCATTGTTAAACGTATTTCAGTATTTAAACGGGAGATATAGGCATATTTTTAACCCCTAAAAATTTTTCATCTGTTCGGATTTCCTAGCTGAAAGTCTAGTGATCCGGAAATTATAGGGATCAAACCTTACATTTTCGAAAATTTCAACCAGAAAAAAGGCTTCCGAGAATTCTAGGGGACCTTTTTAGGGTAAAAATCCGTTAGAAATGGGCAATTATACCATTTTTTAGATGTTCGAAAATCCTAGGAGAGGCAGGCAAGCAAGAAATTTTACAACAAATGTTCCGAAAATTCTAGCTCTCAAATCGTCTTCCGAACAGATATTTTCCTAAAGTGGACGTTGGGTGCCCCTGACATTTGTTTCATGTGTGGAGATCTGAAAAAAATGACTAACACAGGAATGTGAATTTCAGGCTCTTAAAATGCACTGTGATAAAAAGTGAAAATTACCACCTCTAATCAAATCTTTTCTTGCAAGTTTTTAAAAAATTATTGAAACTGAAACTGGACACTTTCTTTCAAAAGAATAAAGCTTTTTCTGTCAATAGAAAATTATTTATATAAGACTCATCCAACTGATTTCTCCGTGCGGGATTCCAAACGAAGAAAGGTAACAAAGAATTCGCATGCACCCATGAACCATTTCTGAGCTCATAAAGCCGGATTAGGGAGACTGACACGAATAGAGGTGCATATACTGTATAATGTCGTCTTCTAGACAGCAGCCAATCGGTGAGTTCATCGTTCAAAAGTTACAGCGAAGAGTTAGGTTACCTTGATTAAA